CTTTTGTAAAAATGTAAATTAGTTAATATGGACCAATCATGCTAAATGCATATAAGTTAAATATTTAAATTATGTAACTCACAATGGAAAACAGATGACTGCTTGTTATAAAAATTATCTTAAGAGTTAACTTAGCAGTTTATAATAAAATCATGTATTTAATTAATTATTTCACATATTTTATTAAATTGACACAATTTAAGAGGCAATTTGGTAAAAATATACAGGGTGACTGGTGAATTACTATCGATATTTGAGGACGTGATATTTGACGATCATATATGACAAAATAAAAATTAATATAACATAAATATTAATTAACTTCTAAGTAAAGTTAACCAAAAGTTATGTAATTAATTACGCATCGTGTGAACACCCTACAGATTAGGTATACATACACACACACACACACACGCGTCGGCGGCGTGGTGTTGTATCAGCACGCCGCCGCACGCGTCCACACTTGGAACACTTGGAACGTGTCAACATTTTATTTACATATTTATACGGAAATTTTGGCAAAAATTAAGTGGCTATTTTTTTTACATAATTCGAATGAGAATCATGTACCGAGTATTCTCCTTAAATATTGATAATAATTCATCAGTCACCCTGTATAAATATGGAACCAACTAATATTTTGTGCTATTGTAAATAAACTTGATGTATACTGTATTTAAGAAAAAGTGTTGACAATTAACTAATAGTTTGGTATGTTCAAGTAAATTTATGAAAATAACTTTTATGTTTATATGGAGTATGTACTTATACATTAAATAACTTTAACATAATGATAAATGACCATTTGAATCTCAAAATGTACTTATACAAGTTTTATTGTTAAAAAATTGTTGTGGTATTTCATTTTAGAAAAAAATATTGGGAATGTTTAGTGAATTTTTTTAGGTATGTAAGCCATGTAAAATTCGCAATTAAAAACCAATTGAGAATTGGTAATAATTTTGCAATAACAACGCTTTAAATGTTTTAACCTACTTGTTAATTTACCTTTTATCTTATACTAGAAATATATATATAATTTTATTAGTTGTTTTATTCGTATTTCTATATATCCTTTACTTAGATTATGTATCGTATAAAATATTTCTTACCAGAAAAATAGAAGACATGAGATAAGATTTTCACAAAAATGGGTTTTGTACTAAGGATCGCAAAATGTCGTCATTTTATTTATGATCAGATAATGTAAATGAAATGACAATTTTTTTTTCAAAATCAGACTATTTCCAAAAATTTATGATCTCAATGTTATACATTTTAATACACAAATACAAAGCACACTTTTTTTTGCCATAACTAGAGAAATCAGCATACTACTTTTTAAATTAGGGTTCGTATAATAGGCCAGTGCAGAAGGTTTTAAAATTAATGAAAAGTGTAAATTAATTATAGTAGAATGAAACTCATTAGAAAAGGAGGGGAATAAAATAAAATTTAAAGGAAAAATAATTTACGGGTGATCTGAGGTTGGGAAGGCGATGGGTATTTAAGGGTAAAAAATTGGGTATTCTCGATTTCCGGCAAAACTAAAAGTCTTACGGAAAAATGTTTATGTATATATAATAAATGTATTTATTAATTTTTATGTATTAAATATATATATATATATATATATATATATATATATATATATAGTACTCGATCATACATTACCTTTTCCATTTATTTTAAAGTGTGAGTTTTTATAATTTGAACTAGAGCATTCTATTTCCATTTCTCTCGTTATAAAATGTTTAACTTTCTATCTTCAGCTTAGAAAATATTCTTAATAAATAATGGCAACATTGTTAATTGTGTTTTTTTAATAATCTTATTTTTACTACATTTTAAAAAGTTTTAGTGTAGTGATTACAAAATATACATAAAAACATATTGAACCATTTAAATTCTTCATGATACTTTAAAGTGTTTGGCTAGGAAATAATTCCAAAATTTTATAATGTCTATGCTCAACTTTCACTAGTGTCAGTTTTAAAGTGTGCGTATAATTTTGTATGTGTGCAACAATAAATCGTAAAGTCACAAATTTGGCAGTTGTGTGCGTTCAAAAGAACTCGCTTGTCGCGTTGCAGTGCGTGTGCTTTCCACAATTGACTTTCATCGCCTCGTAAGTTTGTGAATTTTATATATTATTGTGTATTTAGTGGATACCAAGGATGTCTTAAAGCTCAATTATAATGAAATAACTCTTCTTTATTCGGAGAAGGCTTGATATTTGCTGAGAATATTTGATGGGATTGTGTCGATGCGTCACCTTTGTGAGCCATTTTACAAGTTCCTGTTATTCTAGAATCCGTAAAAATCTTGAGCATTATTCTGAGGCGTTTTCGCGTTATCTTTCTTATATGTCTATTATTGAAACTAGATAAGATAATTTCACCTTAGAACAAATGCATCCTAACCTCCCTGCCGTAGGACAAGGAAATGGTATCCGTGCGAGTGGCGCTAGCTGCCCACATCTAGCTTTTTTTCGTCCTTAGACTTTCTTTTGATTAAGACTTAAACCACAACCTTATTTTTAAGTTTAATTAACACGAGGAAAGAATTTTAATGAATATAAAATTATTTCTTGTTATAATGTTAATTGCAGATTATTATATAAAAACACAATTTATAAATATTCTCTTCAATAGCAACAAAAACCGTGGTGTTTATCTCAAACCTAGCATGAATATATATTTCATAAAATAAAACTATGTATTTATGTAATATTACATGACTATAATGTTTTAAATATTTTAAGACAAGAAAGACAATTAATACTTATGTTTATTTGATTAACCACCTGAACTTAACATGTATTTTTATGTATATTTTTTGTTTGAAATATGTAGAAGAAAAATAACATGAAAGTTAAACTGGTGTATAAAAATTTATTTATATTTAACATATTTGACTTGAAAGATGTGTTAATTCTATTTCTCTATTTGGCTATATATTATGGTTTTTCAATATTTCTCTTAGAAAACAATCTAAGCATTATGCCAAGATTTGAGCAAAATTTGAGTTTTAATACTTAATTCTACTAAGCCACTACTAAAAGAAATTTTCATGTCTATAGAAAACAAAGAAATAATAAAGGATATATCTCAGTTATAGTATTAGTTTTTTTTTTGTTTAGAAAGTTACACTTTTCTTAAACACCAATTGTCGGGAAATATCTGGAGTTAATAAATCTGCTCGACAAACATATAATTGATATAAATCAATATGTAGCTTCTCAAACTATACTTTTATTATCAATCTTAACTTATGACAAACTAATTCATATACAAATAAGTCATTCTGGATTTCACCGAACAGTCGAACTCAAGATCTTATACACACCACAAATTTCATTAAATGATAAGTCATTTTAATTGTATTTTAATAGTATTTAAATTTCACTTTATTATTATATTTATTTCCTATTTACTTTCTCAAAAGTGTGTTTTAACTTGTTAACAATTTCATAAACATCAAATTTGTGTAAAAATGATTATCATTTGGACCTTGATGTTTACAAATAAATTAAAAAATATTAAATACAATCAAATTATTTATATTTGTTGTAATTGTTTTTTAGTTAAATCTTTATAAATATAGTCATTACAGATAACATGCAAAAAAGGACCTTTGTGTTGTTTGAGATTGCCTATTCCTAGGTTTGTTTAATATATGTCTAATGTAATAGCAAAGAAGGTTTCCTTAGTAGGTCATGTGAACTATATGAGGTCGCAGATAGACCGTGCCTGGTTCTCTGTTCAGGCGGAGGGCGGGAGAGGGCTCACTGGCGACTCGTAGTATCGGATCTGGGTCAATGGTAGCGGAGCGCTAACGGGCGCGCCACGGCCGTTGCAAGTGGGTCGAACGCCCCCGCGCTCCCCTGCCACCCTTCTGTATTGCGCTTTTATTACCATGTGATTATTATGGATCCGTCCTACCTGCCTCCGGCTCCTACACTCACGCTATCGCTGCCCATTCCTTTAACTCCATTACGAGTTATCGAACGCTCCTGCTATGCTCACACGTTTACTTAAATGATATGTCGTGATTTGGAATGGCACAAGCCTTAATGAAAGGTGGTCAAATATTCTATATTAACGTTGATCGCGGCTTATCGCATAACATTTATCCATGCTTCTCAACAGATAATACGTATATATTACACATAACTGTATGAAGAGGTGATATATTAAAAGTAATAAACGTCGTGGGTTGCGGACATTTAGAATGGCTGAGTGAAAAAGTCGTCAAGCGTGAGGCGCGTCTTTCGGCGAATAACGCAGAACTTGACCTTGGCTAGGTTAGGTACGTACGGACGTTGACCTCGCGCACACTCGCGAATCTACATCACCCGACTATAAGTGCAAGAAATCGGAATCCACAATTCATATAAATTTAAATTACTTGCTTTTATCTCTACTATTGAGGCAAGGTAATGGGGAGGTCAACGTCCTCGAAACACAACGTACGTGAACAACCAGTTGTGCAATCAAATGTTTAAATTAGTTTGATTAAGACAATAATAATATGTATATAAATTAGGTTTATGTGTATCATGTTATTACTTATTTTGTAGATGGAATTGAAATGTTCATATAACTAAAAGTAACCGTGACTTTTCTCTGTACAGCAGAACAGAGAGCCAAATTTATGTATACGTACATATAATACCGACTTAACTCCACCCCTGTCTCCTATGATCGAACTGTATTCGACCCGCTGCCGTTTGGCCCCTCCGAACATATAATATGCAGAACACAAAAATATACTATAATTTTATCTTCTAGCGTCTTAAAGAAGTACAGCTTTTCTGTTAGATTTATATAACAGGAGTTTCGCTAAACTGTAACTAAGAAATGTGAATATCATTTTATAATGATATTTAGTTCCACCTTTAGCTTTGTAAGCTAAACGACTATATGTATACGACATGTGTATAATTTTTTTGAAATAATAATGACTTAAAAATATTAATTATAATTTCATCATGATCATCATATTATGATTAGGTGTAGGGATTGTAAAGGATATTGTATTGATGGTATTTGTGGCAGCGTGCTTCGGATAGGGTGAGGGGAAGATTTCGATGTGTGGGGCTCGGGGTGCGCGGCCGGCGGGGCGGGGGCGGGGGACGTTAGAGAGATACAGGTCAATGACCGCTGAGGCGCGTTCAGCCAGCGCCACCTGGGGGTGCAGCCTGCAGCTAGCTGTCGGTCACTGACACCCTCCGACCCTCCGCCACACGTCCTCTCAGATCGTTGGACTTTAACGAAGTTCGATCCTCCCTTACGCCGCATCGATCCGTAATCATTACATAAATTCTTTTTGACAGAATCATTTTGTTAAAAATATAACTCTTACAACTAAAAGTTGAGGGCTTATTGAAATTCTTATATGACTTTCATATAATATATGGAAAAATTATTTATATGTAATCTTCTATCTTCTATATACAGGGTGACTGGTGAATTACTATCAATATTTAAGGAGCTTACTCGGTACATGATTCCCATTCGAATTATGTAAAAAAATAGGCACTTAATTTTTGACAAAATTTCCGTATAAATAAATAAAGTGTGTACACGTTCCAAATGTTCCAAGTGTGGACGCGTGCGGCGGCGTGCTGATACAAAAACACGCCCCGCTCGCGTATGTGTGAGTGTGAGTGTATACCTAATCTGTAGGGTGTTCACACGATGCGTAATTAATTACATAACTTTTGGATTACTTTACTTAGAAGTTTATTAATATTTATGTTATATTAATTTTTATTTTGTCATATATGATCGTCAAATATCACGTCCTCAAGTATCGATAGTAATTCACCAGTCACCCTGTATATATATAAAAATGGATTGCTGTTCCTTAGTCTCGCTAAAACTCGAGAACGGCTGAACCGATTTGGCTAATTTTAGTCTTGAAATACTCCTGGAAGTCCAGGGAAGGTTTAAAAGGTGAGAAAAATTGGAAAAAACCCTAAAAACAGCCCTTTTCTATTTCCCATACAAACGATTTTTTGACATTAGACTTGACAACTAACTAATATGTCAATCATTCTGTTCGATTGAAACAGTAGAAATTTAATAAATACTAATACCGGGTTATTGAAGACGGAATAGAGTTTGCCCGGTCAGCTATACCTATACTAATGACGAAATTAACGCGGACGAAGTCGCGGGCAGAAACTAGTGTTATATAATATTGTGAGTCTTACATTTATACAACGCAATGAGAAATTCCAAAGTACGAAGCACGACCTTGCCGAGACATCGCTAAGTCCCCGGGCGGTGCGGCGACCCCTTGCCAATATCGAGCGTCGAGCGACGCCTCATCTTCAACTCTTTAGAACACTTAAAAGTCAAAATTTCAGACTCATTTATTTCGAGCGTAAATGCATCGAGTTCATAACGTTTTACGTGTCACTGTCCGAAGGAGACGTTCGTCCAGTGACCGCCGCGGCAACGATCCTTGCACTCTCATCACCTTTCATTAAACAATTATACGAGTCTATCTCATTTGGGTTTTACTTATAACAGACGTAATAAAAATATAAAATACTTATTTAAGATAGTTTGAACAATAATCCTTTTGGTATAAAATTTACGACAACTCTCTCACTAACAAGATATAATGTAACTTTTTAATAACATTTTATCACTCTTCTTCCTGGCAATTTCCCAGCCATAGCCAGGTTCTGCCTTACATGTTGTGATTTGTGAATAGTTTCGGCTATTTGTTTTAACGACCGGCCGCCTGCCTGACATCAACCCTCTTTGGGAATCAGCATTAATCAGTGATGTCTAAATACTCTTAGAAAAGTACATATGACTCGGAAAAATTATATTGGTACTTGTCCGGGCCAGGATGGAACCCGCGTCCTCATGCATGAGAGGCGGGCCTTTTAACCACTAGGCCACCACTCACTTAAACATTTTATCTATATATTTGATGAAACTGTTGCATTCGATATCTTTCAGGTATTAATATAAATAGTATAAAGTCTTCACATCTTATTTAGACCTAAACTTTGGTTTGCTTCTGACGAAGATGTCTTGAACATGTACCTATAGTGAATAAAATAAAAAGTATTTCGTATGTTCATATATGTATGCATAATATGAATGTTTGGTCATCTTGTACAGGTTGTGAGAGGCGAGTTGTGTGCGCGATCGCGGGCGTGTTCGCGTGTGTGTGCGGACGGTCGTGCGGGGCGGACGGCGGTGGTGTGTGTGTGAGGCGGCGACACCGGCCGCAAGACGGAGAGCGCGCGGCAGCCGGGGCCCGTGCTGCGCGCCGCGGGGAGGACCGCCGTCCCCCCGAGGCGGCGCTGGGTCCCGCCATCCACGCAGCGGCACCACGATGTGCCCGACGGAGAAGCCAAGCACGACGTCATCCATAGGAAAGTCAGTATCGATACAAATAAAACTATCTTAAATAGAGAAAATACAATTGGTTCGGTTATTTGAATTTCGGTTATTTGATTCTTTAAATTTAATTTCAAGTAAATAATAAAGGCAGAGAACAAAAAATTGCAGTAAACATGTCTTAGTGACGATATTGTAAATTGCAGGTGCGCGGCATACTTAACAAACTCACGCCGGAGAAATTCCAAAAACTGAGCGATGATCTACTCGCATTGGAATTGGATTCGGACAAGGTGCTGAAGGGGGTGATCCTTCTAATATTCGACAAGGCACTTGATGAACCTAAGTACTCGTCGATGTACGCTCAGCTGTGCAAGCGGCTCAGCGAAGAGGCGCCCAACTTTGAGCCGCCCGGCTCTCCCTGTACTTTCAAGCTGCTCCTACTCAACAAATGTCGCACCGAATTCGAAAATCGCGCCCAGGTATGACGTCATCTTTTTTATAACGAGAGAAATGAATTTAATGCACTTCGACTTATTTATTTATTCAACACTTGTACACCACAATTACTATCACAAACAATTACAGAATACACAAACTAATAAACTAATGGTGAAACAAAAGGCGGCCTTATGGCTTAATAGCCATTTCTTCCAGACTACCTTGGGTTAGAGGATTGTGTTTGAAAGACAGTATAGAGTGGTTCAATTTTAAATACTCTTAAAATAAATACAACCTCAACACATACAAAAATAAATAACAGTAATAAACATTCAATAATAAGCATACATACATATTTCAACAAATACATACATACATACATACATACATACTAACATTCAAACATATAAATACATACATAACATACATACATACATATAAATACATATATGTATATACATAATACATACATATATGACGTTATTAAATATTTTTCCTAATCATGTCGTAATCATTACTGTGATGACAGATATAAGTTCTTTACGGAGTTTTTAAATGCATGTAGGGTTTTCGACAGTCGAATGCTCAATGGCGAGTCGTTCCAAAGGGTTATAGCCTGAACAGTGAACGACTAGCTGTAAAATTTGCTGTTATGAGCAGGCATTTTCAGTACGAGCCTACGTGTTGGTCATACTTATGTTGTCATTTGGAAATTTCATTCATATTAATATGTATATTATACATTTTAGGCATTCGCGGCCTTCGAAGATAAGGCGCTCACTCCTGAGGAAGAGGAGAAACGGCATTTAGCCAAGTGTAAAATGCTCGGTAACATCAAATTCATCGGCGAACTGGGCAAGTTGGAGATCCTCGCAGAGTCGATCCTTCACCGTTGCATCCAGAACCTGCTGGCTCGCCGCGCCGCCGCCGAGCACCATGAAGACCTGGAGTGTCTGGCGCAGCTGGTGCGGACGTGCGGCCGCGTGCTCGACTCGGAGCGAGGCCGCGGTCTCATGGACCAATACTTCGCACGAATCGAAACGCTTTCCAACTCGCGCGACCTCGCTCCTCGCATCCGGTTCATGTTGCGGGACGTGGTGGAGCTCCGACGCGCGGGCTGGCTGCCTCGCACCGCGGTGTCCGCCGAGGGCCCGGTGCCCATACATCAGCTGCGCTCCGACGACGAGCCGCCGCCCCGCCGCGAGCGCGAGCGGGAACGTGACTCTTTGTTCAGGGGCGGTATGCGCTCGCGGCCTCTGGACGACGTGCTGGCCGGTCTGAGCCTGCAGCCGGCCGCCGCGCTCGTGCCGCCGCCGGACAAACTGTTCGGGAACGGTTTCGCTCCGCCGGCCTTCCGCCAGCGCTCGGCGCCCGGCTACTACCCGCGCTCACATTACAAGCACCAACAACACCAGCACACGCCCTCCGCGGGCAAGGAGGGCTCGCGCTCCGGCAAGGCTCGTGTGGCGGTGGCAGCGGGCGCTCTGCAAGACGTTCAGATGCGACCCGCCGCCAACTCTCTCATGTTCACGGCCAACAGGCTGTCTCGCCCGCCGCCCTCGCAGCTGCCACTCGCCTCCCAAAGTAACTAGCATTCATTGACTTCTACATTTTACCAATAGGGAGATGCTGAATTTACAGAATAGCTGCTTTTGGTCCATAATAATTACTAAATCGACTTAGTTTATTATAATACTACAAATTTAAAAAAAGAAAAGTTCATAAATATTTGTTTGAAATGAATAGCGAGGTCCTATTGTCCGACAAGAAAAAACACTTACCTACTCTATAAAATATTTTAAATTTTACCTGGTATTGATCGCTTGACAAAGAATAAATGAAGATACGAAGATAAGATAATTATAATATATTCTTATTCATGATTAAAATGACTGAAGTCTATGAAAATCAATTAATTATATATCTCTTAAGGTTTTATTTCTGTTCAGACGTGCTGACGCCAACATTCGCCAGTGCTCCGCCTCTTATGAAAGAGCCCTCTATCACTATCAAACCAGCGCCCGACAAAAAGGATAAACCGAAAAAGGACAAGGTTAGTCAGAGAAACGATTATTTGAAACATATCTTTAACAGTATCATTTATATAAACGGATTGTCTGACTAATATACATTAAGATGACTTCTTAATTGGTAATAGTGACAGAACAAGATGTGAATGTAGTCGACTAAATAGTCCGGTCAATTTAGACATTCGAAGTTACATAAAGTCCCAACAAGCTGAATTTCTGTGAAATTGTTCAAAACATAATTATAAACGATGTCTAGAAGTTCCCCATCATTCCCCTGTAAGGAAAATTTTTTATACTAGGTCAAAGGTCAAAAAAAATAGTTTTTCGCGATTTTCAGCAAAACGGTAAGTTTTATCATAAAAGTACTTCAGACAAAAATTATAGATCATAAAATTATCTATAACAAATGTATCAATACTTCTTTTCTTACGACCCACCGTTTCTGAGATATAACGATTCAAAAAGTTATAAAAGTTGTTATCGTCATAATATGTATGAGTACGACACGTATATACATCTAGAGTTGTTTTTGGTCTAAATTGACCGGACTAAAAGGTCATTAAAACGACCTGTCATTATATAACAGGGGTTGAACAAGGAGGAGGCCTGTCGCCTTGGCATCGAAGCGGTGAGTGCGCTGGCTGACAGCGACGAACGCATCGACCCACCGGAGCCCGAGCACGAGCACGAGCCGACGCTGGCGGCGCCGCTGAGACGACTGCACGACCTCCAGCTGCCCGACAAGTTACTACGGCGCGTCATCGCCGCGGTGCTGGAGCATGCGGTCACCGCAGACATACGACCGCCGGCCGACAACGACACCGAGCCGGATGGCGACGCCAATGAAGAAGATGAACGCGTCACTCGTCTGCTCTGGGCCGCCTGTAGTGTGGTGCGCGCGGTTAAACGAGCGCCGCTGGGGGAGCCGCTCAGGGCGCTCCTACAGGCGCACCATCCCCACCGCCGCTTACCCGGCCTCCTGGCACACGCCATCAAACAGGTGCATTATTGTAGCGACCGCCTTGTAATATTATTTATTTCATTTTAAGCCATCAGTAATTTTGATGATAATATGTTTGTTTTGGTCAGAAAATGTGTGAAGAGTTATATAAACATTTCTTGAAAATTTAATTATCATTTGAAAAAAGTTTATTCTATATCAATTCTAGTCCAGGATTCATGGCTGTTTTTGCACTTGATTACTAACAAGCTAATTTTCTGTGAGTAGCTTCGTTTCATTGAGACGCCCAACTTTTTCCTTTGTGATATTTCTTAATAGTGGTAGCTAATTTAGCTAGTAGAGATAAAATATGTTGATTTGATAATTTTCCAAAATTTATTACTAACTGGATTTATTTTTGTTAAATCTTATGATAATTATCTAAGTTATTCGAAAAAAATTTTGTCCTACAAAATGTATGGTTTGATCGATGAATCCCCCTCCTTTCAACATGTATCGATATCGAGGTCATCGCAAGTGATTACTAACCAGCTGATTTTTTTTTAATTTACTTAGTTAATATTTATATAATTTAACAGTAACATTGTCCTACAAGTTGCTTGGTACGTTATCCCCGTCCTACGTTTAAAAGTGGTTGATGCCACAAGACCATTTTTCTCATTACTAACTGTGGGACGAAATGCCACATCATAGATTAGTGTGATCTCTGCCCAAATGAAGCTATGTCCTACAAAAAACAGGTATGTATCACTTATCCGCCAGGAATTGTGATTTTTTCGTTTTTTACTTGTAACATAGGATATAAAGAAAATATTCTTTATTTTAATAAAAATAACTTGATTTTTTAGTGATGTGAGTACAAATAAAAAAAAAAAAACAAAAATTAATCTTCATCAGATTCATCTGATGAATCTTCGCTGCTTACATCGCTGTTACCTATTTATTTCATTGTCCTCATTTGTGATATCTCACTCTGTAATAACATGAAAAATGTTAGAAAATTATATAATAATACGTAATAAATCAATAATTAACAATAATATTAATAGGGTACCCATGTAGTATGTCAGAAGATAATTCGTCAAAAGATGGACTTTGGGGACCATCAAACCAATAAAATTCATAATTGACATCAATAATTAATTGTTCATCCAAAATTTTCAGGCAATTTTTCTGTGGGGCACCGCATGTGTGCATTACACCATATATTGCAGATGAATTCAGTTCTTTTAATTTTTTGCAACAATTCTTGTTTTGGTGGTTGCAAACTAAAAAAATCATATCCTTCGATTTTTGATTTAAAATTTCTTCATTTTATTTTTTTGATTTATACCCTTTTTCAAGTAACTCATACCGCCCTTTGTTGATATCTTTTTTTTGTTTTTAAAGAATACATTCTACATACATACTCTTCAATAATTTGAACTAAGTTATTCGATGTTATTAGTGCCGTATTTTCCATTGGTAAGAGTTGAATAAAGGACTCTTAAAAATTTAATATTTTTTAGAATACTAAGAGGTCTCTTTTTTCCCTTACGAAAGGATGCAGGATTATAATCATTCCCTGTAAAAATATGGCGACTGAACAAGACAATTGATCTCCAAGCTTGTCATAAATGTCGTTGATGTTTAAGGACATGTTTTTTACTCGTGCTTCAATTGATAATGATTTGAATGTCATCTTTTAAATACTTAAAATTTGTTAATTTATTAATTTATCTAGCTAGTAAGTAATCATTCGTGATGACCTCGTTATCGATACATATTGAAAGGAGGGGGACTCTTTGATCAAACCATTCATTTTGGAGAACCATTTTTTTTTATGAATAATTGAGATAATTATCATAAGATTTAACATAAAAAAACTTGTTAGTAATAAATTTTGGAGGATTATAAAATCATCATATTTAATCCCTGCTACCTCTGTTATCTACCACAATCGAGAATTATCGCACAGGAAAAAGTTGGGCGTCTCATTGAAATGGAGCTACTCACGAAGATTCGGCTTGATAGTAATTATTTTTTTATTAATGATCAGTACTACTACTTTTAAGCGTAGGACGGGGATAAAGTACCAAGCAACTTGTAGGACAATGTTACTGTTAAATTATATAAATATTAACTAAGTAAATTAAAAAAAAATCAGCTGGTTAGTAATCACTTGCGATGACCTCGCTATCGATACATGTTGAAAGGAGGGGGATTTATCGATCAAACCATACATTTTGTAGGGCAAAATTTTTTTCGAATAATTTAGATAATTATCATAAGATTTAACATAAATATATCCAGTTAGTAATAAATTTTGGAAAATTATCAAATCAATATATTTTATCTCTATTAGCTCAGTTAGCTACCACTATCAAGAAATATCGCAAAGGAAAAAGTTGGGTGTCTCAATGAAACGAAGCTACTCACAGAAAATTAGCTTGTTAGTAATCAAGTGCAAAAAACAACCATATATCCTGGACTATTCTGTTCATTTTTTTTTAATTAATGCCGATTTAAGATCTTGATCACATTCTTTTTGCCCATGCAGTTTGGGAATCATTAGGGGACAAAATTGTTAAAATTGATTACAAATTTCTTTTGAACTCATACCTGTTCATTTAAAATACAATGGTACGATGAATTTGCAGAAGTTAATATCGCTGTCAGAAGTAGGCACGTGGTGCGAGGGTGGTCAGTACCACCCGTTATTACTGGAAGTGCTGCAGTCCCTACGAGAACTCGTCGGCCTGGAGCGCCTCCAAGACATGCTCGAAGATAGTAAGGTAGGAATGGTGCAGAATATATAAGTCCATAATCTCAGATAACGGACTTGTTTTATGATTTACATTTATTTTTTGATATTAGCACTGAACTCTCTATTTTCATTTTTTTTTTAATAATCATGTATTGTCAGGTGAACCTATGCGCCTACGTGTCGGAGCGGGAGGGTGGCGCGGGCGGTCTTGATGCTCTGGAGGCTCGCGGTCTGGGCGCGCTGGTGCCGCAGCTGCGGGTGCAGGCGGCGCTGGCCCGACAGCTGGCCACGGAGCCGGCTCCGACCGCGCTGTATCGCTGGATCAAGGCTAACGTGGAGCCCTCCGTGAGACACAACGCCGCATTCGTGTCGGCGCTGGTGGCACTGGTCGCGGAGCACGTGACGGCGGCGGCGGGCGGCGCCTCGCCTGACAAGGCTGCGCTCGAGCGTGAGAAAGCGCTGGCCGAGGCCTACGCTCCTCTCCTGACAGCCTTGCTCGAGGGCCGCTCAGATCTACAGCTTGCGGCCGTGTACGCTGTGCAGGTGCATGCACACCATCACCGGTACCCTAAAGGTAATCAGATTAAACTCATTTAAAGGTATAGCTGTTATTTTTGGAGACTACAACTATTATTTTGTAGATTGACTCTCATTGTAATTAGAAGTCATTAATGGTAAGAGTGAATATGTTCTGACTGGGATAGTGTGTTAATCAGTTACGAGTTTATTTTAACCTACCATACCATATACCATCCTACCAGTAGGAGCGTTAGTGAAGCACTATGTGGTCGAATTTAAGAATAAACAGATATATTTACAAACACTTGTACTTATCGTCACAGGTATGTTGCTACGTTGGTTCATGTACCTGTATAACTTGGAGGTATGTGAGGAGGACGCTTTCCTGCGCTGGCGCGAGGACGTCACTGATGCCTACCCTGGTAAGGGAGAGGCTCTATTTCAGGTATGAATACTGTATACAGAAATTATAAATATATCATACTGTGTTATGGACTTTATAGTCCATAACACATATATTAAAGAAACTGGTGTTCGTTACAATATTTATAATTTAAGAACGGCTGTTGGGATATGGTTAAAAATTGGTGAGGAGATAGCTTATTGCAGGAAACGGACATATATTTCATTCTGTTCGATCGAGAAAGAAAAAATAATAATTAATTCTAATATCTGGTTATTTATGGCCACTAAGGCGGAAAAGAGTTCGCCCGGTCAGCTATAAATATTATATTACTAATGCCGACAAAAACTAATTAATCATAACTGATACATAACACATATGAACATCCCATTATATCCCAGATACAGATAACTTCACATACTGTTTCTTTCTAGGTAAATTTTAAAAAAAGTTTTTTATTTCTTATCCATGTCTTAAAGTTCGATACAAAATAAGTTCGGCAAGTGCCCTTTATTATTAGAAGGAGGTATCGTATTTTAGTTTGTACGCCTTATTCTTCATTTGTGCAATATAGTCCAACAAGACAAATTAAACAACTAAGTTGGTATCACAACGGACACTTTATTATATAATGATTCCAGGTGAACACGTGGCTGACATGGCTTCAGCAGCAGGAGTCCGAGGACGAGGAGGCCGAGGACTGAGACGCGACCGGCGACACTCAACACTGCACCGCTTTTATTTGCGCTCATCTCATATAAATATAATTAAGCCAAATAGTTTAATACCTACCCTCGTTACCCTTTAACACCGAAGTCGCCGCGCCCGCCGGCTCCCGTGTTAAATAGGTAAATTTTTAGGTTACTACGTAAACGAATATTAGTATCTCGAGATAATTTTTTGTAGGCCTTTTACTAGATTTTGATACTTTTACAAATGTATACAATGTATAGTGTTCGTTTGAACGTATGACTGCACTTCTATCTGCCCCTCCTTCCCCCGCAATGAGCGTGTTTTAGTTGAAATTGTTAATATCTATCGAGAACTTAAATCAATTTTATTATTATTATCATGATCATTTATTTTCAATACTAAATGGATGTAGTGAATAAACTGTAAGAATGCTTAAATTTCAATGTATTATCAGATTTTAGAATTTTGTAGCTAAATATAAAGAAAACTACAAAAAAATGTTTCCTCAGAAATAAGTAATGTATGTTGATTGAGTGATTTGTAACAAAAAGTTGTGAAGTGATGAGAAGTATAATAAGTACATTGGTCAATCTGTATTCAGGATGAGAAATAAACTTCAGTGTAAGTTATTACAGACTAAATGTTTCATTGAAATCTTCGTACCTCCTACAATAAATAATAATAAAAAAAATATATAAATAATAAAAAGTGAATTGATATATCGAAATATTTAATATGTATATCTAAAACTAACTAATAAAATAAAAACAGAATAAGTAATATGTGCATGATATACCTCTGTTTATCAGCTTTAAAAAGTTAATCTAATAAGTCATCCAAAAAAAAAGTTAAAATCAAAATATGTTCCACAAACCATTAGTTATGAAATAAAATATATGTACTAACAAAATAATTATAAGACATTAATGAGTATCAATACTCAAAATAAACTTCCAACTTCCAAGTATACCAACACTGCAACAATCCAAATGTTTTTTCGTAAGATACTTATGTCGTTAATTTTTATATAATGTTCTCAAATATAAAACCTAAAGTAATATAACAAAGTATCTACATATTACAGACACCTGGCAGCTTATTTTGCTCTTAAAATTGAGGAGGATGGTTTCTCAAATAATAATCTACTTAGGAGATAGAAACATGAAATTATACTTCAGACTCGGATTAAGTGATTATATGGATTTTAATTATAAAAATTCATCACTTGAAATAACTCCAAAGCATAAAACATTAAACCTTTTTTAGTTTAACTTCCATACTTATTAAGATATAAAGGAAATGGAAAAAGAAATGTAATCTTTTTTTTATTTTAAAAATAATACATGTAAGAAATGGAACAAAATGTTAGATTTTCTTGACTTATTTAAAATATGCTTTGTTTGGAGTTTTAAACAAAGTATGCAAAATAAAATTTAGTCAGTGATATTTAATGTTAAACTTATCAATGAGTTGCGGTTTTAGTTTATTACAATTAATTTTAATAGTACGAGAGCTAGCAACGTCAAAAAAACAAGAATTTCAGGTAGGCTAGTTTTTAGATATGCTATCTCTCACACTCCCCTGGACGTCCTACGGGCTATCTGGCTGCCGGTAGTGGTTGCGTTCATCAGTGCGCATCGTAGTTGTGGAGGTAAAAAATTAATACATCAAATCATTTTAAGAAGGTTTTTATTATTATTATTATTATTATTATTGAACTATTCACAACATAAATTTATTATTGCCAGGTATTTTTATTGTTGTTTAAACGGTGCCAAGCGGCAATTTTGAATTAATTTTTTTTTTTTTCAAACTATTTTAGTATAGCTGAAATTTTAATAGCATGATATTTAACTATCTAAAAGCTTAGAATTAATTTGCCAGGCAAAAAATCGGTTGTTTAACTTTTGCAAGATCGAATTAAAGTGTAAAGTGATGTATGTAGTATCATTTAGCTTGGTCTAGAAAATTAATCGTCTAATAAATAATGGAAGGAGGAATAAAAACTATTGAATTTATTTATAGATGAATACAAAATTGAGATAATGATCAATGTTAAGTTTGAAAAAGATCATCATCTTCATCACTGCTGTCATTTCCATTGTCATCATCGTCCTTAAAATTATTATCATTTTGTAATAAGCTGTTATCTGTAATAGAATCAAAAATTTTAATATCTTTCGAGAAATAATTTATTTTTGTATTTTCATTCAAATTTTTACCTTTAATAATAATATCGGCAACTAATGTTGGTAATTGCTCCCCAACGAACCAGATAAAATCATATTTATCATCATTAATGGTCCAGCCAGAAGCTTGAGGTGATAGAGATGTTGGGTATTTTAAATAAGCATTTCTCCAAAACGTTGTGACATAACGAACTCGTAGTAAGTGTTGATATAACTCAGCTTTACTTGGTGGTAGACTTGATGGATCAAAATTACGGAACTTTTTTTCAAAATTATACGATAGGGTTTTAGAAATCATACGTGAAGCGGTTAGTCTTTCGGTAGCCAGAGCGCTTTTTCAAACTTAACATTGATCATTATCTCAATTTTGTACAACAATAAAGTATTATTTTTATACCGTATTCATCTATAAATAAATTCAATAGTTGTTAATCCTTCTTCCATCATTTATTAGACGATTAATTTTCTAGACCAAGCTTAAATGATACTACATATCTTTACACTTTATTTCGATCTGGCAAAAGTTTAACAACCGATTTTTTGCCTGGCAAATTAATTCTGAGCTTTTAGATAGTTAAATATCATGCTATTAAAATTTCAGCTATACTAAAATAGTTTGAAAAAAAAATATTTTTTAATTCAAAATTGCCGCCTGGCACCGTTTAAACAACAATAAAAATACCTGGCAATAATAAATTTATGTTGTGAATAGTTCAATAATAATAATAATAATAAAAACCTTCTTAAAATGATTTGATATATTAATTTTTTACATCCACAACTACGATGCGCACTGATGAACGCAACCACTACCGGCAGCCAGATAGCCCGTATGACGTCCAGGGGAGTGTGAGAGATAGCATATCTAAAAACTAGCCTACCTGAAATGCTTGTTCAAAAACGTTGCTAGCTCTTAGAATATACAGGGTGACTGGTGAATTACTATCGATACTTGAGGACGTGATATTTGACGATCATATATGACAAAATAAAAATTAATATAACATAAATATTAATAAACTTCTAAGTAAAGTTAACCAAAAGTTATGTTATTAATTACGCATCGTGTGAACACCCTACAGATTAGGTATACACACACTCACACATACGCGTGCAGCGGCGTCTTGTTGTATCAGCACGCCGCCGCACGCGTCCACACTTGGAACGTGTCAACACTTTATTTATTTATACGGAAATTTTGTCAAAAATTAAGTGCCTATTTTTTTTACATAATTCGAATGGGAATCATGTACCGAGTATTCTCCTTAAATATTGATAGTAATTCACCAGTCACCCTGTATATATATAAAGGTCATTTAGAAGTCTGGTAATTCCATACTTTACAGTTTTTGGATATAAAGATTTCATGTTAACAAAAAAGTATCAGAAGGCAAAGAGGATTTTATAAATTTCCTTTGCTGCACAAAAAAATTTCTAAGACAAACTTCAGTATTAAAGAATGGTCATGAATGGTTAAAAAAATTTAAAATTCAGAAGAAAGGCTTTTTAACTTTGTTCATTGCAAATCTACTTTGTGTATATTTTAATTGACTTATTCAATAGTTTGAAATAATAAAATCAGACATCAAATAAATGTTTTTTTGTAAAAAACAATTTCATGAATTAATATATGCCATATTGTTTATTGAAAATATTAGAGAAATAATAATCAGAGAGAAACAGAGAAATAAAAGTAAACCCATAATTCCCAACAAATTATTTATTTACAGTTTGATTGTAAATATTTCTACAGATGTTTCATAGGACAACAAAGCTTGGGTGAAATAATTTACATAATCTTGTATTGAAGCTATACCTTTTTATTACTTAATTTCAAGTGTTAGAATCCACTCTGCTCAAGTACAAATGGAGCTGTAATAAAGAAGAAAAATATTACTATACTATGTATTATATTTAACTTTATACCTTAAAAAAAATTTGCTACATAGGTTCTAAGGAAACTTAACTGGCTATATTATATTTACTAATAACGAATTCTTTATGTAAGCTGTCATAAAGCTACCAATACACAAAGAATATAATAATTTTATTAAATTTGCATTAATAACTACGTCTCAAAACCAAACAAATTATCTAACTGGTTACGTCTATGACTCAACAAACCTTAGTGTTAATGTAATTAAAAACAAGCTTTGCCTCTACTATCTAGTGCCATTTTTATGTTTTTCACAATATGGACACTGAGTCCTACTGAAAATATATCAGCAAATAATATATATTTTAACTGTATAGAAGTTTCATTTTACAATATTTTTGATGAATACAATCGATACAGTCTGCAACTTACCTATTCTTATTGCAGCACAGAGCACACAAAATGTTATCATACTGTTTATAGTATTTTCTCTTGCTTGACGTTTCTCCTCCAAGGGATCAACTCTTTCTCCAAAAGGTAAACGAAACATGTTGCTTTTATTTTTTTATTAAACTTTTCGGTATAACCTCAATATACTATGTTGTTCGACAAAATAATGTCACATTTTATTACAATTATGAAAAACACAAAACTTCGAGTTGCCAGTTGCAAATGCTCACGCCTCACATAAAAAATAATGCAAGAAGTATTTAACAAAAAAAAAAATATCAAAAAATATTATTTTTATGATTCTGAACAAAATAAAAATATAATTATAATAAAATGAAAATTTGATAACTAAAATGAAATGAAAACACGGAATCTAGTCAGATTTTAGTATTTAGAATAGGATATTTTTATGTGAAAACTAAAAAAATATATTCAATATTTTGACATATTAATAACAATTGACATATATATATACATCTTCTGTTTATAATCTATGCAAGTCTACCAACTACATAACAAATATTTACAATATTTCTTTCACCAATATATTTGTTAATAGTCTTTCCCTAGTTTTTTTCTAGAACGATGATAAGTTCATAATTTTATTGTCATTAATGAGAGACTTTTAAATTGTCATTGCTGTTTACATTAAATTTTGAAAGGTCCGATATTTAAAAAAAAATAAAAGCTAAAGTTGCGCAACATGGCGAGCTCGTCTCAGCTGCTGCTATGAAAAATTCGTCTTAAACGGCTGTAACACGCTCTAGTTAACAAGATTTGGAGTTAACAGTTATTTTAATTTGTCTCAACATCAACAGAGGTGATGGAACATTCTGTGATTCTGTGCGACTAAATTGTAAATGGTGTTAACAAAATTTCTATATTATTCGGTTTTTATTAATTTGTGAGCTCAAAGGAAACCGTCAAGCTGGAGCGACTCCCGGAGTACCTGCGCGACACTGTCGACTGGTTCATGGGGTAAGCAGACCATAATGAAACTATTTCCTATACCCTCTGTATCTACCAACAACTTGTGTTGACCATTGTCATGTTAATACTTTGTTCTGTAGCCACACTTGTCTACAATATTATATTTAGTTGACAGAATCAGAAACTTTAATAATGTATATTATACAGAAAAATAATGTATTGATGTTTAACAATAAATAATGTTTTTAAGTTTTGCCTTAACATGTACAAAATGTAAATGTCACTTATGACTGCACTAACATGAGAACCTCTGTTTTTAATGTTTTATTATGTAGTAATTTTAATCATTCATCTTATTTAAGAAGTCTGCATTACTGGTTACTAAAAAATCTTAATGTCTTTAGTCTTATGTGAACTAAATGTTAATAAAATTTAAATCTAAGACAAAATAAGTTCTATATATTTTACTATTACCTTAATGTATGAATAATATAACACAAAAGACAACTGATTATATTCACATTTGATCGTTAACTAAATCAAATACATTTGTTTAGTGTTAAATATTGACCGAGTGTGACAACTTGGCTGGCAATAAAACTCAAGGATTCTATCAGTGAGGAAACTGTTAATGAAATGATTAAGAAAGATTTTTTTTAAATAATCAGCTTGTGAAACAACTAATATGTTAAATTAAATATTTTACACCTGCTAACAATTTTCCTAAAGTGTGTTTTAGTTTTTTATATATGTAACTTTATTTATTTAGGTATACATACATCAATACAAAACTGTTTTTAATTATATAAAATAAAACAAGTGTAAAAAAAATATTCTTGAAGAATGTTTTAGATGCTTGAATACAAATAAAAATACAGTGGATAAGTTTTTACTGAATATAGCATAGAACTGGTTTTAACTGTAAAGTGATAAAAACAATTAGAGAGGTGGGACGGTTAGTATGGGTGTAGTGGTGGTGGTGATAAGGCGTGATGTCAGAGCGGTGGCGGCGCCGGCGCGCTCGCTGCGTCCGCCGCGGCGCTCCACCGCGCTCGGCGCTCGCCAGTGATCAGTCGCCCGCGGCGCGCACCAGTCCCGCGCCTACCGACTATGAGCGCCGGCGAGGAGCCCAGCCCGCGCCGCTGGCCCGTGGGCATCCTGCGGCGCAGCGGCGCGCGCGCGGCCCGCCACGTGCTCCACGTCAAGTACCGCTCCGTCCCGACCTCGCCAACACCACCACCCTCCATCGTGCTGCCGCTAGACATCGACGACACGGTCTCCTGTTTTTGCAGGTGCGGAAGCTAAAAACCGATACGTTATCAATGCTATCGATCGAATCGCAGCCAGATCTGAGTTGTCTCTGAGCCTCGTGTGTCATAATGTACACACTGCTCATGGAAAATTTTGAATTAACATTTAAGTTAAATGAAACGATTATATGATGTTGTAATCGGCTCAGTAATGACATAAAATGAGTTTGTTTGCTTGGAGCCGTTAATCCGGTCGTCTTCTATAAACATTGAAGGTGTCTCAGTGTTGTGGTCTCGGTGTTCCGATGGTGTTATCGCCGTATCGCGTCTTATCATAGCTCCCACCTGAGTGACGTCACGCGCTCTGCACTCACTCTATTGTTCTCGCAAACTATTGTTTCAACATTATACTGAAGTAATATCTGTGTTGAAACTTAAAACGTGTCTTTTCTTGATGTACTAAGATTTTTTCTGTCTCAATATTTACATTTCAGACACGCCAAGCGAAACTATTTGTTTACTATAACTTCTCAGTCCTTACTCCTTCCTATCATCTGAAGTCAACTTTTACACTTTGGGATGTCTGAGGCTGACATTTCTGTGTGTTTTATATACAACACCATATTTACTAAACGATTGCTAGGATGACTAAGATCGTGTATGTGTGTATGTGTATCTGGTCTATGTGTGTTTGAGGGTTGCCATATGAAACACCTTTGTAACTCTTATATTACTACTCAGTTCCTTATGATTTGATGAAGTTATTTGTAATAAATGACGTAAAAAAGTAGAATTTTTCGAGAAATCAATATTTATTTCATCAAAACTAGATTTCTTTGAATTAATGAGCAAGTTTAAGATGTATTTCAATGAACAGTGTACCAAATAATTCATTATTTTGTTTCATATCGAGACCTTCGTGTGCGTAGAATTTGGTGTTTCAACTTGTAGTAACAAAGGTTAAAAGATTAATTCTTAATTAATTTTAATGTACATATATATTAACAGAATTAGAACATATTGGAAGGAACACAGAAAATGTCAAAAAAATATTCGTTTTTCCTTATATCTAAATGTAAGTCTTAAACATTTAATTTTATGACTGTGTATCTTTATGACTAAGAAAAGATAAACCAAACAATATACTTAAAGAATGAGTCGCACTGAAAAATTTAATATTTTCAATTTCAGATATATGTAAGAACCCAAACCTTTAAAGAAGAATTTTAATATTAATATTATTTTTAACCTCTATCATATACCTAACCTTAAAAGTATTGCATTAATTTTATGTGATAAATAATGAAGTATTTCAAGCAAAAACGTTTCTTTTGCATTTTACTGATTAAATAAATGAAATGCTATTTAATTAATATACCGTAACAACAGACGTACAAACGTGTACAAGCAGTTACGGTTGGTTGTTTTTACAAATATTCCATACAATGTATAAAATAATACAGGAAAAAGGCATGAAAATATAATTCGAATATAATAATTAATATTATAATTTATGATATGAAACTAAAACATAACATTAAATAAAATTACAACGGTCAGACTCGTGTCCCTTGAGAATGTTATTCATGTTATGGCCTCATGTAAAAAGAAATATACAAAAAAATAATGACATTTGTTATGTATTTTTTTTACATTCGGGCATATGAAACTATGAGAATTAAACATTACAGTGGACCTCCGGCAAGCCGGCCCTTGTCAAATCCGACGTGGTCTTTTAATTAATACTAGCTTTTGTCGCGACTTCGTCCGCGTGGAATAGTGACTTCCGGCGGATTTTTGGTTCTTCCCACATAGTTCCCGTTCTTGCGGGGTTTTCGGAATGGTCGAGTTCCCGTAGAATTTTCAGGATAAAACCTATGTTTTTTTTTATTTACGTTTTTGTGAGTTAATCTTAAAAGATAGACATATACTGTCGCGGACTGTTTTTTAGATCATTTAAAGAGTTATTATTCTTTAATACATATTTTTGTGTATCTTGAACAGTTTTCACGGCGCACGCAACGGAAGGCTTCAAAGATGAAATAATTTCTCCCGTTTTTTACACATTTACCACTATATCTTTGCTCCTATTGGTCGTAGCGTGATGTTATATAGCCCACAGCCTTCCTCGATAACTGGACTATCCAACACAAAAAGAATTATTCAATTCGAACCAGTAGTTTCGGAGATTAGCGCTTTCAAACAAACAAACAAACAAACTCTTCAGCTTTATAATATTAGTATAGATTAAATATTTTTTGTGTTTCAACAGCAATTTTCTCTATTACTATACTAAACTAATTTGTGGATCGTTACATCTGGACCATTTTTTCCAAAACCATGTAACAGTTGATGAATGAAAAGCATTTCACGATTGCCAAAGAGCAAAAACAAGTCTATCATATTAAATTCTTTTAATCTTTTTTATGAGCTGGTCTTTGGGTACAGTTTTCAGAAAAAGCTTTGTCCACAAACCACAAAAAATCTTTCCTTTTAAGTATATTGTTATTAAAATATTTAGCTTCGTGACAAAGATGCGACCTGAAATGTATTTAACGCCTTTTAGTTGGGTTTTAGAAGACTGAGAGACGAAATTTTAATCGCTCCTTTTAACAAAACAAAAACCAAATGAATATTTGATGCTTTTTAATTTGGTTGGTTCATAATTTTTGATTTACTTATGTGTATTAGTTTGTACACAATTATTTCCTAATGTACTTTTATTTCCTATTTTAGAGAGGTTTATAGCAATAATAACATTAATTTTATAATACATATAACGTAAGCTCTCTGTTTTGTTGTTCAATATACAAAATACTACATATATATAATGAATAATGATTTTTACTTTAGAGAACATATGTATGTGTTTAACATATAGAATCTTAATTCGAACGTATTTTGTCAGATTACAAGTTAAGATTTTTTAACAAAAAAAAAATAGGACTACCTGTAGGTAGCTCATAGGCGGATACGCTACGTTCCGTCAAATTCGCTAGTCCGACAGTGCCGTGCAAAATGCTTGTCGGATTACCGCTGGTCCATGGGGATCAGTGTCCTTACCACGTGTTTCCTTCCCTAAAAACATTTTGTGACTATTTTGTGACAAATTGAAACCTCGTGATAGGGGCACTGATTTCTGTTTCTACTCAAGAGTAATGAAATAACGTTATGCATTCGTCTCCGTAGTGTATGTTGCGTCAGGAGTCCAAGCATTGATTGCCTCCACTTGACTCCGAGAAAGATTAATTGGAACGGTGGCGGGGAACGTCGCACGCGCTTTATACTACGATACATACATTACTAAAACTTATTTGAACATCACTAAGATTACCTTTATAAAATCGGTTTAATTCATTTTCTATCAGACTGTGCCGGATAACTCATCAATAGAAATCATTTTTAGAAAATCCTCAATCTTTAATATAGCCACAGAGAACACCATTTTTAACTTCAACAATCTTATTATTGTAAAGTTTTCTAATGAAAACTTTTTCTATTATAAACATTATTGTACAGTACAGCTATATGCCTAATACATGTTAGCATTATCACACTACATAAGGAGTGTTTCCAGTTCTTAAACCATATTCAGATAGGTTTAAATTATCAAAGTAAGATATTAAACGAGAAACGAATCGTATGTAGTGTGATTTTTTTATATATTTTTCCAATATTAACCTAAATTATCTTATGTAGTAATTCCTTCATGAGGATCGTAATATCTTTAAAACTAGTCTTAATAGTTTATTTGGCTGATTCATATTTTTTCTATCCATTTATATAATCACGTTGCTATTAAATATGTATTATCTTTAGAATATTCTAGTTATTCTATTAGAACACTCATAAAATAACATTGTTATATATGTATGATAATTATGTTACGATAAGATAAGGTGTATGTACCTCGTGGCTGTTAGAAATTTCAGTTATACGAAATTTGACATTATATTATGTATATCATATAAACGTAATTGTTATATATTATTAGTATACAATTTTAATGTATATATTTTTACATATATATATTTGTTTAATATGTAATATGTACATTGCATTGTTCCAGGTGAGTCGCATGCTCGCTCGCCGCGTCCTGTAAGTGATCTTATCACAATTCTGACACAACAGCCAAGCTATTAATCCCAAACATCTCGCACTATCACTATAACCAAATATACATTCCTGCTTTGCGTTACTTGAATTTGCATGCGTACGATATCATTACTGTAACGAAGATTTAAAAAATGCACATAGATTAATTGAAAAATGCATGTAGGGAGGTTACAAAAGAAATTTTAATGTAATAATTTAATTTATTGCGACAGTCTTAAAAACGTGTTATTTAAAAGACCATATCGTAGCCTGACACAATCTTAATGAATAAGTATGAATCATAATATTAAGATAAAGCAAGTTAATTCACTTCATAATTAAAGGTATTTAATGAATTTGAAACTTGTTAGGAAATTAACCCTTATGTTTTATATATTTTTTGTTCCTACTTGTAATTCTATTTAATAATTTTCTATCCTTCCACTATTTTGTATGCACCTGGGTCTTAATTAATTTATTTCTGTCCCACACTCAATGCAGTTGAAAATAAAATTTTATTTGCCGAACGGAACGGATCTACCGATGCACAATACGCCTACATTACACTTCTTTCACCCTTTCCTATCTGCCACTTATAATTATTAACTTATTCTATTTTAAATATCATCTGTACTTTATTTTTAATGCTTTAGTTATATCATCATCACATTACCATCGAAACCTCAAAAAAATATATTTTGAATAGTTTTTTTTTCTAACATGATCATGTGTTCAACCAAATAATTATCACGTGTATGCTACAATCAATATTTCCATGGAATATTCTATCTGTATAGTATGTGCTAATTGACGTAAACACCATGATCAGCTCATGTGTACGAGGACTTCAACGTATGTATATATGGGTACATCCGCCATGTATATACAGGGTGACTGGTGAATTACTATCGATATTTGAGGACGTGATATTTGACGATCATATATGACAAAATAAAAATTAATATAACATAAATATTAATAAACTTCTGAGTAAAGTTAACCAAAAGTTATGTAATTAATTACGCATCGTGTGAACACCCTACAGATTAGGTATACACACACACTCACACATACGCGTGTCGTGACGTGTTGTTGTATCAGCACGCCGCCGCACGCGTCCACACTTGAACATTTGGAACGTGTCAACACTTTACTTATTTATACGGAAATTTTGTCAAAAATTAAGTGCCTATTTTTTTTACATAATTCGAATGAGAATCATGTACCGAGTATTCTCCTTAAATATTGATAGTAATTCACCAGTCACCCTGTATAATAATCAAAATAAACATTAATATAAAAATGTATACGAATTGGAATACACACTTTGTTCTTTCATACAATATTCAAGAATAAAGGTTTCTTTAATCTTTTTGAAGGCTGTATATTTTGTTTCTTCGCGTGATTACAATAAAAACCTATTTATCAAGCACGTATGTATTCATTTCAAAATGTTAATCTAAAAACAAAGGTATCGGAATACAGTCGCTTTGTATCCGTAAGCGTTCATAACTGTAACCTGATGTTTGTAACTTGAATATACAAAAACAAGCCCATAGTTATACTATACCGTTAAAATTAAAAATATACTTATAATCACTTCTTTAAATACCAAAATAAACTTGCTGAATAGATCATGAGATATTTTATCCAGAGATTGATCTCGGAAGATGTATTTTTATTCATCGGAGACGATTTTTCGCCCATGCGTTGTATGTAATGTTTAGGTAAGTAGGTAATCGGAGAAAAAAATATTCCCAATATACCGGTAGTTATGGCTTTCTACTCGTTAAGAATACGCACCAATGGCGCTGGTTACAAAAAACAAAGTTTATTGTGGTAATAATTTTAAATACGGCGTATTTAATAATATCAGAGTATTAAAACAAAAACCCAATATTGTAATAATAGTAATATTCACAGAAAAAATATACTATGTATAATATGTTGATGATATTAAATGATATTTCCACGTTCATTTATTTATATAAATATTAATTATATAAGAAGATTCAGTCTCTTTTGTGGACTATTGTGGTTTTTATATAATAATTCAATGACTGCTCCGCCATTTTAATTGTCCTTAAATATACGAGACCTTTTATATGAAACATTACTTAACAATGTTACCTGTGGACAATTACGTATTCCCATAACAAAGACGGTAGAATAATATCTTAATTATTATATAAAATTTTATGTTATTTTAAGTATATAAATAATTTTGAAATAATTAAGGTTAAACTAAAATTCAATAATTACCTGTGTTGTTATTTGCACAGTATAAGTATATATCCTTATTGTATATATCCCCGTTGCCAATTATAAATCAAAAAAAATATATTTTACTATGTGTCGTAAGAAAATCTAGTACCGCATAGAAATATGAAAAATATAATGTTTTGACAAATAATTGTAGTATTTGGTTTGAAAGATTTTTCGTTAAGCTGCATTACTGGTAGCGAAATTGTAGCGAATTGTTCGTCTTCAAAGTAAACGATCGACAGCTAGCGTCATCGCAACCTTGTCATCGGTTTTTATGATTTAAGGCTTGACTCATACCTTTATTTACATTTGTAAAGCCGTTTATAATCTAAGCGCATAGAAACATTCTCGCAAACGTCTTACGGTTTCTTATATTATACATTAAATTCGATTAACACATCCAAAGCACGTTAATGCACGGTGACGTCAAATCAAATTCATAGTAAATGTAAACGCTGTTAACGAACTTGGATTTTTTTACATCGGTATTCGATATTATTGGCTTAACCTCAGTAATCTGTTTGTACTCTCCTCAGAGGGCGGACAAAGAGGGTACTGACTACACCGGTCATCCCTAGCCTCACCCACATGATAAGCATATAATTTTATCCGACATATCTTTTCTGTGCAGGTCATTTGTCGCAAAAAAAAACTGTTGTATGAAAGTCTACCTCGTAAAACTGAAAAAAAGAAATTATATGCCCTCTGATCGCTTGTTGTCTATTTGATAGAGATAATATAAAACACATAATTTATATGTAGAAGCTGTCGTTAGATGGTGTACCCGAAAAATAAATTTTATAATTAAAATTGTTGTTGTGTGTCATGTATCATAAAATTTTTTCTTGTTACTGGCGTAAAAAATATATTTTCTTATTATGCTGTAAATAAAATAAAATAATTGTTTAATTCAAGAAACTATACTGTAACATCTCGATTGGAGACTTCGTTACTTTCGGCCTTGAAATTGCAATTCCGATCAGAAAAATATGATAAATTCAAAACAAACAACAACGGTTATAAATAAACTAGCTTTTGCCTTCTTTCTTGTCCATTTCGTTAACCATGCCTGAGATACGCATTGTCATCATTGCGAGGTTTCATTCGATTGCTCGAAAATATTTTAAACAGAACAACTGGCTGAGTGACAATAGAAGCCTTACGGTTAAAAAAGAATTAAGCGTATGATAGCGTAACAAACATTTAATCGAATCGAGAATTGCCTCCTTCTTGGAAATCGGTTAAAATGTAGTCTTAGTTACCCGTTATCATCTAACCTTCTTGCCTTAAAACTCTTGTCAAAATCAGGACCGACTTTCCTGAAATTAGCCGAAACAAAAAGACCATCCGACAAAAAAGTAAAAATTACATTTTACATTTAGTCTCGTATACACTTTGAGAAAAAGTTGTTTATATTAAATTACTAACGGATACTTCAATTTAATTTGTATGGATAAACTTACAGAATACTTAATGTATTTCTGAGCCAAAAATTAATTCTTTCAAGGTGTCTCATATTTATTGGGCTATACGCTTACACTATATACTCAAACAATCGTTTGCCCTTGAACTGATTAAGCTTCGGTTAAGAAAAACAAAATTGCAGCTTCTTATAACAGCATACTCGTCTAGATAATCTCGATCGAGCTGATATGTCACGTGGAATATTTAGTTAGGCACGTGTAGAGTTTATGGAGGCCGGAACAATAGCAGGTTGTGGGTACCGCTAGTGTGATGTATGAACAATGGACACCCCACACCAGACACCTCACATCTGACACCCAGCCGCTGACACTTGACACCTGACGCGAGCGAGCCGTGACTTAGTGACGGATGGTGAGCGTATTGCACCATCACTTGAACGGTTGCTCCTATGAATGAACGGACATGTTTAATTAAATTAACAGTTTTATTTATGTTGACAAGAATTTTCTTACATTACTTTATTCTCTTATAAAACAATAACAATGAGATGAAATGGAACAGTGGTTGACTGGTTAATGGAATTTATTAAGAAGGAAGAGTTTCAACAGAAATTTATAACAGGCTCAAAATAGAAAACGGTTAATTGAGAAGTTTTACTATCTACCCTCGAAGCTCTTATTGAAATCCATCGTATGAAAAATTCGTTATGACAAATAAATTTAAAATGTGCCTTTAAGTTGCGATGTCGTCTGAATACGTATTAATGGTTTATTTCTGTTCAGTATATCATATAAAACTAAAGTACTGCTTTAATTTTAATCTGCGAGTCTGTGAAGTTTACTTTATTCAACTCGACCCTGTAATATAATCCTTTTCTAACAGAAAATAATTGGTGCGATAGCAAATTCTATTAAACATTGAATTCTCTCTTAGTTGGCTTTGTAGGAGCGGAAGGATGGCAGGTTATTCCAGTACGTTTCCGTTCGCAAAACATAAGAGTTTATATACAACAACAATGGGGGTGCATCGCTTCCGTCTGTAACTTTATAATGTATTATTATGACCTCATATACATATATAATTTTTAACATGGCTTAATTCGGCTTCAGGTGATGAGTTGTTATTAAGAATATAATATGTAAACGTAATAGATATATCGACAATTAACTATAGTATTCCTATATGTATATCAACCAGGACGTTATAAATATAAATCATAGTAGGATCAGTATGAGAGCTCTTACAATCGTATCATTAGTATAAGAGCTTAATATTTTGATAACTCCGGTGGTATTATCGTCAGTTGAACGTTGTTGTTGTTGTTTCAGGTGAGTGCAGTTCGAGTCTCCGTTGCATGTATCTATCATGCTGGACTGCCTCTGGTAAGTCCAATACATCCCCGAAGTAATCTAGACCAGCCATTGATGAATGATGATTGACGTATACATTTGTTCATTTACTTTTCGTTTTATATTGTGTTTGTAAATTGTTGTGGTGCGCTGTATTTGCTTAGTTTCTAACGACGTTGTGGATGATTTGCGTACGATCGTAAATAATTGTTTTAGTGCACATTGAATGTTCGTACGGTATGAACAGAATGTTTTAACCTTCGTCGGATGACAAGTCGAATAAAGATCGCTATTTATGGCAATTCGCAATTACGTATCCAAGAGCACAATTCTGCATACTAAAATAGCTAATTAGTAGATAATTTCGTAAATGATACAATTTTAAACTTACTACGTAAACGTTAAATTTAATTGAAATCTACGACAATATTTAGAAGTTAATAACCATGGCAGGTTTCTGATGGGACTTTGTTAATGCATCTTGTCGTCACCAAAAAATATCAAATAATAATTGTATTAAGAAATATTTATTTATTTATTATTTATTTAATACTTTTTTGCACACCACACTTTCAATAAAGACAATTACAAAAAAAAACAAACTTAAAACTAACGATGTAACAAAAGGCGGCCTTATGGCTTATTAGCCATTTCTTCCAGGCAACCTGGAAGAAATAATATTATATACGTAAAGAGCATCATGCATAGTTAATGTATTCAAATTTATATTTATGTATACAGGGTGACTAGTGAATTACTATCAATATTTAAGGAGCATACTCGGTACATGATTCTCATTCGAATTATGTAAAAAAAATAGGTACTTAATTTTTGACCAAATTTCCGTATAAATAAATAAAGTGTGTACACGTTCCAATTGTTCCAAGTGTGGACGCGTGCGGCGGCGTGCTGATACAACACTACGCCGCCGCCGCGTCTGTGTGAGTGTGTGTGTATACCTAATCTGTAGGGTGTTCATACGATGCGTAATTAATTACATAACTTTTGGTTAACTTTACTTAGAAGTTTATTAATATTTATGTTATATTAATTTTTATTTTGTCATATATGATCGTCAAATATCACGTCCTCAAATATCGATAGTAATTCACCAGTCACCCTGTATAATAATTAACTGCTCATTCGACTTCCGAGGTTTGCAGTAATATTGTCTAAAACTATCATCATCGTTGTTGATCTATACAGTATACACTTGTATGGGTTTGATACCACACACCCTTTAGATATGATAGCTTTATGGAGACCAGCAAGTTTGTGAGTATCGCGTTTAGGTCATTAGAACGACCTGTTTATTTGAACGCTTTATTGATACTGACTAAATTATGACAATGCTTACATTTATATATGCTTATTAATGTGTACGTACAATAAAATTATGTTAATGTATGGGTGAACCCATACATACTCCCGACAGGAAGAAATACAAAGAAAAACTATAAATGCTATGAAGGTATACAAATTATGGTATAAAATAAGATATAAGTAATATTTAAGAAAACCAAAAAACTTATATAAAATAAAGATAAAATGATACAATATTGATAATAATTAAAACTTTACAAGCTTGAAGTGTCTATCATTATGCTTGCATTATTTGACCTATTGCACTTGGTACACATCGGCGATGTTGCTTTGTTCACATAACGCGCACTACGGAATTCACTGCACCTTTCACTATAGCTCGACGCCGTCGGTGGCGCCTCTGAAGGCACTGCCACCCCAGCTCGCTCCATCTTCGCCGTCTGCGCTGCTGGCCCAGGCTGGATCGGCCTACGAAGACGCCTCCAGCCGAATAACAGCGCAGCAATTACTATTATGCTGACGCAAATATATATAGCAGTATAATGGTGTACGTCATGAAACGTTGTTCTGTCTAGTAAAGGTTCAGTTTTCTTCATGACCTCCAATTTGTTTTCAATGCTCTTAATTTGCGTTTGAATCTCAGAAGAGTTGGATAATGTTAGGGTTGGTATTGATATATTTATAATATGATTTATTGGTGCTATCACCGGTACAAATATCTGTGCGTTTAAGTGCATTTCGCTTGATTTTATGTTATGTGCTAATAACGTAAAATACTCTGACTTAATAGTACAATCTCTGTCTAATGTAAATATGCCAGCGCGCGTAAGCTTATGAGTCGTAATTTGATCACCACATATAGATCTCAGCTGACATTCGTTACAACAAAAGTAAATATATGTGTTTGGAGAATAACTCTCAATCCAATGATCTTTGCATGTGGTTATAGATATTTTGCATTCTGATGTTTCAATTTGGCAAAATTCCTTGTCACTCTTTATGTTGTAGATTGGGCTACTTATGTGACATAAATAATTATCAAAATTTATGCATGAATTGATAATGCTCTGAGATAAAGTTACATAGGTATCCCCCTTTAAGTTAATTGCTACATAATTCGATAACGGTATAATGCTAATCATGTTATTTTCCTTTCTATTAGGTATTGGAATAATATGAAATATTTCATATGTGTCTCTAATTACCAATGGTATTCTTATCTCAATTATTAAATATTTTTCTAATATTCTTGCTCTCGATTGAATCAATTTATAAATTTTATTTGTTTGGGTAGGTATATTGGGTATAGGCAAGGTGACGTCTTTATATGGTTGACTAGCTATGTTACTAAGTTGCTCTCCCAACTGCTTAGGTGTTATTAAATGTGGATTGAATCGACCATGATATATATCTGTAATGGTGTCTAGTAACGTACTCTGTAAATTTTTTAGATTATTAAGCATGTTACTTCCGATGACAGCTCCTGCGAGCATTTCATTAATTATTGTTATATTTTGAATTTCTGATTGAAACGTATTTGTCGATTTATCCAATAAATTAATGTGCTGATTAATCATTTTATACTGCTTGCTAATTGTGCTCTCCACGCGCTTAAGAACGTTATTTTCAGCTTCAATTATAGATGTTTGATTTTTCCAGTATGATGCTAAGTTTAATTGGTTAGTACGAAGTAATGTGGTATCTCTTTGATATTGTTCTGCGAATCTTGCGTCCAGTACTCCGAACAGGCTATTTGCAAGATAGCCGACACCGTTAATAAGACCTCGCCGCAGCCTTGCCGACGAAGTCAAAATATGCTGACCCAGTAACAGCTGATTGTAATATTCCAGTTCGTCGCACCCGTGACCTAATTGTAATAATAGTAACTCGCATCGTGTTTGCGTTCTTATTGTTTTGCAGGTTTGTTCGAGTGATTGTTTATACTTATTAATGGCTGCTATTCCTTCCCAATAAGGTTCCATATTGTAATATAGAATAAGTTTCCAATCGTCCCGTATTATTTGCATATTTCCAAACTTATCGAAGTATAAACCTTGATTGTCTCTAAATTTAGTTATATTTGAAGTCGAATATGTGCTGGATATAGTGATCATGAAGAAAAGCAAAGTCATGATCGTAGAACTGAGTCCCCGACGAATTGTTATTCTTGTTTGTTTTTTCGTCGGTTCAGAGGATTGTTCCGATCGTATTTTTTCTGTGTTACTATCCCAAATTTTGCTGTTTACGGGCAATATTGATACCTTTGTTGCGTCATTTTGTTGTTTGTTAGTCGATGGCCTACTTTGGGCAATGGTGTAAAATTTCGTACCGTCATGCAATACCGAATTATGTTTTCCATTACAAATTAGGCAACGTTTGAAAGAATTGCATTGTTTTCCATTATGCTTGTATAAACAATTTATGCATAGATCCAATTCTTTTGCCCTTTTGAACCTCAATTCAACAGGCATTGCTAAAAACTTTTCGCAATTAAAAATTCCATGTCCGTTGTTATTGCAAAACTGACATTTGATACCTGCTACATGTAATGATTTTACAAATGATTTATAATTACGGTTTGAATTATTACCGTATGAATTATAAAAATCAGACCATATTTTGCTAATAATTGACTTTTTTATGTCACTATAAATCTGTTCGTAGTTTGTAAATCTTTCTTCGTATGCTTGATTTGAACCTTCCAACTCACTATCTAGCTCCCAATGTAATGAATCTATTACTGCCCACCTACTTTGTATAGTGTTGAGCAAATCTTCGTACTCCCATTTTTCCTTTAAAGTATCTACATTTATGTTCCTTATTGTACGCTGGAATGCTCTAAAATTACTGTATTGCTTTTTTAACATGTCGTCCGTTTTGCTATTAACACCCTGATGTTTTTTGAGGTGTCGAATAATATTCAACCGACGTACCAGGCCTTTCTGATATACCCTTATAGTTAATAATCATTTGCTTAGTAATTTTATAGAGATTTTCAGTTTTATCATAATGAAATTCAGTGAAATAATGATCATTCCTATCTCCCTTTTCGCTTAATATTAAATGATTGTTTTGGTATTGAACCCAATATGAATCAAGGCTTTCGATTCTTCTTTTAATGTACTCATCTGTTTTACGCTCTGCGCTATCCTTTTTGAAATTAGACGCAAGTTTTTGAATGGATATTTGTATCTCATTCTGCTTTGCTATGATATCCTCCATGTTGAGGAAAAATTAAAATGAAATTGAAATAAAAGGAAAGATCTCACTTGTTGTGACCGATGCTATCCTCGGTGCTGCGCTGAACACTGTGTTCGATGACGCTATGCTCACTGCTGTGCTGGCTGCTATGCCCGAATCCCGATGACAGTATATTTACTGCTGTTCTGGATGCTGTGATTGATGATTGTATGTAAGCTGAATAACTCTCAGCTCTGATAATATGCTCGCTGCTATGCTTGATGCTGTGCTGAATAACTCTCAGCTCTGATAATATGCTCGCTGCTATGCTTGATGCTGTGCTGAATAACTCTCAGCTCTGATAATATGCTCGCTGCTATGCTTGATGCTGTGCTGAATAACTCTCAGCTCTGATAATATGCTTGCTGCTATGCTTGATGCTGTGCTGAATAACTCTCAGCTCTGATAATATGCTTGCTGCTATGCTTGATGCTGTGCTGAATAACTCTCAGCTCTGATAATATGCTTGCTGCTATGCTTGATGCTGTGCTGAATAACTCTCAGCTCTGATAATATGCTTGCTGCTATGCTTGCTGCTATGCTTGATGCTGTGCTGAATAACTCTCAGCTCTGATAATATGCTTGCTGCTATGCTTGATGCTGTGCTGAATAACTCTCAGCTCTGATAATATGCTCGCTGCTATGCTTGATGCTGTGCTGAATAACTCTCAGCTCTGATAATATGCTTGCTGTTATGCTGTTTACTATACTGGCTCCTTATGATGTTATGATATTATGCTCGATATAATGGTACTATGCTTGATGTTGAATGATTGTCACATAAAAGTGGATATAAATCGCCTGACGGTCACTGTTCCACACGTTAAAGTCAATCGCCGTGCGACACGTGGCCTTAGTCTCGCACTTTGACCAACCCGTGCGTATGGTCAATGCACTCGGAGGATGGATAATCCGCGAGTGAAGTTGCTCGAAGGACCAAAACGATGTATGGGTGCTATGCTATCCGGCTCGAAGGACCAAAACGATGTATGGGTTTGATACCACACACCCTTTAGATATGATAGCTTTATGGAGACCAGCAAGTTTGTGAGTATCGCGTTTAGGTCATTAGAACGACCTGTTTATTTGAACGCTTTATTGATACTGACTAAATTATGACAATGCTTACATTTATATATGCTTATTAATGTGTACGTACAATAAAATTATGTTAATGTATGGGTGAACCCATACAACACTATACATATATTTATCATACTTGTAAAATTAATATGATAGGAAAAAATAAATAATAATTTAAATTAAATCGATGTTTACTTCAGACAAACAAATTTTCAATTTAATATGACCTTTTGGTGTTTAGAAATATCAGAAAGGTGATAGGTGACGCTAATGCGGCGACAGCACCTTACGTGACACATGTCAGGGTCAAACTACCGAACACTACGGATGTTATTAGGTATATGCTTTACGTTAAATAAGTTAAACATGTTACATGAGGCAATCGTACTAACAGTATGGTATAATGTCTTCAGATCTCCTTTGTGCTATGACAATGTGTTTCCTTTCTGTTCTATCTGAATCTAAATCACTATGTTATTAAAAAAACAATTTAATTACCTTGGTAAGCTATAAAATGTTAATTGTATAGCATTTATCTTTTAATGAAACCGTGGCTACTTGTAAGTATAATTAAAAACTAATCTCAAGATAGTTTACCGTTTACATCCTTACCTAATGAATGTTCCATCACTTGCCCTAATGTGAAGTAATATATTTTAATGACTTGCTTAGTATTCCCTTACATTCAATGTTACCTTTCGTCTTGTTTAATAAACATGTAACAATGTATATAACTGGTGATGACAAGTAGTTGCTATGAGAAAAATGACGTGATGGGTTACGCAATGCCCTTGAGCGAGTGGTTTGCTTGCAGCTACTTGCCAGCTCTGCAGTACTGCTGACGTGGGAGTATTGTTTATGTTTTGGAGAATCGATTATCTTCCAAACACCCCTCCCTCACCTCCCTCGTCCCCACACCAACTGGACAATACAATTTAGTATTGACAAATAAACCGTAATTGTTCTTAGCATTATCTTTCACACTTACTCATTGAAATAAATTTAAATTGATATATGTTTTGCTTCGTTGTTTTTATTATGCTGTAATATTCTTACCTAATGTGACTGAGATTCGCAACCTTGAAACGTACAATAAATTTTAAACTATTATCGTAACCATTCGCTAAGGATTCTAGAAAATTCTTCAACATTACTTCCTTTACATGTATTTAGGCTGTTTTAGAATAATAAATATTAAACAAAGAGAAGATTTTTACAGTTAATACACTTAATAACTTTTATAACTTGAAAGCAAAAGCTCATTGAAAATTTAACAATAGGTAGTGTAGCAACAAAGCCCGAGATTTGAAATAGCTACTTACCTGTTATCTTGAAATAGAAGATATAAGAACCTTTATTGCTTTTATTTATGACATGTTTCATTCATTAAAGATGTTAAAGCTAGAGAATTTTATATTTTAAGAACTATACAGAGGTTGCTCCCTGTGGATTTTTCCTAGAAGGAACGTCTATATTATCTATTGAATTTTATAGTACAACTCTAGTATTTATCTGGTGTAGAGCGTGTTTGTTTAAAGCCGTTTTTATTATTATTGTTTTAATTTGTGCCATGAAGTAATTTTGTTTGACTTATGCGATCCGGTTATGCTCTATCCATATTGCTTTTAAAGATGCGGTGGACGGAGATCAAAATTGCTTAACTTCTAATGTTGTTATAGACAAAATGTTTTATTCTTTATAATTACTTAGAAAAATGTTAGTTACGGGCTGTGAATAAGAAAAAAAATATTCATCGAATACTTGACGAGATTTAAAACAATAATATGATAAGCCACAGCTTTGTAAAGGAAACTTTTCAGGGAAACTGTTCCTAAGATTTGAACATATAATACTATAATAACTGTATTCTTTTTCTCAATTGGAAAAATCATCAAGCCTAACCTCGACCCCGATCTTTAAATCGCTTTACGAGTTTTGGCACGAACGCTTTCACCTCAGTTTCGGAAACGTACCATTGCAATTTATTTATTCTATTCACTTCCTATGTTTTCTTAAACTATAAAAATACTTGATAATGAATTGTTTTATTAAAGACAGTTATTAAGTAACATGTCCATTACACACCTTCTGGTATACAACAAAGAATACATATTATATTGGATCAATTAGTTTTGTTTGAGTGTATATTAAGGGTCAACTTATGTCAAATAAGTCCATAACTACGCTTGGCAACCGGATCACGTGAGCGACGGACTAGTTAGGTCACGTGACTATGTCTACATTAATCATTTTATTAATATAATGCTAAACGAATCGAGAGGTTTAGGTTCCTTTAAAATATTACACCGATCGGTACGATGGTCGTTTTTAAATTATATTGAGTCTTGCCTTTCCCAAACATGTTAGTAGTTTTTTTACTTGTTTGGTATATAACCTCTTTACAGTTTACACTAACTCGACCGTGATGAAATTGTGTACACATACCAGTTGCGAAGTTAAAAAGAACATGGGATAAGGACAAATTAGTGAAACTAATAATAATATACAAGTAAGTTACATACAAACAAATATTTTGTATATTTATTCTATTTTATGTTCTAGATACAAGATTGAAATGTTGTTCACTATTGTCGTGATTACAATTTTAAATTAATCTTGTTCGACGTGAAGTCAATAAAAGTTAGCTCATCGGTCGTATGCACATCGTAGTCTAACATTCATCAAGCACCACTAAAACTTAACGATAATTGTCGTCCAAATACGAACTCCTTGACAGGCATGCTAAACTGCCGTGGGAATGTTCCGAAGGCTTTTTCTCGCAGTCCTTTCTATTAGAGGCATTCGTCTGATCTCCTAACCCTCCTTGCCTCTCACCCCTCACCCCTTCCCTTCAACCTTCCGAATATTTCAAGAACAGCTGATGGACCTACATTTAGTTTAGACACTGTAGGTACACGTTTTAATTAAACATCTATTTTGGAATTTATTTATTAATGAAGTAATTTTTATACCTCGTGTTAATTTAACGAAGTATCACTCAATAAACATCTTTTCAACAAAATAATATTGCTTCGATGAAACGTAAATGACGTGAACTTTTCTTGATTCGTCTTCATGTTCAAATTCATACTTATTAACAGTTTGATATGTAATTTGATTATGACAAAATATAAAGTCACGTAGTTAGACGTGTTGTATATTGTGAGTGGGGGGCTTGAAGAGAGAGCGAAGGCAGCAGGGAGCAGAGGTGCGGGGTGTGGGGGGTTCGGGCTGTAGAGTTCACACGATGTAAGAATGACAGTCCCGCGCAGACCGTGGCCTGAGTTTCACGCGCTGTACGAGCTGCGATGCTCGGTACGCCGGACGTGTATACAGTATTAGCATATTGCGCTTTAGCGCCGGGATAGTGCAGTGACCACTGTGTGTAAAGTGTCCGGTTAATTTGGTATGTGACGGTATGTTACGTTCGGCTGTGACCGGCGGTATGGTGGGCCTACCGCCGCCGCCGCACGCGCGCCTGTCGCTCTTCGACTCGTGTCACAGGAAGATCCGACTCATCAGCGGTGGTCCTGTTGCATTTCTAGGAGGATTAGTTTCGTGAGTGTCTTTATAAAAAAAATATATATATATACATTACGTATATCCTGTCGATCTATTAGAAGAGCCGTTGTCATTAGTGAATGTAAAACTTATGTACCGTACTGTGAAACTCACGAAGCGCTGTCAATTTCTATAACGGTAAAAAACTGCTACAATCACAAAGTTAACTATCTACTAGTTGTGAAGTACCTATTATAAATATATCCATACTTTTGAAATACATAAAAAAGCCTTTATGTTTATGTGCTGGTCATAAATATTATATAATTAATTTTTATTTTCGAGTCCTAGTTACTTACTTTCTCTGAATATGAATATTTTAAGACGTACATTAATTAAAATATACAACTATATTCATTTATCAAATTTAAATATATAGCGTTTGCATACGAACAGATGGCTTTCATCGAATGTAACGAAAATATGACTGAAAGAAAATTTATTTATGCTGTTTATTATAATAACATACGAAACAAAACCTTGGTTAAAAGTATGACCCCGATCTGTTTGTTTCCTTCGGTATATAAATTGTAACAATTAGGTTAAGAAAATGATGACCGAGAATTGTAGAATTTGGATCAAATATGCTAAAGTTATATGAAAACAGCTACCTACATAACATAAAACAGGTTTATCAGCTGTCTTCTAATTCTTATCACTAAGAATTGATATGCACAAAAATCTTATTGTCCAAAATAAGAGAACCGTTTAAAACAAATCAATCAAAATTATCATAACATCCTGAATAGGGATGATTAAGGAAACGCGTGTCAGAAATAATTAGTTCTTGTGGTACCTATTTAATGAGAAATGTTTATATCTAACTGTTTCCAGCTAGAACAGCTTGTTGACTCGCTTTTAATAAAATCTCGACACACAAATCACTTTCATAGATACTAGATAGTGTGTCATCGGCATCGTTTAATTATGTTATGCAATTTATATTGATTTTTAAGACGTATGTCTGATATTTATTTATGCCAGTTGATGGTCACGTGGTATGTTTGATATCTAAGACAAATTAATGCAACAAATGAGTTATCTGTGTGAACCTTTGGCCTTTGTATACATTAATTATCCATGTGCCCGTCCAATCTGTTTTGTTTCGTCATATTTGTAAGTGGCGATAGCACTCGTGTATTAATTTCCATAAGCGAGTTGCAACTATTGTAACATAAAACATTTCGACACCTCGCTTCCATTCATATTGTAATAACTTACTTAGCACTGAATATGTTTGAAGACTCCTGCTATACTATATGTTCTAATGCATAAGATGATTTAAGAGCTCTATCACTAACAATTCTCGTTACTAGAATTTCGTCTAAAAACAATGTAACACTGGTTCGGTTTAAAAAAAATGTCTTTTTGGTTCGACAGAGATTTTGAGATAACATTAAAATCATAAGAAGTGATAAGTAAGTAAGTATTGTAAGCAGATCAAGTAGGGCAAGTCGCGGGCAGAACACGCGAGCCAGTCGTTATGCGGCAACTACTGGTAAAACATCGGGTCGATTGCTCTGCGCCCTGCACCACACAGCACTTAAAGTTTGAAATACGGAAGCACACCAACAAATTACATATACATTAATAAGTGTCACATTTTTATAACACGATATCAATAAAATATATTCAAATATTTTGCACAAAAAGACCATAAACGATAACTCGACTAGGTCAGAGTCCGTATTAATTGTTACAAATAAATTACTATATGATACATAATTTATTTCGATATTTTTAATCCTTAACGATAATTATTAGTAAGGAGTTTTTGAATACTTGACTCATCGTCTTTAAGTCAGAGGTAGGGAACAGATGCTTCAAACTCATTATGATTAAACCAATCAAAATCATTGTAAAAGGTAATTTAGTAATGACATAATTCTAATAATTATTTTTTGTTCATCAGTTAGTGTTACGATGATATTAGATCATTCTGCCTAAATTGTTAGCATTAGAAAGGAAACGTTTTGATTAGATTCATTAAATTTTGCAAAGCGGCACGCCGGGAGTTCATTATGGCCTCGATTAACACGGTCTTCGCCTTGAGCAAACCTCTGAAGCAATTAGACGTTGGTCATGGAGCGCTGGTGACGGCAGCGGGCAGTACCGCACCGGCATCGGCATCGGCATCGCCAAAGACCCGCAATCACGTACATGCAGCGTACAATCGTAGATCTTCCCTCACATTTTGGCTGGTTGATGGCCATGTTCGATACTGTATTATAAAAATAGCATATACTTCCATGTGCCTCGACGTCGTGATCACCTACATGTAAGTCTAACTATCATAAAATATATTTAAGCACTCAGTTAATATTGACGTTTTATTTTATATATATTCATTTGAATATATTGTTTTCAATACGATTCTAATCTGACTTGGTATTCAGTGTTATAAAATACGTAGAGTTGAACGTTTGTCGATCGTTCGCTGCTCGCGAGTCGCTGACTACCGTCTACAGTTGTAACGGGATCTCACGGCCCCGATACGCGCACGAACGGCGAGTACCCGCCCTCAAACCGCAAACTATATGTTTATTTCCACCATTTATGCTTTTCACGTATAACCCATATATTACGAGGAAAAAGTATCGATTATTTTTTTTTCAAAGAAACGAAGATGAATCATAATTGTTTGAAAGTCCGTTGGCAATAAGTACAGTCACGTATTGTCCGTGCATAAGTGTGAATAAAATTTCACAATTTAATTTTTTATATTATGTATATTCATTTTATAAAATCGTTATAAGTTAATAAAGTGGCATTAACTTGACAATAAAAATACCAAATAAATGTTTATTGTTTTGATTGTACTAGGTACAATGTTAATGACATTCCTTATAGCTATCACGTATGTACGGAGAGAGCGCATTCCTGGACGCACTCCCCGCCTCCAACATAACGTCCGATCATATTATCTGCGGAAAATGATCACTCACTGTTATTCCATCTTGGGCGAGTTTAATAATTGTTCGACCAATACAAAAATACGTATTTAAAATGAGCAATATCACATTATTTCAATACTTAGCAATTTCGTCAATATTTACGTAATTTCATACGAATGTAGGCCGTACGGAGAAACTGTAGAATTAAATACGCAACATGCTCACCGTCCGCATCTGGACGAAGTACATATAAATATTCCTGAACCGATGTAGGTTTTATTTGGATCGATCCGGTGGAAGGCTACCGACGAAGCAAACGTATTGATGGCACACCAGTGACACGTTCCTAGCATATGTTGGACCGTCAGACGTAAGCGGTGGCAAGGTCGACCGACAGCCGCCCCCTCCCCCGATACCATACACTCTAATACGGACATCACAATGTAATACGTATAAAAATATAAACCTACCTTGTAAATATTTAAAGTGTACTGACTCTAAACAAATATATGAAACGTTTCGGTGCTATGCTTATAAATGCCATTTCGAAAAGTGTTGTGTGAATGTTTGTATTGTTTCAAGAAATAAAGCAACCATTACGGGTCAACCGCAATTGTAACAGTATAGCCACAATACAGTAACAGGTCATGGGTCACTTCCCATTGGGTTCATTGAAACCGTCGTGTCTTGCTGATATTCGTTCTAGTTGTAGATAGACTCCTGTTGATAGATTAAAGTAATATACTGATTTATAAAATTAACAATTGGTTTCTTTGACTGCGTTCATATGGGGGTTATATGTATAGTTTTTTAGATAGTGGTAGGTGGTAGCGGACGCAGCTGTTTGCTATCGTTTCTAATGACCCACCAGTCGTTGATAGTAGATACAGTCACTGAACTCTTATCGCCTCCTGCATACTCGTGGGAATCATTATATCAAACCTTTTCAATGTTTTATATAATTTTAATGGACGCATAATTATTATATTTCAAACATATCCAATTTATAATTCGGTAATTGATTTTAATTAGGTATTAAAAAGTTCAAGTGACTCTTGCTTGACATTTTCTCTTAAATAAACATAATATTTCAAAATTTTATGTATTGTATGGAGTTGAAGTCGAGGATAAGGTTTGAAATTCTTGAAACTTTGTAACTTTGAAGCAATTTGAAGAGTTATTTCGTAATTGTTTGAAAAACTCGAACCCCTACAAATATTTTTGTAAAGTAATTGAATAAAACTATGCTACGGGGTTCTTTGAAGGGGGTAACTGGCAGTTAACTTATTACCTACATTATTTCACATAATATTAGGCGTTATTTAAGGTTTGAGACCCAAAACAAAGATATAAATATTTTTTTCCTTAAATTCTACTACATACAGCCTATTTAAAGCATTTCCAATTAAAGATATCAAATTATTTGTTCTCATAATATTATATTGCTTTTAACAAAAATTTTTGTAAGAGCAATTTATTTTTGTAATTTTTCTAACTGCTATGTATGTAATAGAGATAATTGTACTACGTTCCCACGTGCTACTCATTCAACAATGTCTTAAAAGTCATGTACAAAAACACGCATTTTTACCTACTTAATAGTAATTTTTACCCAAATGTACATTCCCTAAGTAATTGGGTGTAAATGTAATATGTGTAAGCATACCATTAAACCTGAAGTAAGAAAGTCGTTTTATTTGATTTTTTTTTATTGTTTGCAAATCGATCTATATCAATTTATCGCAAATACTGTTATATATCTTATATATTAATCAATAGTAATTAATATTATAGTTATAAAGTAACATAAACATTCAGAAGACCTGAAACATATGGTTTATTATAAAACAGTAAAAAAAATGCTTATGTAAAATTTTCATAATAAAATAACAAAAATACAACAGTTGAAAGAGAACGAGAAATAAATGATGTCCTTGACTTTTCTCATTTAAATTTTAATAGATTGTTATTTAACTGTTCTTCATTTCATAATTCGGAATCGCATATATCTCGAAATATGCCAATAAATAAAATGGACTTGAAGCCGTAAACTGTAATCTGCAATTGAAAAAGAGTTTAAAAACAATGAAAAAAATGTAGAGCAATTAAGATATACCATATTTAGTACGTAATTACAATAATCTTACATAAAACAGCTTACTTGTACTTTAACAAACATTGCATACTGTTTAAGTTGTGTTCAGGAGCGGAAAGTGCACCTAAGAGAATTACGTCCTACTTCAAATGAATTGTGCAAAGAAGGTGTTGCAAGTTAAACTATACATATTAGAACAAGGAATAAATATTGTAAGCAAATCAACATTTTATTTATGTTTATAGGTATGTACATACATACCTAGTGCATAAGTAGAAAATGCGTTCTAGAAAAGTACTCATTATAATAATAAAATAAGGTCAGGTACCTAAGTGTTGTTTGCTTTCCTAATGCCCACATGCTTATTTTATACATTTATACAATCGTAGCACGTTAAGGATATATAATATAAATATAAGTATGTATATGGAAATACCTCTTGAACATTAGATAGCTCACAACACTTTACTTGGCAGAAATAATTATCTGAATTATTTTTAATAACATTTTGAGCACATCTATATAACGAATTATTTTTTGTTTTGAAGAATTATTATAAACTTAATGAAAGAAACAGAAATAACAAAGCATGTGATTCAGAAATTACATATTAATTAATTATTTAACGTTTGTCATTTTGATGAAGGAGTTGTTCTGTAACATTAAATAACACGACGTTAAAATATGTCACATGTGATTTAACTCATTATCATAATTTTAATAAACTATCAACACGCAATTTGAAGTACCTAATTCACGTGAAACGAATATCGATTTCTGCGCTGTTCAGAGTTCATACCTTATTTAACTGACGTTTTTGAGTATCGGCGTTAATCAGACTATCCACCTACATATTGAACGACTTTTTGACCTCACAACGCTACAATTGTAAGGCGACGCTTCATCTATGTGTATGATTATCACAAGTTGGTACCGTAACTACATTCGAAGCGTTTAGAGTTTTTTTCATATATTTTTGTATATTGTAGTTTTATCGTTGGTTATCGGTTTTGAAACAGGGAATGCTTCCTATGTTGTGACGATTTAAAATTTGTGCGAACTTCAACTAAGTATTTGATTTCCTATATATATTTGGACGAAATAAGTTAAATACGAATTATACTTATAATTTATAAATTTGTTCTATACCTATCGTGACGTAGCTAGCAAACATTTCATAGAATGATTGCATGCGAAAAACCATGTGGTGACTGGTGCGACACTATTATTGTACATAATATGTTAATGAGAGAGATTTCGAAGGTTAATATTATAAAGAAATCGATAAAGCATTAATAATTTAGTGTTGATCATAGATTCGCACTAGCAAATTGTAAGTATAATTTCTAGTAAGTACATTTTTATATTCCTAATCTGGACAGGTTAAATTAAAATTCTATCCCCTTTTATCTAAAGAAGTAATTCGACATCGTCTCTTCTTACATCAAACATTTGGAAACTTGAATGTGAGGATATTTCTCAACCCTTCTAGACAGAATTTGTTCAGACTATTTTAACGGTTAACCTACGACATAAACATAACCGATATAAAAACCGCTTGATCCTTCTAATGGAAAAATATGTTAATAAAAATATACATTTCTGTTGTTAACTGTTTGCGGAACTACGCATTAATTTTACCATAACAGCAGGGCCATATTGGTCAAGGCTCTCTCGTCAATAAATGGCACGACATTAGTGTCATTTCATATACATATATTTTTATTTGCTACAACAAATATTAAAAAACAAAATTTTATCAACTTATTTACATTTTTAATTGGTTTACACATTTATTCATTTATTCAAGATTTTTATTGTATTTTGAAGATAAATTAGCTGCATATTACTTGATTAAAGTTAACGAATTCATATATAAATTGGGAAGGTTTTCCTTTATAATAGCCTTCATGAATTATTCATGTTTACCTAAAATAAATATGTTTTTTTTATTTTCATTAAATATTATTTCGTAATTAATATCGTTCAGAAATCAAAAACCTCGGAAAAATATATTGTTATTCAAACTGAGATATTATTAGTTTCTGTGAATTGTAGTAAAACCCAAAATGTTTATAAAAAATAACTTTATTGTTACACATAAAGAAAAATGTTTCATAAAACGTAAGAAGCCAGTTGATATCGGCCTTCCGTGTTTGATATTTATATCATCTCCTTTAAAACAAAAAAATATATATTAATCTTCTGATGTAAGTCCAAATGTCTGTAAATTAAATTTTAATAAAGTTGCCTGTGTTTTAAAAGCGTCTGGTGTTCCATTATATTTTTTTAGAAGCTCATAAATTTCTATGAAACTTTTAACATAACCGTGCTACCATTTCTGCGCAAAATACACAAACGACGTCAGGAGGTACATTTAGTTACAAATACATACGTTCAAACCAGAAATTGTGCGTAAAAAGATAAACAACTATAAAGACGTTGAGCTGTCAGCCGATAAGGCCGGCCTTCGACATCACACCATCTGACGTCATCGGACACGCGCCCTGATCTTTTAACTCGAATACGTAATGAACTTGTACGATATAAACAGCTTTCTCTTAAATAACATCAATATACATATTAACTTTTATAAGAAAGAAATTCAAATTCTTATCTGTGTAGAACACATAAGCTAATAAATCATAGATAAATACGCTTTTTCATCATGTACTATACTTGGCCAAATGATATACTTAAGCCTCTATGGAAAATATTTTTTTGGTCTACTTTATAAATTTCGTTCTACTGCCACGGCCGACTTGCAAGCCGCTTTCCATATTGTTCGTGAGTACTGACATTATTTAAGTCATGACTCCAGTGAGTTACTTGCTTTTTTAACGCAAGGTTTGGTTTACCGACCGTCAACAGTCCTTATCACAAGCTTGTATCGGCACACTAAACGAGAACATATTCTGTTAATACTTTTATATTTATGAATGAAAAACTGTAAACGCTCCGTGAGTAGTCTAGCGATGCAATCTTGTGGTAGGCGTACGGAACTCGCCTGACCACTTTTACCATCAATAATACATGTATACTCCAACGATACAATGAATACAAAATAACTATAACAAACAATATATTGACATACATGTTTTTCTCATTTTTCTTAATGCAACACAATATATCAGCTTTAAAATCTGTAGGTATCCGACGTGTTTGGTGAAACTATGACGTCACACAAAAATATCAAGTTTCATAAGAAATGATTACTTCTGTAATTATGTATATTTAAAAATACACGAAAGAATACGAAATTCATTACACTTTTTATTTAATATAATATGTGATTACTTGTTTAATATAAGTTGTTTATTTTTGTTCTCGTAGCCGGCACGTATAACTTCGAAACCATACAATTTCACATTTACATCATATTCTGCTAAAAGGATTTAAACCTTACTTTTCCAGCTTACCCCCTCGATTATATGAACATAATTGATTTATAATAGTTCACCTAGACAATAAGTGTCTCTAGAATTGTTAAAAGAATATACTTGTTAATAGAACACTTAGTATGACAATAATTTTAAGGTGAAGATTGAACTTAACAATAATTATTATTGAATTAATTAATATCCCTTATAAAAGTACCGTTTTCCTATTAGGTTTACTAATTGCCTATAAATATTGAGGTATATATAATTTATAGCTCATCATAACTGATGCACATGACCTTGAATCCCAACTAGCTATTTTTAATTAAAACTTGATGAGGGTCTCGTGCAGGTACTATAGGTGGTTTCAAACTGATCTTTCCCAATGAAACCATTGTTATATGAACTGACAAAAGATAACTTAATACGCCTATAAGCTATGCGGTAACTTTAAAGAGCAATGCTTTTAAAAGACAAACAATAAGGAACTAGGTTAATCTACCTGCTCCAGTTTTGTAAAAGAAGATAATGTGATAAAATAATTTTCGAATAATAGTAATTTTAAACATTTATTTTATCACAGCTTTGGCTTTCTTTTTCTTTGTCCTTGTATTTTAGTATCTTCACAAATTTATAAGAATCGATATTCTTAATATTTAATTTAGTAGATACCCGGTATTAGATTTTTAAGTTATAGTCTCATTAATGAACCGATAAGCTATATTTATAGAGACCGTTTAAATTTTGACTGCTAAAGTTGGAAATGAATTAGTATCTTCCAAACACGTAATTCAAAACTCTAGATACTTGAGCTATGTAATGTACGTCACATTTATATCCAAACAGAGTTTTTCTGTTAAATTCGAGTGACTCCAATTAGTACTTTTACTATTATTGAGACTTTCTTAATCACACATAATTCCTAAAAGCCTTTTTACTTCTTGTTTCATTTAAAAAATAATGAAATAATAATAATACATTACATCACTGGCACGGCTGTTCTGATTCTTGAGTTTATGTAAGTGTGATGTATTTCATATTATGTGGAAATTGAAAGGCGGCCGCTTGGCGCTATAATTACCCTACTTTCCCCTCTCCCCCTAGTTCCTACCCCCTCTCATTCCGCGCTGACGTCACGATCCTCCGACTCCTACAGGTGGTCCGGACACTCCGTGACGTCACTCATCCACCACCACCCCACTCAAGTCTACAGCTGACTCATTTTCTTTGTTGTTCCATTAGGTACTTTTCCTTTACCTATTTCAGTGTCTATTGTTTCACTCTTATGTAAGTCGTGAATTGCAAAATTATTTTCTAGCCAACTCTATAGTTATATTTAGCAAAGTATACCATGAAATCTTTTTTTAATATGACACATAAAAAATATTGCCATGATGAAGACACCTATAAGTTAAAAAAATAATAATTTTAACTCCCTGTATTGTTAACAAAACACTAAGTTTTGTAACTTCTGTGCAATTACATATATTCGTGATAAAACCATATAATTATTCTTACATGTTTTATAACATATATAGTGTTTTGGGTCCAATAAAAGAACAAGGACTAGCTTTTAGTGTAAGTATCTCTAGATAAGGTGGATTTTATATGCTATCTTTAAAAAGTTAACATGTCGTCTAAAAGTCCCTAAAAAAACGCGGAGATAAACTTTCCACCTCCTTTTAAACTAATTTCAATCTCACAGTGGAAAATGTTCTATACAATATTAATATTTAAAAAATGAGCTATATAAACGAAGGCTTGAGCATAGTACTTAATGAATATATATTTCTAGCACGGCATGTGCTGTTTCGTCCTACTGGACGTGAAAAGTTTTATAACTGTTGTTTCAAAGACATGACAAGTGGGTTAGTGACGAGCCGACCTTGCTTATAACCACGTATATAGTATATTCTACACATCTTAATCCACGATGTTTGAACTTTAGAATATCCAGCTCAAATATAGTATACAAAACACAGTTAAATAACTCAGTCTACACCACATGCTATATATACCCACCTCCAGTCCTATACAGAAGCTTTTAATAAAGCGCAAATGTCAAGCATAAAAATAACAGACGATGAACCCATTGTCTAACCACGAGGATTATTTAACATTAATATATAATAAAATCTTTGATACAATACTTGCTAGGCTATTAATATATCATCTATAATATTATGCAACAAAATTAAACAAATGCCTCTCAGTCGGTACTTAAACAGTAATAACCGAGGTGGGTTGTTTACGGAAGACAATTGTGGTTGCGAGTTGTGACACTACTATCAGGTATGACATCTTCCGGCGCTTACAACTGATTGCTGCCATCCGCTATGTAATATCATACACGTTGAGACAACTAGATGAGATTTATTAGATGAAAAAAAGTAAGACAACAAATGAGCTCATGTTGGTCGGTCAGTTGCGCCGCGGACGTCGTAACCCAAATAGCAGTAAATAGTTCCGCGTGGAAAGCTAACCGCGAACCACGCACCTGCTCTCTATTGTTACATTCCTTGCCACATCGATAATATTATATATTTTTTCACTTCATTTACCGTTAAAAATATAATATCTATAATAAAGTTATCGTTAGACTGAACTGGGTTAATAATTAGCGAGTTACAAATCCGATCGATAAACTAAGCTTAGCTTCTGTACCAGCAAGTCAATCGATATGCTATTTTTACTTTATTTTCATTTCGAACGCGATTTATTTATTTTTTATGAATGTATTTGATAGATGTATAGTTGTAGTAAATGTATCGCTTCTAAATATAGTTATCCTTCCTCAAGGAAAAAGCTATATTTGTTGTTCGTTTGAAAACTTAAGCCTTAAAATATACATATATACTATTTCTGAACAAGAAAATGTTCTTTGAATTTTATATAATGTTCCAATTATAATTAGAAATGCTTTTAATACAACTCCAGCGATAGATGACCCTGACCCAAAAAAGAAAAATTCATTATTTATCCTGATTTGATTGCGTAGACGTAAAGCGTTCAACGTTTGGTCGATTCAAGGTGAACCTCGCACGTCTGTTATTGTATCTTTTTGGTTTGGAATATATTTTTTTTACAGTGGATAATTATTTCTACGGTTTGTGACGACTTTATCATTGACATTTGGTGCAGTATGAATGTCGATTTGTGGGCGATAAGCGCGGGCGCCGTGTCGCGGGGACTAGTTTAATCGTGTCGAGGGGCGAGGGCGGGGGGGTGCGGGTCAGCTCGCTGCCGGTCGTCGCTCGGTGCCTGCTGACCAATCGTCAGTCTTTACCGTCATGTGTCACGCGGTAGTTCTAGGAGTGCTATTCTCGCTACCGTCATATCTTTACTCTTCGGTGCCTTTCAGGTGAGCCCCGAGAGCGCCGTACATTAAAAACAGAACTAATGTAACCATTCGACCAAACTTTGGTATTCACTGGGCTCGTGTTCGGACATACAATATACATTTATTTGTAGCGAAGGATGTTTGCTGCCGAACTTTTTTGTGTCATAGTCGACATATAGTGTCCATTGGCGATAAGATTACGTCGATGTTATGAAACTCATGTCTCATAGCAAGTCAATGTATTTGTATATTTCATCATTGTGATATTAAATGTGCAAAATTAAAAGCTTCGTGTGTGTTGCGTGCAAGATGAGTCATTCGTAAAAGCTATTAATGCATTTGTGACCGCTCCGACCCATTTTATGTGATCTCTCGTGATCGTTCTGTTTGTTGGGACCTGTTCCTCACCTGACTCCGTCTTCCGTGTGTCCACCCCTCATTGTTTCTCGGCCTCTGTAACGTCACTAAAGGTAGTGAGAGCGCGGCCTTGGATGAGCTGTGTCAAAAGCACTATTGATTTCCTGCTGTCGAAGGGCACTAGCGCTGGTGAACGGTTACACTTCGTTGCCCATGGACCAATCTCGGCTATGGGTCGCTGTTTAGAGATGCTGGTGCTGTGGCTATCTGTGTTTTTGGATGTGTTTTGGAAGTTAGTATTCCAAAATTGTAGCTCACTAACACGACCAATTTTAACTTTCTTTTATATCTCTTGCACTTTATATCTACGTAATAAATCTTTGTACTCAAAAAATATCGCATGGTATCATGACTATTTCATTTAGTTTTTCAACCATTCTATATTTGTACGGATGTTCACGGATATCGACAACATGTGAAGTTTTACTGTTAATTGAAGTATAAACGACAGTTTTCAATATGACGTCAATGTGAGACCATTGATTTAGTTATAATATTTTTTTAAAGATCTGCTTTTTGAATAATAATACAGATTATATCAATAAACTATTTTCATTTTGATTTATTAGTTTACTCATTCAAATAAGCGTCTTTAAGATGCTGCTATTTTCGGCATCTGCACATGTGCAATGTTTATAGCGGGCCATATCCATCTGTTGGCCTTCAATAGTCTTCCTTAAATCAGACAATGGAGGATAAACAACAGATATATAATGTTTCTTCACACCGAATATGTTGAGTATTGCTATACTCTAAAAGCAAACTAAATCGTACTCTAGGTTAAGTCTGCACTAAATAAAAACACTCTTGATTCTTGGATTACTTGAATAACATTTGATTATGCTCAATGATTATAACAATAAAAAGAAATAAATATTATAATACATATTATGTATGTATATAATTGTAATGTTTGTATTCCAGGAAGGCGCGGCGTAAGGAGCGCGAGGGTGAGGGCGCCGGTGATCCCAAGCTGTACCTGCAGGAGGCACTGCTTGAGCGCAAGCTGCCCGAGCTGGACATGCGCCAGCTGGTCGAGCTGCCCCATGGCCTCGACTACAACGAGTGGCTCGCCTCGCACAGTCAGTATATACATACATACATACATAAACACAAACTTGATCACTCACACACACAAGCATAGTATATTACGTCGTGATTTGATGTTTTGTAACAAGGTTAGCGATGGCTTGTATAAATATAATCAGGTAATTTATTTATCGTATGATAAAATTAATGACAAAATATTGAAAAAATTAATAAACCATATTAATGTAATTACTTAATATGTATGACAATAATGAAAGAGGACACGTATCAATTAAAGTAATTAAACATAATTTTAAAACCGTTTAAAAAGTAATTACGTACATAAAAAATGTTGTCCTATTATAAAGTTTTGGAACAGTAAATACGATATTTTTTTCAATATATTAATTTAATATTTATGAAAAAATAATATACATATAAATATTTATGATATAATTTTGTTAATATTATGTTACTTTACCACTTACGTATATAAACAAGTTTTTCAATAACAGTGAATTTAAATCACATATTTATAACTTATATAAAATGTTAATACCAATATCTTGTCTAAAATCCGTATCTGCCATACTTATCTGATGACCAATAAAAGATGATTGTCATGTTTTACACCCTTATCAAATGTATTTCTTTCTGACTCATATTAGTAAAATATTAGTAAAAACCACGTGTAAAATTTTGACATTCATTGCCCTCTGCTTAGAATTTTGAAGATACAATGCGTACATAAAAAAATATGAAATGTTTCGTAGGATAAATATTTTGTTGAGCGCCGATGACGTTGCCAGACGAGGTGGGTTATCGCGTCTAAAATAAGGCGAGTAAACAACATGAAACATCCAGAGGAACGCTGTAATAAACCGTTTTATACGTATATTTAAAAATGCCAGCAATCTGTTGTCTTGAATCGTGTGATCAATATCGCTGAAAGGAAATGTTTCGACAAAAGGTCGCGTCCGTCTGTTGTCACGGTTCACAACTCCGGTGAAAGAGTACTTCGACTCGTTATCCAAGCGTGTTAAATGTAATAACCATTAAAATAGTTCAACATTTACTCGATAGAAACACGTTTTTTAAACGACATTTTTTCGTATTTGTAAACCTTATACTTGAATACATATTCTTAACGATTATAATTGGATTCGCGATCGGATTCAAAATATTAAAAAATCCAGTACATGTGACTTGTGAGTTACAAACGAAGATATTTTTTCTCAAAATATCGTCCGTTTTTAGCACCGACACCATTTTTTTTTTGTCATGTAAGTGTAACGTAAAAATAAATATTCCGTACAGATACTTATGTATAATTATCCAACTGTAAAGCTGTATGAAATATGAATAGGTCATTGCTCTGGTAAGAATTACAAATTGCGATCACCATCCAAGAATATTCACCTTTGAGTAAAGATCTTTTTTGGTAAATGTATAATTGTTGTGTGTCGTTGTTTTCAGCGCTGGCGCTATTCGACCACGTGAACTTGCTTTACGGTACTGTATCAGAGTTCTGTACCCCGGCGACGTGTCCCGACATGACGGGTCCCGGGGGCAGGACGTACGCCTGGTACGACGAGCGCGGGAAGAAGTCGCGTGTCGCCGCGCCGCAGTACGTCGACTATGTCATGACATACACCCAGAAGACGGTCAACGACGAAACGGTTTTTCCTACTAAATATGGTAAGAATAAATCCCTTGGTACTTTTGTGAGTTTCGTGTCCGTGATTCTATCGCTTGTATCGTAATGGCATTGTCTGCTTCCTGTCTATTCCAATTTCTTCGTAGTCCTCCAGCTTGATTTAATTTCCAGACAGATTTGCTTTTACTTATTAATAATTCACAGATTTCTCGTTTTCTTTGTGGGCCATAGACATTAAATGTTCACATACCCGACACTAAAGAGGCAAAAAGGATGGTAGCTATAGCAAATTCAATTGTTTTCAGCGAACGAGTTCCCAGCTCAGTTCGAGGCGGTGGTGCGGCGAGTGGTACGACTGTTGTTCCACGTGGTGGCTCACATGTACGCGTCACACTTCCGCGAGCTGGCGCTGTTGAGTCTCCACGCCCACCTTCACCTCACCTTCGCTCACCTCACGGCGCTGCATCGTCGGTACGCACTGCTCGACCACAAGGAGACCGAGGTAAAACATTATATTTCTTACTGGAATAACACTATACGAAGGAGAAAGATTTTTCAACTTTTGTCGCTACCTTCTAAGGGTTGATTATATTAAATTCTAGGTGATTTGAAATTTGTTCAAATATCGCACATACCATTGTACGGCCTATAACTATAAAAAATACAAATTCTAAGATTGTCTTTATTTCCACCAGTATAAAATAAGATAGTCATAGGAATTAAGTTGACTGCAATTGAAGTAATCCTCATTCTAAATATTGAACTCTTCCTCCCCACGAACTGCTCCAACCATTTCTTATAGAAATTCATTTCAATATAATATATTCCCCATCATCCTGTATGCTAAATGAATACTTCCACAGTGACATGAATTAAAGAATTAATTGCAGGACTTAAAATGTTATTTCATGGTAGGTTCTACGCGACCTGGAGGTTGCTCTCCGTCTGTCCGAGCCCGCCGGTAGTGCTGGCAGTGCGTCGGCTGCTGGGAGCGAGGCCGCTGAGGATTCTTCACCACGCCGCCGCTCGCCGGTGGTGACGCAGCCCCTGGCCTCAGCGTGACCGCTGGAGTCCGCCGCGCTCCCCACCACCCTAAAGCCCTCGCCCCGCGTCCCGCCCCCGCCGCGCCGCGAGCCACGAGCCTGATACATACCAGCTCACTCATGACTCAGCCAGCGCCCGCGTCGCACGTCACGGTACGAGCCGAATAAATATCTTAAAATGCCTTCCGAGACTCGTACGGGTAGTTGAAGCGTGTAAGTTTAGTAAGTTGAAGATTGTTAACTCTATTGTAAATATTTCAATCTGTTAAGTAGTTTTAGGTGATTACGATTAGTTTATAAATTTGTGATTGCTTTGGTTGTAAATAAAAGTGATATTTGTTTAACTAATAAACTGAAAGCTTTATATGATTGTTTAATTTTACTACTTTTTATTTTATCCTGAACCCTATGTTTCTAAGATAAAATCTATGAATTTGTAGCTCTTCAAAAATGTCAAAATAATATCTGACCAGGAAGATTATCCTTAGTTTGTGAAAATAAGTATTTAAATAACATATCCTTGTACACATTTCAACTATTTTGATTATGAGAGTCGTACTGTAATTATTTTAAACATTCAGTATGTTCTAAAAAATAGTTATTAACAGAATAAAGAATATGTTTACATCTCCTATCTTTAGTTAAGACCAAAAGTTTTCTATTGCTTGTTATATTCATATTATATATGTAAATGTACTTAAATATTATTTTAGTAGAAGAAAGGATTACTTTAAAATCATATAATGTATATAGCATTAAAAACAGTCACTGGTACATTTTGATATGAATGTAATGTAACAATTTCAAACCCACCTTTCTAACAAAATGTTAAATTTATTATTTATTTATTTTGTAAAATTCAAAAAATTATTAGTTTTTGTTATTTTATATTGCTATTACCTTAAAGGTCGTATATTTCTAAGTAGAGATTAGGGCTCGAACAAAACTATTCTTAGTGTATGTGATGAACTACTTACTTCTCCGTTTTTTAATATTACATTTTCTTCGAGCAAGCAGTCAAGCACCAAATTCGCCACTAAAACGCTGATTGTGCTCTGGGGACGTTGATTAGAGTGATGTGGTGTCTGAAGCTTTTCATTTCTTACTTATGTTCGATCCGAAAGTGAAGATCCAGGATAAATATTACGGTTTAATGGAGGACAAAGTGCTCAGTACTTATTTAATAGACAGGCCTTATTAAAAACATATTAATCGTTTCTCATTGAGATCAATTATAACTTAGCGGGTTTAGGGGGGTTTCCGTTATCTTAAATGGCAACTTATTGATTTTACAGAGCAATCGAAGATCGAAGTGAAATCGTCATTATACTGCTCAAGCGAGTCTAATGGATAGGGCAAGGAGCAAGGTCCATTTTGAAGATGTCGCTAAATTAATCCTTTAATTGTAATTATTCGTCAATTATTATTTACGTGTCCATTCGACCAAGTTCTATTTTTACGACTCAATATCACTGAAGGTTTTATCTGCTTTTTTAATTTATACAGGGTGACTGGTGAATTACTATCGATACTTGAGGACGTGGTATTCGACGATCATATATGACAAGATAAAAATCAATATAACATAAATATTAATAAACTTCTAAGTAAAGTTAACCAAAAGTTATGTAATTAATTACGCATCGTGTGAACACCCTACAGATTAGGTATACACACACACTCACACATACGCTGATACAACACCACGCCGCCGCACGCGTCCACACTTGGAAAGTGTCAACACTTTATTTATTTATACGGAAATGTTGTCACAAATTAAGTGCCTATTTTTTTTACATAATTCGAATGAGAATCATGTACTGAGTATTCTCCTTAAATATTGATAGTAATTCACCAGTCACCCTGTATATTGATTTTTAAACTCTTTGAAAAGAAAAAAATAGGTAGTGTAATGTCAACGGTCGACTAGTTACCTATTTATTAATAAATTGTGCAGCGACCGTTCAGAGAAAGATGATTGCTTCTGACGTTCATAGAAGAGAGGATTTGTCCATTAGTGTTGTGCGTCCATTTTATATTCCTGTTCTTGAAGACCCGTGCAGTTAAGTATTTAAATCCATCATGAGTAATACTGATTAATTTACTAATTTATGGAGTTTGCTTGAAATTAATATGACTCTCAGAACTTGATGCTGATAGTCAATAACAAAGGAATACTGTCATCGGCCTATCAGAGCCCACTGCTGAGCAAAGGCCTCACATGGAGAAGTTTTGAGCATTAATCACCACACTTGCTCAAGACGGGTTGGTGATTTCAAACTTATAATTGTGAAATTATAAGTCCAGGTTTCCTCACGATGTCTTCCTTTACCATCAGCCAGTGGTGCCTTAATACTCTTATAAAGTACATATGACTGAAAAATCACATTGCTACTTGCCAGGATCGAACCCGCGCCCTCATGCACGCGAGGTGGCCCTGTATCTACGAGGTCACCACTGACTTAAGGAATACTGTACCCATACTTATTTACTCATTATAACGATTGCTGATTTGATAGTTTGTGATAAAAGTCGTTTACTAAGCAATCCTTTAAGATCCGTAAAAGTGTTTTATTTTTAAAAGCATTTTTAAAAAAAGCAGCAATATCTAATAATTTCATACTTATAAAGAATAGTGACCTTGAAAAAATTAAGTACTGCACATGCCTATTCGTTGTAGAGATTTTAGGTTTAACTCACCTTGCTGGGCGCTGGAGGCATGACAACTAATTTGAAGTTGTTGTTTAAATGGTTAAAGAAGACTGACTCAGTCTTTCGGAAGAATTTTTTACCGAAGCGCCCTCACTTAGGGAGAGACCCGCCTCAGGAGCGGGTCACTGTCGCTGGGGCTACGACGTAGAATGCGCAAGCGATCCCTTGTAGCTCCCCTTATAGCGACTGAGGGTAACCGGGTGGGTTTTAGCCGGTAGGAGTCCGGCATAATCACACGCCTCCCCCGGGGCGTGTGGTATCCATGAGGATTTATCATCCGCAAAAAAAAAAGTCTGTCGGAAGAAGAGACTTGCTCCTGACGAGACAACCTGACGAGAACCTGTTTCTCTATTGAAATTGGCTTGTCCAAAACGACCAGGTATTCCATCATATAAAATAAATTTATTTTATTAAATAATCATAAAGGCCAAAAAACTATTATCTGCTGATGCCTACGTATATAAAAATAGCAATATAAATTTCCTAAAATAATCTTAATGCTTTGAAATATCTGTGGATTACTAAATCGAGTGAGAATTGACTCAGTTTGCCAAAGTAAACTAAATACTCAAACGTATTACATACTTTAAAACATAAAATCGAAGACAAAAATATTTAGGCGGTAGCAGATGATAAAACTTTTCTATCATTCTATTATTTTATTTCTTTTTAATTTTATCTCAACTTATGGTAAAACAGTGTTTTTAAACTTAATAAGATTTATAATTGAAAATTCTATAAAATTTTAAAAATCCCTAACGAGTTAGATGCTATTTAAAGATTATACATGGCATTCGTGTGAAACTTAAAGGATGATTATGGGCCCAAATGCCTTACATCATTTTGGAAAAGACCTAAAACTCTTACAACGGTGGACCGATATTAATATAACATAGTAACGAACCAAGGAAACTAGATTACAAATGGAAAAGCCGTATAGAAATAGGTCCATCAGTTTGAGAGCTATGATAAAACAGACAGACACACGCATACATACAAACATCGACCTCAAACTTCTAAAAAACTTATTTTTGGTCGATGATTAAAAAAATCATATTATTATAGTGACAAAACAAGATAAAACCCCTCCTATAAGTCTTTACGCAAATAATAAAGATAATAGTGACATTACGCACACGAGATATTTTAGAACAAATAATTCTCCGCATTACTAATTTATATTTTGTCATCAGATATCTAAGAGAAAAATATAAAACATCATCATCGTCATCATCATCTAGCCTATTGCAGTCCACTGCTGGACATAGGCCTCTCCCAACACGCGCCATAACACTCGGTCCTCTCCCTTGCGCATCCAGTGAGACCCAGCGACCTTTGTAAGGTCATCGGTCCACCTAGCTGGGGGGCGTCCTACTCTACGTTTGCCGAGACGCGGTCTCCACTCAAGGAAAACATGAATAGAAGTATTTTTTTAATTTAATGTTCGTCATCATCATGTTTTTCCTGATTTTAAACTACAAACAAACTGCACTATAGTAACTGAAACATGGAAAAAAATATTTCTAAACGAGTTGATAGGTAAATAAAAAATAAGAGATCGAAAATGTAAGTAACTTAATAGCTTTATTATCAGTTCATGATCTTTGTTGGTGGAAAATGACATAATCTTCTATATCTTCTCTTCTATATATATAAAAATGGATTGCTGTTCCTTAGTCTCGCTAAAACTCGAGAACGGCTGAACCGATTTGGCTAATTTTAGTCTTGAAATACTTCTGGAAGTCCAGGGAAGGTTTAAAAGGTGAGAAAAATTGGAATAATTGCCGGGAAAACCCTAAAAACAGCCTTTTTCTATTTCCCATACAAACGTTTTTTTTTACATTAGATTTGACAACTAACTAATATGTCAATCGTTCTGTTTGATTGAATCAGGAAAAACCTTATTATTTATGGCCTCTAAGACGGAATAGAGTTCACCTGGTCAGCTATACCTACATACATATATTATTCTTGACCAAACTAACGCGGACGAAGTCGCGGGCAAAAACTAGTCTTCTATATATATAAAAATGGATTGCTGTTCCTTAGTCTCGCTAAAACTCGAGAACGGCTGAACCGATTTGGCTAATTTTAGTCTTGAAATGTTCGTGGAGGTTCAGGGAAGGTATAAAAGCTGAAAAAATTGATTCATTACTGGGAAAACCATACAAATAGCCCTTTTTTATTTCCCATACAAACGTTTTTTTTTTACATTAGATTTGAAAACTAACTAATATGTCAATCATTCTGTCGCACTTCAAAACAAGGAGATTTGTGGCTTACAGGTTAACTCCAAAAATATAAATAAAAAAACGTAATAGATATTTCTTGATTATAGGGCGATACGAAGTTCGCCAGGACTTCTAGTTTTAAATAAATAAACGTAGAAGAAGTTTTGGAGTTATATTAAATTTTGTATTGCGTTTAATTGAGCATTTTTTTCTTGTTATAAGGTTGACAATAGTAGAAAAACAAATGTTATCTGGAATTATCTATTAGAGAAATATCAGTCTTAGGACGAAGCAGCCTAATACAATTTTTTTTTAAGTTGAAATATTCTAAAATCTGACGGTTTAATGAGAAAATAACTAGTAATAGATTTAATGTCAATATACAATATATCTAATTATAATACAAATAAGATTTATTTGTGTGACTATTTTTTATTAATAACGTAAAAAACTTTACATTGATATTTCTTCATACAAAACGTTATTTTGAACGCACCCATAAAACAAATGTCAATAAATCGCTTTGACACCAAAATCTTTTCGTTATCGTAAAGAAGACTTCCTTTCATAGTAGTTTGAAGGCTTATGTTTATATATTTTTTTAGATTTATGATCATGTTAAAATCTAAAGAGAAACCTTGAGAAAATGTACGATAGTACGTGTGGCGCTGCCGCCACGGGACAGTGTGGTAAATCTCAGCGAGAAGGGGATGGCCCTCCAACGCGAGAACCTCCGCCGGCTCCTCTTGAACGGGATTACAGCGGTTTTGATATCGTAAAGGCAACCCAATATGGAGCCTTCTCCAGGGTCAAGGAACTGGTTGAAGCCGGCTGGGACGTGAACCAACCAGACCATGAAACAGTCACTCTTTTACACTGGGCTGCTATCAATAACAGGTAAGATTTAACAATAACAGGTTAATGGAACAAGAACTACCTAGTTAAAGAATATGTGTCTACTCTAAATTGATTTGATTTCAGTGCTTTTGCTTCTGACAAAAGAATGTTAGAAAGAGTCTTAAAGTAGTGTTGCTTATATTTACTTAATCAGTATTGATATGATTAATTATGAATTAACTAAACATTGTGTGAGAATTTAGTGATATGTTAAGGTATTGTTTATTATATGTTTTGTTTACTAAACATAAAAATGTTACTGATTGTTATTATTGAAAATATCCTGGATTATACAATTCTTTTAAATAAGAGATTGAGTTTCAACTTTAAAAACTCATTAAGTCTTCATGTAAAAAAAAAACAAATATGTCCTATATCTGCAAATAGTAGAAAGGGTATAAAATGGAAACAATAACTTTTAGAACATCTGGTGAATTTTGAATTATTATATTTTTCTTTCTGACGCAGAGAGCATTACTATCATGTTTAGAATTCTATTTCTATGACAACAGATGCAAAGAAGCATTCAATGTCAAAAGAATTTACACTTGGATGTTTTTGAGCATTTGAAATAGAAAGGAGATCATTCAGGCTTCATACATTTTTGGGCCTTTTTTGAAAGTGCCGGCCAACAAAAAAAAAATGGTACATATTTGTAGAACTAACCATTTGGAACAATAGTTAATATGGCGCAAAAGTTGTAGGATCCAAGATATAGAAGTTATTCAAGTTTCAAGATTCATCATTTTGGTACTTTATTTTTTTCTGAAAGTGCCAGGAAACATAAAATAATGATTGATATTGCTAGAGTTAAGCTTCTCAAGCAAATCATTATAGCCATAATCTGTTAGAAACCTGTTGTTTTTATGTAATACTAGCGAACCCGACACACGTTGTTCCGCCAAGTATCTGAACGCATGCAACACATTTCTTGATGATTTTATTATTTGTCTAACCTAATATATATATCGGGGTGCCATTTTTATATATTAAAAAAATGGGCCTAGAAGCACTTTTAACTGATTTTGTACCATTTCGGGACGGATTTGACGGACGCATGCCATGATATGTAAGTGCCATCAAGTATAGAGATGGCCTTTCTTTCTTCAATCGGACTATTAGGATTACCAAATTATCGCTCTGGCACTATGAGGTTCCTCTGCGCCACTTGCTCTCGCGTCATATGATCAAATCCGACCTGAAATGGTACAAAATCAGTTAAAAGTGCTTCTAGGCCCATTTTCTTAATATATAAAAATGGCACCCCGATATACATATTAGGTTAGACAAATAATAAAATCATCAAGAAATGTGTTGCATGCGTTCAGATACTTGGCGGAACAACGTGTGTCGGGTTCGCTAGTATTACATAAAAACGACAGGTTTCTAACAGATTATGGCTATAATGATTTGCTTGAGAAGCTTAACTCTAGCAATATCAATCATTATTTTATGTTTCCTGGCACTTTCAGAAAAAAATAAAGTACCAAAATGATGAATCTTGAAACTTGAATAACTTCTATATCTTGGAAACTACAACTTTTGCGCCATATTAACTATTGTTCCAAATGGTTAGTTCTACAAATTTGTACCTTTTTTTTGTTGGCCGGCACTTTTAAAAAAGGCCCAAAAAGAATGATCTCCTTTATTGTATAATATAATATGGAAGAAACTTTGGTAGAAGAAAATTCCAAAAAAATCTGTAGTAACAATGTAAACAGTAGAATATATGAACAAATTGATGATAAATCTAACCTGAGTTATCCTTCTTTAATACAATTATAACATAGTTCTCTTAATATGTATTTTTAAAAACATGGTTATTGAAAAAGAAATTTAAGCAAAAAACACTTATATTCATGCAAATAAAGCTTCACATTATAGTGCCTTTTTTCTTCAAGTTCCAGGCAATATAAAAAGTTGGTATATAAAGGTAATCATTGTAAGATTTCTTTATAATTTTGTTAATATTTCGACATGTAAGTGTTTTAAATACCCTAATATTTATCACTATATCATAAGGGTAAGGCACAATTTTATGGTCTTACTATAGAAAAGGCTTCATTTTTGCACAATTTGAGTAAAGACAAACAAATGATTACACATCTGTACCTTAATTGATTCAAAAATGGTGTCACCTTGTATTTTCAATAAAATCTGCTGTGATAACACGCTGTGATCATATTTTTTAGGTACTATCAATATTGAATTTCAAGAGAGTAACGTTTATCACTTTGATAATGTCAAAAACACGAACAATATAATCTTAAATGATTGGATTTCAATTTACTTTGATAAGTGATCTGAAAAATCTCAGTATCTTTATGATTGGCATTACCATTGCATAATACACCTGAATGGTGTTTATAATTAATCAACAAAAAAGAATTCAATATCTCAAATGATGACACAACTTGATTGACAATGCTATTGGAATATAAAGCCGCGGTCTCAAATATATATATATATATAAACTTTATTATGAACGTTAGTATGAGCCACACAAATCTGTTCTAATTATGTGAATTCTGTGTCCAGACGGGAGATCATTGAGTATCTTCTATCAAAGGGAGCGAAAGTAGATGCCATTGGTGGCGAGCTCCAATCAACGCCTCTTCACTGGTCCACACGTCAAGGTCATTTAGAAGCCACTGTCGCCTTGATAAGGGCGGGTGGAGATCCGTCTCTCAGAGATGCCGAAGGTTGTGGCTGCCTGCATTTGGCAGCGCAATTCGGTCACACAGCTGTCGTGGCTTACTTGGTAGCACGAGGGGTGCCTCCGGACGCGCCCGACGCGGGCGGGATGACCCCGCTCATGTGGGCCAGCTGGAAGGTGTGTGCTGTGGATCCGACCAGGCTCCTGCTAACCCTAGGCGCCTCCCCTCAACCTGCGGACCATGCGCATGGAAACACAGCGCTCCATTGGGCAATCCTAGCCAGAAACGCAACAGCCATATCTACACTTATCCTTTATGTAAGTTTACTTGTAAATTAAATTTATCATAATTTTGATCTGTTCATCATTCGTATCTTCTTCACAGGGAAATGCAAGTTTGGATATACCTAACCTAAGAGGTGTGACGCCTTTAACTATGTTGAAGAATCATACTGATTCGCTGTGGGTCGGCGCCAAAGTAGCAGATAAAATAAAGGAACAAACCGCTGCCTTTTCAAAGAGAAATATCTTCCGCAGATTAGCGTATGACAAAGTACGTATTTCACTGCCGAATATAGATTCCTATATAGTTTTGGTTATGTAATTAACATTATCTATAATTGAATTCTAGAAGTTTCGATGGTGGTGCGTCATCAGCATACCATTTCTGGCTTTTTACGCAACCGGTTTGGTTCTCGAGATGGACGGCCTCTACTTACTGAAGGGTTTCCTCCTCGTCTGTTTCTACGCACTATTACACTTCTTCACCAATGCACTCTTTGACGACGATCTCAAAAATATATTCCCGTTAAGTGTGTACCTGGCAACAAAGGTTGGTTCGTCGTTTATACATCAGCTTAATGGAGCGTGTTTTAAAGATACTAGATTACCATAATTCATTTCTGTTGGCAGGTGTGGTTCTACATAACGTGGGTGGTGATGATAGCGCCGGTGGTAGGTGGTGGCCAGACGGTGGCCTTCCTTCTATGTTCGGTGTCTCTGTGGTACACATTCCTTCGTTCATGGCGTAGCGATCCAGGCGTCATCTACGCCTCAAGAGCTGAAAAGATGAGAGTGAGTCTTATATTTCTTGTATTTACTAAAACATGATCACTTAAATCCGAGCAAACTTAAAACTCAGACCTTAAGACCGTGAACACATGTCTCCTACTAATGTACCTGCAACCATTCCTCAGTCAGTAAAATGACCGTTTGATCTCGTATTAATGTTTCTTCATTCTGCAGACTATAATCGAGTTATCTGAGCGTGGTGGCGGCGGTGGGTTCGAGCCGGCTCGTTTCTGTTCCGCGTGTCTTCTCCGTCGTCCGCTCCGCTCTAAACACTGTTCGGTCTGTAACCGCTGCGTCGCCAAATTCGACCACCACTGCCCTTGGGTAGCTAATTGTATCGGTACGTAAACGTCATATTCATATAATTTTCAGAGATTAGTAATGCGATTTGTTGAAATTCGTTTTATATTTCATAAACCTTATATAGTTCCAACCCAAATTTTTATTCTTTCTGAAGAGCAAGATATTATAGCAGAGTGAATCTGTCCTTCGCCTCGAAATTGTCTTCAATGACTATCAACAATCTATTCTTCTTTATACATCGTATAAAATTCGCAAGAATTCGTATTAAATATAATAATCTATAAATTCGCATTAAATCGTAAGACTCTTTAATTCTATATCTTGTGTACTCTTAATAAGGAAATTCAATCTTTTCAAAAAAAGTACTGTGAATATTTCCTTCTACCAGACTCGTGTGATAAGTGTATCGTAACTGTGATTGCAGGTGCGAAGAACCATCACTACTTCATCGGTTTCCTGGCCAGCCTGCTTGTGATGTGCGTGTGGATGCTGTGGGGCTCGGTTCAGTACTTCACGTCAGTGTGCGGCGCTGCGTCGGGCGGGGCGGTCGTGCTGGTGTGGCTCCAGTGCAGTCCGTGGCTCGCCTGGGTGTCACTGAACGCCGCCTTCCACCTGTTCTGGGTGACCGTGCTGTCGTGCTGCCAGCTGTACCTCGTGGTGTGCCTCGGCATGACCACCAACGAGCAGTTGAACCGCGGCCGCTACAGACACTTCCAGGCTCGCGGCGGTCGCTCGCCCTTCACGCGCGGCCCCCTCAACAACCTGGCGGACTTCTTCCAGTGCCGCCTGTGCGGTCTGCTGGCTCCGCGGCCCCGCGACTGGTCCGCCGCCGGCCTCGACGACACCGAGCCCATGTTGCCGCGCGACACTCACTACGTCTGAGCGCGGCCCGACGTCGGCGCTGGCACCGCGGTCTGAACCGCTGTTTACGAAACCTCAATTCCCCTTCCGGCCCACCCCCCACCTTCGCCCCGCCGACGTCCCCATTCTCTTTAAGAAATCTATCATCGAATTAGTATTAGAATTTTCGACCTCTGGTCCTAACTTCCGCCGTTCCGATATATCTAGTTATTAATTTATGTAATTTTCGTTTTCTTTTAATATAACTGATGTTACAAAAAATGTATACCTCCTAAATCGCTTAATTACCGTGTAGATGATTATGAGTTGTATTTGCATGCTGTTGTTAATATAAAAGTACAATTTGATACACTGCGAGACGTCATAATTGCTCGGGAACCCCGTTCACTACTTATATGAAGTCAGTTAGAATTGCTTGAATTATAACATCAAACGTGATTTACTTTGTGAATACAATATTTAGTGTAAATAAATATATAATATTCCTCAATAGAATTCATCTCTCGCTAGTTCGCTGTACATACGTTAAACGCTACTTAGATAGCTCTTTTGTGTATTTACAAATTGTTAATATATTTTGCACGGTGTGCTGCGTATATTTATAAATCGTAAAGACGTTAGTTTTGTATAATTTTACTGGTAGTTTTATATTTTACCGCTAATGTTTTTATATTCCGTTGAACAAAGATAAGTTTCCAACAAAAGCCTCAAAGTAGATGTAGCTGTGTGCGTGTGTAACCGATGGTAACTATTGTATAGTTTTGTTTATTGAGTTTGTATTTATAAGAACAAATTTCAGTTTTACGTCAACAGACGACTCCATTGAATTATTTAATTAAAAAATTAAGTCCGTGTTTTTCACCTTTCCAAGATCACTTTACATTTTTTTTTATATTTTATGATCGTGCCCATAATTTTAACTCTCATTTTAAGAAATAAACTTCTTTAATGATTGTTATTGCTAGCAAAATTAAATCGGTATTTACTTTTACAACAACAACTCCCACCTTAGTCCCCCTTATTATATGTATATTTTAATGGGTTACAAATCTTTAAATTTGTATGTTAGTAGAGTTTCGATTTAATTTCGGATGTAAATATATTAAGTTTTATCACAAATACTAACAAATCTATATTTAATGACCTTACTAATTAGATATGCTTCATATCACTTTATATCTGACAAAAGATTCTAAATATTCCTATGTTTTTATCGACTTTGTATAACTCTTTGCCTGAAGGTATTTACGTTAGGGGGCAAAGAAATCTTGTCAGTTTTAATCAAATAAAACTTAATTTTCTGTACGTTGTTTCTTTTTTATCTTTTAAGAACTGTAACTAGATACATACTTTATTAATTAATGAATAAATATTTAATATTATAGATGTAAACAAAAATATATTTTTTAACGTACAAAGTATTATTTTAATTAATTTTCAAACACTCTTTAGTGTACGAAATCATGTATTTACAATTTAAACTACTACGTTAATAACTGGCAAGGTTTGTTTGGTGCTTAACTTTGAGAATATTGTACTATTGTAAAAGTCAATAACATATTATATGTATTATTAAATGATACCAAATGCATTTTAACTAATTAAAGAAATTTAAACTTATGTTTTTTTTTTCAACTATTTTACCTGAATAATTCATTAGTAGGTACGTCTGACATAGTCAATAAAAAAAGAATATGTTATCAAAACAAATATTATTTATTTCATGACAAAAATTTACTCACATCAGCAAATACGTCTACAACTGTTCACTAAATGAATTTTTGTCCTCGTGTTTCCTCCATACAGTACTCAAGGTTATATAATTAGTTCAACAAATAAAAACCTTAACATTGGTAAAATATTCCACAATTCGTGTGCGAAAAAAAAAGGCATCATTAATTTGACACAATCATTTTCATAAAAAAATCTCCATTCTCCGCTATCAGAAATACTTCATCCTACTTATATTATAATTGCGAAAGTTTGTGAGTGTGTGTGTATGTTTGTTACTTCTTCACTCTCAAACGGCTAAACCGATTTTGATAAAATTTTGTATAGGTAAAGGAAGCTGACGTCCAGGAATAACACATAGGCTACTTTACAACCCGGAAATCCGCGGGTAACACCTAGTATGGTATAAAATAAACTTTGAAAATATTTATTTCGTATGAACATTTTCACTCGTACGATAGTAGATAGTACGATGTTCTGTTTTAAAATGATTTAGTAATTTTCAAATATGTAATACTGAAATCGTTGTTATGGACAAGATAGAAAAGTTTTATTGTTTTAAAATTAGCTTTAATCATTAACGTAATCTCCATCAAGAGCAACGCAATCATTCACGTTTTCATTCATTCACGCAATTTATCTTCTGTCTCAAACTAGGCCTCAGTTTCAGCGATAACCTCTTCATTCCTGCGAAATTCCTTACCGGACAGCACTTGTTTAAGAACAGCCAGTAGTCGCTGGGAGTCAAATCAGGAGAATACGGTGGATGTGGGAACAATTCGAAGTTCAATTCATGTAGTTTTGATTGACTAATGTGATACGTTGTCTTCATTTTTCGATCATTTCAAACGATTTTTTTGCATTTTGGAGTTTACTCCTTAAGAATCGATTTTCATACATATATAAGGCTCCCGGTATGAGAAAAATCCGAGAAAAAATCTAGTAACGAAAATCGTGTCACGTTTTTGGTGCGCAACTCCAGTGCGCAACTTTTTAATTTGGCTGTGAGTGTATTAAGACATACATAATATGGTAACTGCTGTATAGGCCACTATACATATATACTATGTGTTATTGGGCTTGTTTGTTTCTATCAGTGTCGATGTATTTATATTGCTATTTTTGTTATAAATATCAATAAATACTATTGTTATTGTAAAGTTCTTCTCTTCTACCTAGAAATTTCCCGGCTATAGCCAGGGTCTGCCTTACATATTGTGAATAGTTTTTGCTAATTGTTTTTACGACCGGCCGCCTGCCTGACATCAACCCTCTTTTGGGAATCAGCATTAATCAGTGATGCCTAAATATTCTTAGAAAGTACATATGACTCGGAAAAATCACATTGGTACTTGCCCGGGCCAGGATCGAACCCGCGCCCCCGGCGACGAGAGGCGGGCCCGGCGGGCCCCCTAACCATTAGGCCACCACTGAATTGATTTATTGTAATTATAATTAATGTAAGTATATAAAATTAATAAAGTTATATTTATACAGGGTGACTGGTGAATTACTATCAATATTTAAGGAGCATACTCGGTACATGATTCTCATTCGAATTATGTAAAAAAAATAGGTACTTAATTTTTGACCAAATTTCCGTATAAAAAATACATAAAGTATGTACACGTTCCAAGTGTTCCAAGTGTGGACGCGTGCGGCGGCGTGCTGATACAACAACACGAGGCCGCGCGCGTATGTGTGAGTGTGTGTGTATACCTAATCTGTCGGGTGTTCATACGATGCGTAATTAATTACATAACTTTTGGTTAACTTTACTTAGAAGTTTATTAATATTTACGTTATATTAATTTTTATATTGTCATATATGATCGTCAAATATCACGTCCTCAAATATCGATAGTAATTCACCAGTCACCCTGTATATGTATATTATTTTTTCATTAATTTGTGAATTTACCCTTTCATATGATATTAATCTTTTTTCAGTTGAATAAACTCTTTTTGCGTATGGTTAGATACTCGTACTTAAAGAGTAAACTCCAGTAGTGCGTCGGAGCTGACAAACACATTTTTTTTTAATTTTCTGCTATTACCGCCTCATTTGGATTCTGCATCATCGGTGTCTCCACGGCCACGTTTGAAGCTGGCAGACCAAAGTTTTATTATTGTTTCTGATGGAACGGAGTCACCCAAAACATTTTTCAATCCATCGCTTCGCTTCAAACGGCTTCACAATTAAAACATGAAATTGTTTTTGATCGATTGTTTTGAAAATAACAAAAAGAACGTCAGTCTAATAGCACAATAACTCACAAACTAACCAATGGAATATCAACTACCTTTTTTAAGATTACAATATTGACAGCTATCGTTTTGAAGATTAGTAGTACATATTAACTGAAAAAATGTGACTGCATTAAAACTAGCGCCATCTATGTGTTAGGCCCGGACTTTTCAGCCCATTTTATATGCTGGCATTTATTACTGAAACCACCCTAGGGTGGACGGTGGTGTTTCTGGATTTAAAAATCACACTCAAAGTCCTTTACTATTCTAAACAGCGTTATATGCATTTCTTTTGTTTTAAAATACTTTCAATTGTAACATGATTCTTATCTTATATCTTTAAATGAGCAATTCTTGTATTTATTTAATTGGAATCTCGGAGTCGGCTCCAGCGATTTTCATGAAATATATAGGGGGTTTCAAGGGCGATAAATCGATCTAGCTAAGAATATTTTTATTTTATAAAAAAAAATAACAAAAAGGAGTCGTTTAAAATATGACTCTTCCTGACATCTATTGGCTAGTAGTAATACTTTTTGCTAATTGAGTTTACTAATTGATTTAACGACACAACAGCAGATGGCGTTGTTAACCAGGAAGTCAATGAGTTTGTTTTGAGGTTAGACTAAGAAATTAATGAGCATGGGGATGAAACTGTCATACAATTAACGTGTAAGAAATTAATGATAGAAAGTGCTGCCACCTAAAGAAACAGGTTCAACAACTTTGACACTATTTTCCTTTATAACTTCATAGATGGCGTAAGTAGCTCTCAAATTGATTTGACATAAGGACAAATTTTAAATTATTTCAGTTGTTTACTATTGTTCTTGTGCTGTACGTTCTTTTTCAAACATTTGACCCGGCTTAATATATCATTGATTCCTATTTTAACGCTTTTGACGATCGACGCCGGCTTTTCTCAATTGGACTTTGTTTTCTGCGACTACGATCGACCCCGGCTCTTCTCATTTGGATTTTGATTGCAAACCACGAATTTAGATTATCGATAAGGTGAAAAAATGCCACGAAAAGTGTTATTTTCTGTGTGTGACTAAAGGTACTTATTTAGTAAAATTTAAAAAAATATTATTCGTCATATGTAATATTTAATCAATTAAGGTAAAAGTATCAGTAGATGACCACTTAAGGAGACAGAATATTCTTTTTAAATGTTTGACTTTAATTATCATATGAATTCAGTAAGTTTCTTTTTTTGGAAACCCTGTGAAAAGTGTTTTAACATATGAACAAGTATTTCACCACGTATAATCTTCTTCTTCTATCTTCTATATATATAAAAATGGATTGCTGTTCCTTAGTCTCGCTAAAACTCGAGAACAACTGAACGGATTTATCTTATCTTAGTCTTGAAATGTTTGTGGAGGTTCAGGGAAGGTATAAAAGCTGAAAAAAATTGATTCATTTCTGATATAAAAATGGATTGCTGTTCCTTAGTCTCGCTAAAACTCGAGAACGGCTGAACGGATTTATCTTATCTTAGTCTTGAAATGTTCGTGGAGGTTCAGGGAAGGTATAAAAGCTGAAAAAAATTGATTCATTACTGGGAAAACCATACAAACAGCCCTTTTTTATTTCCCATACAAACGTTTTTTTTTTTACATTAGATTTGAAACTAACTAATATGTCAATCATTCTGTCGCACTTCAAAACACGGAGATTTGTGGCTTACAGGTTAACTCCAAAAATATAAATAAAAAAACGTAATAGATATTTCTTGATTATAGGGCGATACGAAGTTCGCCAGGACTTCTAGTTTTAAATAAATAAACGTAGAAGAAGTTTTGGAGTTATATTAAATTTTGTATTGCGTTTAATTGAGCATTTTTTTCTTGTTATAAGGTTGATAATAGTAGAAAAACAAATTTTATCTGGAATTATCTATTAGAGAAATATCAGTCTTAGGACGAAGCAGCCTAATACAATTTTTTTTAAAAAGCTCGGTAACCAAATATTATTTATGGTAAGGAGGAAGTAAAAGACGCTTTGTTAAATCATCCTTTTACTAAGCTTTAACAGAATGCACATATTATTTATTATTACAATGGTTCAACCATGAATTTCAAATATACAATGCTGGCCGTGACAGTGTAATGACAATTATATGCTAAACAACTTTATGTGTATCATATATATCTGTAAATACTTTTGTAACGTTACATATCCGCTAGGCCTGCACATGAGACTAAAATGACAATTACTACTACTAGAATTTAGCAGTTAAAACCGAACAAAACAGTATTTAGCAATAAAAAAAATAGCTTTAAGATGTGATTATAGACCAGTTTATTTTTTACATTTTCTGTATTGTGGAATGTTACTACATTTTCCCTTCTAGTCTATATACTGATGAAGTACTAAACCTGTGAGTATGTCAATGATAAAGCCTTAAAAAACCTATTACACAGCGCAAAAACAATGATTATTTTTATTTGAGTGCATGAATGAATTTAATTATTATCAAATCAGGTAATTTAGATATCCTATCTAATTAAAAACTATTATTGTGAGTTATTTCTTACTGACACACGGGGCGCTGCAGAATAATCTTATAACAGAAACTCGTTTTGTAATAATTTACTAATTATAAAAACTAAACTAGAGACCCGATTATAAGAGCAAGCACATGAACTGTTCGTGTTACTCATTCAATTAATAATTTATTTGTAGTTTATCACATTCAAAAAGTGCAGAAAGTTACAAATATTACGAAAACAATACAACCAATATATATATAATTAATACTATTCAGAGTTACTATAATAGAAATGCACTATTATAAATATTATATATATAAAAGAAAAATAAAATACATGTGTAACAACACAGACATGATACATACGTGTTCGTAATTGTGAATTAAACACTGTTTACAACACAGTGAGCGGATTCCAAACAACAATTTGAGACAAAAGCTCCTTGAAAGTGCTCCTCATAATACAATCCAGTGCATCCAATCATGAACATAAAAATGTATAATCATAGAAGATTCAAAAACGATTTGTCACAAAAGAAATTAATAGTTCATGGATACAGAAATATAATAAAATTAATAATTTAAATACATTAGAGATTTATATTGCTTACATTAAATGTGAGTTATTCAAATGCAAAACATCATTTAAAAAGTTATTTCACGGGTGAATTTTAATTATGAAAAGCCAAATGATTCCAGTACACTGTACACAATGAAGGTTACTATGTGTTTGTTTCTCATTCCACATCCATCTGTTCTTGGTTGTTTTCCGGTTGTCCGTCTCCGGTGGGGTTGGCCGGGGGAGGAGTCTTCTCTTTAGGTTTCGGCTTATTGAGAATTGGGTTGACAATGCTCTCGAAATTCTACAAACAATAATATAAATATTAATCAATTCAAATCCAATTTAACATGACGGATGTCAGCTTTTAATGTTACATATTGGTATAAACCTGTTTAAATTAAAAATTAGACTTTAAAACAATGTTAAATTTATGTTTAGGATACAGTGAAATCGTGTCGAAACAGTAACACAATACAATATTTTCTTTGGAAGGACAATTGTTGTTGGTCTTGTGGTTTGAATAGTTTCACCTGACGAATTGGCTGGTGCTGAGACTTAAAGAAATTAAGGTACTTGTTCATATTGGAGTGATATTGTTAAAGTTAAATAGTCAAGGCACCTGTCTCTCCTGTCGTATCTGTTGCGTGGTGTGTGGAGGCTGCACGTGTCTGGGAGCGTGCGCCAGCGCCCCGCGAGCCGCCTCCAGCCACTGAAACGCGTTACCGCACGCCTCACACACCTTCTGTATGTCCGCCTCCGATAGGTGACAATACTTCGCGTCACCGGATCTGTGGGATTTAAAAACAAATATAAAAACCTCAGCAAGACTAGAATTTACCAATTATTATATGATCCAAACTATATATTATAATAAACTAGCTGCGCCCCGCGGTATTACCCGCGGATTTCCGGGATTTAAAGTAGCCTAAATCGGTTCAGCCGTTTGAGCGTGAAGAAGTAACAAACATACACACACACAAACTTTCACAATTATAATATTAGTAGGATTAACACTATTATACTATAACTTTGGTACTAAACAGTAATGTCGTTATTAAATTGTACTAAATGTTGTGAGTTTTGTTGGTATAATGATCAATTTCTAATTAAACTATTACACAATGTTTACCTCACACAAAATAAGAAAAAAAATCTCGAATAATTTCTGTATTTTGTTTATTTATATAGTACACTTCAGATTATCTATGAATTATTTCATCACCAGTCCTCGAATGAAACTAATGAAGAAAAAAATGAGCCGTCATAGTAATATAACACACCTGTACAGATCTATCGCCTTGTTCGTTAGTTGTATCGCTAGAGCGAAGTCGTCCATCGCCCCCGGACGAAGCTCGAACTCCAATCGGCGTTGTTTGATCGGCTCACCTTCCGTTTTTAATTCACTGAGTTTGTCACTGTAAACCTGAAACAGACATTAATATTTAAAAACAAATCAAGCTAATAAATACTATACAGGATGACAGGTGAATTACTATCAATATTTAAGGAGAATACTCGGTACATGATTCTCATTCGATTTATGTAAAAAAAATAGGCACTTAATTTTTGACAAAATTTCCGTATAAATAAATAAAGTGTTGTCACGTTCCAAGTGTGGACGCGTGCGTATGTGTGAGTGTGTGTGTATACCTAATCTGTAGGGTGTTCACACGATGCGTAATTAATTACATAACTTTTGGTTAACTTTACTTAGAAGTTTATTAATATTTATGTTATATTAATTTTTATTTTGTCATATATGATCGTCAAATATCACGTCCTCAAGTATCGATAGTAATTCACCAGTCACCCTGTATAAGTAATGAATGAGGTAGTGAATATTTTACATCCTGCAACAGAGATTTATACTTTCAAATTAAGCTAATAAATATTAATCAAGTTTAATTAATTTCGATCTATACTAATATTATAAAGCTGAAGAGTTTGTTTGTTTGAAAGCGCTAATCTTCGAAGCTACTGGTTCGAATTGAATAATTCTTTTTGTGTTGGATAGTCCAGGTATCGAGGAAGGCTGTGGGCTATACAGGGTGACTGGTGAATTACTATCGATATTTGAGGACGTGATATTTGACGATCATATATGACAAAATAAAAATTAATATAACATAAATATTAATAAACTTCTAAGTAAAGTTAACCAAAAGTTATGTAATTAATTACGCATCGTATGAACACCTTACAGATTAGGTACACACACACACACACACACACACACACACACACACACACACACACACACACACACACACACACACACACACACACACACACACACACACACACACACACACACACACACACACACACACACACACACACACACACACACACACACACACACACACACACACACACACACACACACACACACACACACACACACACACACACACACACACACACACACACACACACACACACACACACACACACACACACACACACACACACACACACACACACACACACACACACACACACACACACACACACACACACACACACACACACACACACACACACACACACACACACACACACACACACACACACACACACACACACACACACACACACACACACACACACACACACACACACACACACACACACACACACACACACACACACACACACACACACACACACACACACACACACACACACACACACACACACACACACACACACACACACACACACACACACACACACACACACACACACACACACACACACACACACACACACACACACACACACACACACACACACACACACACACACACACACACACACACACACACACACACACACACACACACACACACACACACACACACACACACACACACACACACACACACACACACACACACACACACACACACACACACACACACACACACACACACACACACACACACACACACACACACACACACACACACACACACACACACACACACACACACACACACACACACACACACACACACACACACACACACACACACACACACACACACACACACACACACACACACACACACACACACACACACACACACACACACACACACACACACACACACACACACACACACACACACACACACACACACACACACACACACACACACACACACACACACACACACACACACACACACACACACACACACACACACACACACACACACACACACACACACACACACACACACACACACACACACACACACACACACACACACACACACACACACACACACACACACACACACACACACACACACACACACACACACACACACACACACACACACACACACACACACACACACACACACACACACACACACACACACACACACACACACACACACACACACACACACACACACACACACACACACACACACACACACACACACACACACACACACACACACACACACACACACACACACACACACACACACACACACACACACACACACACACACACACACACACACACACACACACACACACACACACACACACACACACACACACACACACACACACACACACACACACACACACACACACACACACACACACACACACACACACACACACACACACACACACACACACACACACACACACACACACACACACACACACACACACACACACACACACACACACACACACACACACACACACACACACACACACACACACACACACACACACACACACACACACACACACACACACACACACACACACACACACACACACACACACACACACACACACACACACACACACACACACACACACACACACACACACACACACACACACACACACACACACACACACACACACACACACACACACACACACACACACACACACACACACACACACACACACACACACACACACACACACACACACACACACACACACACACACACACACACACACACACACACACACACACACACACACACACACACACACACACACACACACACACACACACACACACACACACACACACACACACACACACACACACACACACACACACACACACACACACACACACACACACACACACACACACACACACACACACACACACACACACACACACACACACACACACACACACACACACACACACACACACACACACACACACACACACACACACACACACAGACGCGGCGGCGGCGTAGTGTTGTATCAGCACGCCGCCGCACGCGTCCACACTTGGAACACTTGGAACGTGTACACACTGTATGTATTTTTACGGAAATTTGGTCAAAAATTAAGTACCTATTTTTTTTACATAATTCGAATGAGAATCATGTACCGAGTATGCTCCTTAAATATTGATAGTAATTCACCAGTCACCCTGTATAACATCACGCTACGACCAAGGAGCAAAGATATAGTGGTAAATGTGTAAAAAATGGGAGAAATTATTTTATCTTTGAGGCCTTCCGTTGCGTGCGCCGTGAAAACGGTTCAAGATACGCAAAAAATATGTATTGAAGAATAATAGCTCTTTTAATAATCTAATAAACAGTCCGCGACAGTATATGTCTATCTTTTAAGATTAACTCACAAAAACCGTTTTTATGGTACCTAATTTGATAGAAATAATTTGTTTAAGTTGAATCATCATAATAATATTAATCTTTATTCAAATAAACAAATAAATATGTTGTTGGTTAAGAGTAGTTCATTGTGGATTTAAAAAAACATAGGTTTTATCCTGAAAACTCTACGGGAACTCGACCATTCCGAAAACCCCGCAAGAACGGGAACTATGTGGGAAGAACCAAAAATCTGCCGGAAGTGACTACTCCACGCGGACGGAGTCGCGGCAAAAGCTAGCATGAAATAAGTCTAAAATGTGAAGCACTATCATGTAATCAAAATATAGAACAATATTGAATGCTCTGACCTGTCTGTTCTGATCCTCTCCTTCATCGTAAAGCCACTGTTCCAGTGCGTCCAGAGTGTTCACCAGCTTGTTCCTCTGATCCTCCGCTACAAAGTCGTGTAGGACTTCGCCCTCCGACAGTTTTCCTCTCAGCTCGTACACATATTCTTCGAGAGCGTTACGAGCATCCGCGCGCTCTTTCTCCTGACGGTCCTGAGCTTGCATTTTACCCTACAAACAGATTAGAACCATAATTTTAAGCAGATGAAAAGTTTAAAACACGATAATTGATATTGATTTTTTTTTTAAGCTTTTAATGAAGCACCAAGTTCCTACATATACATTATATGTTGTCTATGCCAATAAGTAGAAAATACAAATTATGAGGAATAGTGATAAAGTATATGATTCGGCAATATTTACCTCTTGTTCCATATAAGTGTTAAGTTCGTGTTGAGCAAAACCGTGAGTTCGCGATTCGATTGGCAATTCGATGGTTTTCACGAGGACCTTCTTTGCCTTATCCTTGGATTTATCCTTTTTATCGTCATTGTTATCCTGCAAAATCAACACGACTAGTTCAATGCATTACGTTATAATAATCCCCACCACCACATCAGAAATGCTAACATGAATTCAAAGTTAATAGCAACATTTCCAGATGTGATGACCCATTTGCACCTATAAACAATAAGCAATAAAAAAACAACTTACAGCGGTCACATCTCACACAGTGGATGTTCTCGATGGATCAAGGACATATCGTTAATGGCGAAGGATAAACAGAAACATGCGTGGACACAGACAGTAAATTGATTAATGCTGCGAAGAATTAAAAATTAATGTATTCCCAGAAGATCGTTACTTCGTGAAAATACAGTGCAAATGGGGCCTCGGTCGAGGGTGGGGATCAGCAACGTCGTGATGTTTGTTGCTTCGGCCGATGATGAGGAATGTATTAGGAACAGTCAAGCAAACGTTATTCAACACCGGGGCAACAAACACCACTGTGATACAACCGCGCTACCGTCACGTACCCCGCTGAACCACTGGCCTACTCTCTGTGTCCACGTTTGTTTGTGCTGCTCGCCCTCCCCGCCTCCTTCCCTCACCTCTTGGTTGTCCAGACCGTTCTGTTCCTGGCCGTTCGTCTCCATCGGTGCTTCCTGACCCTGAACGTTCTCGTTCGCGTTTTCCATTTCCACGTTTTCGTTCTGAGCCGAGTCCTGTTTCTTCTCCAGCAGTGACGCGGACGCGACGGTTATGATACCGTGGATGTTGACTCGCACTTTTAGTTTCACTTTTTGTGATTCGCCTTCAGCGGTCGGCTGCACGTCCTTGATGTTCCACTGACCTATTTTTAAGTGGAGTTACTTTTGGGCTGCTGATACTGAAGTTAGTATATAACAAACAAGTTTAACACTTACCGATCAGTGTATCGGGGTACGGAACCTGATCCGAATAGTAAGCGCTGACAGAGAAGGGTTCTCTTCGGTAGAAAGTAAGCATCTTGGAGAATGGGGCGGCATGGAAAGCCGGGAAAACCTGAAATTATACGGCATATTATATTACTAGATTTGCCCGCGACTTCGTCCGCGTTAATTTCGGCATTAGTAATATATAAAAAAAGCCCACAAATCGGGCAATACCCAACAACTACAAAACAACAGAATGTTATGAAATTTAAGAATTACGTTCACATGAATAGTTTGGCAGTATTTAACAAATTAACTACAGAAAGAAACTGTTGTCTATGGATATTGTCTATCATAACTCTTATTTTTTTTTAATGAAAGGAATGCTTATTAGCTGTCGATCGTGCCAACATAAACCGGTAAAAGGTACGTTGCGATAATGTCGTTTTGGCTAGGAGTTGAGTTCTCGAGTAAGTAAATATGGTTTTTCGCTTATATGAGGAGAAGTCGAACATTTTCCAGGATGTAAAGTAGCCTAGGTGTTATTCCTGGACGTCAGCTTTCTGTATACAAAATTTTATCAAAATCGGTTCAGCCGTTTGAGCGTGAAGAAGTAACAAACATACACACACACTCAAAAACTTTCGAAATTATAATATTAGTAGGATATACAAAAAAAAAACGATGATTCAATCTTACCCGACCTTCCCTAAGACATGTACATCCTTTACTTTTTTAATTCCATCTATTGTTACATAATTTAGACAGAAAAAAATATTACAATTTAAAAAACCACCTTTATCTAGAATTATATATTAGAATATACATATGTACACTATTTGTTTATTTATATAATATATATATTTCATACCTCCATGTCCCCGTCCTCGCCCCGAGCCGCGTCCCACGCCAGTCTCACTCCGTAGGGCTGAGCGTCGGCCACGCTGAACTCACGCACGCGGACCGCGGGGCTCAGCATAGCGCACTGGAGTGCGCAGCCGCGAGACACCGCCTCGTCCTGACGTTCATATAACAATCAAAATATTAATATTTCTCAAGTTGAACAGCAAACTAAGTGAATTCCCACAATACTAGTAAAAATAGATAAATTACCGTGTATGTTATCTTACATTATCATTCATGCAAAAACCACATGTGAAATACAATATTCCGTTTCTTTCAATGATAATATATTAATATCACATAATGGTTAGTTTCAGAGGTTGTATTGTATATTATAAAATTTGTACCTGATTAAGAGTGGTTGAACCTTGTTTTCCAAATACTTGCTCTATCAATGCCTTAACAGCAGGAATTCTGGTAGAACCTCCAACAATCTCCACAGAATGAATATCTTCTGGCCTCAATTCTACAATTAATTTAATTATAATTAATTATCAGGTAATCAGTAATTGTAGTGTTATTATACAAATGAATTATTGATTTTTTTATTAACTTTATTTTTTGTAATGTTTATATTATACAATTATACTCACTAGCGTTGTGCAGGATCCCTCTCAAAGTTCTCTCTACTCTGTTAAATGTATCAGCACAGATCTGTTCCATCTGCTGTCTCTGCATATCACCAGACACATCACGTTCTTCCATGAAACACTCAATGTTCAACGGCAGGCGAGTACTGTTTGCTGACATTTGCTTCTTTAGTTTTTCCACCTCCTGTAGCAGACGCAAAAAGGCTCTGGAAATAAATCACAGTTAAGATATTTTTTTATCAAGATAAAATATTAAATTTACAAAGAAAAAAACAAATGAACTGAGGTGAAGTAACTGTTTGTTTTATATATTTGGTGAAAATTGATAAACAATTTTTTATTTTTGTAAATAATCATTTGTGTTTATTTTTATACAAGATAGCAGGGCTTAAATAGCATAGCTGAATGAATGTTTAAGGAAATTTCTTTGTGCCAAAGTCCTAATGAAATATAGTCTTGTAATAAGTAAAAATGATTAAAATTTACATTTATTATATTATTTTATTTAACAAAACCAACCTCTGATTCTTTCTAGCATCCAACTTCAGCCTGCTAACAAAGTCCTGGCAAAAGTATTCTGCCAGGGCCATATCAATATCTCGACCTCCACAATTGGGGTCTGATGATGTGGCCAGCACACGCAGCTTACCCTTGTTGAATGCACATGCAGCTACCTGCAATTAAATATTCAAAATAGAATAGATGTTAATTAATATATTTCAAATGCTGCAAATGTTTTATTATTAGAGTATATTATCAATAACATCTTTACCTGCAGAGCACTATGGCCAAAGTCAACAAAAACAACATTCCTAGGCTTATCTTCTGGAGCTGGTAGGTCTTGCTTGTAAATACCATATGCCAAAGCAGTGGCGGTTGTTTCATTCATGAGACGCAGCACATTGAGTCCTATAGAGAAACATAATACAATTCAATGTATTGATTAACTAAAAGCCAAGGTTACATACTCAGTTTACCATAGACATATATAGTGAGGCCAAGGTCAACTTGTAAAGCTTAGCTACATAGCCTAGTATGGAAAAAATATTAATCATTTTTACAAATGGTAACCCCAAATACTAAATGAGAGTCAATATGGCAATAAAAAATGGCTATATGTACAATAATATTAACTGCTATTAAAAATGTTCATTACCAGCTATAGCAGCAGCATCTAATAGAGCAGATCTCTCCGCATTGGTGAAGTAACTTGGTACTGATATAACGCAATCATTAATTTGCGTTTGAAGTGCTGTGGTAGCACAGTCTTTCAGTTTTGTAAACAGCATTGCTGTAATCTGAAAAAGAACATAACATAAACACATTATGAGACAAACTCATTGTACTATATACACTTAAAATGATAGAAAATTCAAATTGTTTTAGATGTTAGATAACCAAGAGGTTTAGTTAAGACCTTGAGATAACAAATTTAGTTAGTTTGGTTATGAAATTGTGTTACCTATAATAAATAAGTTAATTCTTACTTGTTCTGGGCTAAACACATTATCTTCACCGAGATAGTTAACCCTGATGCCTATGCCACCATCAGGTCTTTGTTCAACTTTGAAAGGAAAGTGTTTTAATTCCTTCTGAACATGTGGATCTGAGAATTTTCTACCTAAAAGTCTCTTGAAGCCGAACACAGTGTTTTTCATATTTGTAACCATTTGATTTTTTGCAGCTACTCCTAATATTCGGTTCTTTGGTGAAAAAGCTACACATGATCTGGAAATCAAAATTTGTATATATGTATGTGTACCAACAATGGACAAATTTCTAATAAAATCTTAATAAAAAAAACACTTTCATTAAATTTCATTCTATTCATAACAATTTTAGGTTTTCTAATAAGAAACAAATTATAACCTCACAGATAATATGTGATGACTGGCATTTGTCAGTGTAATCGCTTGTAATGTTGAAATCGTAAGACAAATAAATCAATAACTTTAGATCGATCCATGTTATTCTACAGCAGTAAGTCAATATTTTAATACAAATAAAAAGCAACCATAAAAATAATTTTCTGTTCTGTTCGACAAAGTGTACACTTCTGTTTTGAGATTAATGTAATTCTACTTACTATAAAGGTCTAAAATATGCAAAACACTACACTTTAAAAATAATACTTACGGGGTCCCCCTCAGACTGTAGTCGTTAGTTATTGTCTCAATACCACCTGCTTTTGCTACAGCAACATAGCACGATTCATTACCGAAATCGATACCTATAACTGACATCGCGGCCATTCTAGTCCTAAATTATCAGATTAAAAAAACTGAATCCTTAGAAAATAGCCTTTTTCAGAACACTTCAAACACGTTGTTTTAGCCTGACAATTAGTCAGCCTGTCGCAAAAGAACGCCGGTTCTCGCAAATACACGACACAGAACAGTCACTACACAGAGTCTTGTATTCCTTTTTGTACCCGAATTTTCTAGAAGCACAGACTAATAATAAATCTAAAAAGGTACAGATAAAATGAAAAAGTTGAAGTTTCTCATTTCTTTAGCCGCTGCAAAATAGCAACCATAGACCACAAAATTCTCAAGGGTAGACATACATTTCACGCTTTCCGAAGTATATTATACTAAATTATATTCACTTGATGTGTCATCTGTACCGGTCAAATATATTTCATCGATTTAGTATGCCAAAAAATATTTTATCAAAGTATTTTATTTTCTTAGATACGTTGTTCCCAGGATTCCCAATATTAAAATCAGACGAATTTTTTCAAGAAATAAAAGTTCAAACTAAAAATAATGGTACAAGGATTTTATTAAATATACTCATTAGATTTTTTTCTCCCAGCATAAAAAATATGAAAATATTTTAAGCATTTCAAATACATTGGTGACATATTTTTTATGGTTCAATTATATTTTTTGTACGTGCTAAGGATTTGTGTAAAGTAACTATTACAGGCTACTAAATTATAAAAATAGTTTAACAACTCTGCAACGATCATGAAAAACAAATCAATAAATTTTGAATACTAGTAAATTATAAAAATGAAAGCTTCAAATAATTGCATTTCGGTAGTAGAAAAAACAATGTATCAGTAGAAACTAAAATTTATTGAATAAATTAATAAAAGTTATGTGCATGGCATGGTTGAATTCCTCTTTCCTTGGCTTGGGAGTCTTAATTGATTTAGAACGTTATTTACAATTTAATATATATATATATATTATATTTTAATTTAATAACCGTACAAAGCAACGAAAAAATATATATATTTTTAATTTCAAATTTATTGTTTCAAACGTGGTCGGTCTAAAAATATTATAACCTTAAAATAATACCAAGAACAATTTTCCAAATTAATATTACAAATAGTAAACGTCCACTGAACATGCTACTGACTGTTTTTTTTTTAATAATTACGTAAAGCTTAAATAAAGTAGTAAACATTTTTCTCAAATATTAATTTTACACAAACATAATCAACAACCAAGTTAGACTTAAGTAGAAGAAGGTTATCGTTGCGCGAGAGTGACGGATTTATTACGTTTACACGATTTTGCGGGGTCACCTTCAAATTTAACGATAGGAGCGTGTTTCACGTTTCGCTCGGTGTCGTTTCTTTTCAGTTTACCTTTCAGGTTTATAAGAAATATATTTAGTATGAGCAGTGAACCTCAAGCAAAGCGTACAAAAATGAGTGCCTTAGACCAATTAAAACAATTTTCAACTGTTGTGGCCGATACCGGTGACTTCGAAGGTTAGAAAAACTAAATATAAAATAAGTATTATATGGAAACATATATTATATGCTTTAGACATATTTCCTAAAATTGAAAAATATATAATTCATATTTTTATTTCATAAAAAAATATTTACGGAATTATAAAAAAAATACATACTTGTGTTATATATTTTAGCTATGAAGGCTTACAAACCTACAGATGCCACTACCAATCCAAGTTTAATTCTTTCTGCGGCTGGAATGGAACAATATCAACATTTGCTGGACAAAGCTATCAAATATGGAATTGAATGTGGGGGGTATGTACAGCATTCCTGACTCATATTTGAGGAAAAAAGATTTTTAAGTTTATAACAAAATGTATTAATTAGAAAATTATTTCTTAAATCATAAGTTACTTTTATGAATTGACTGTGTATGTTTGTATGTATGTATATGTTGTTAATAGGAAATTTATTATTCTAATAAATATCCCGCTGTCATCACATAACTCTTACACCTTCTAAATTCACAGTGAATAATTTCCAAGAATATGTTTCATGACATGTTAAAAATATTTAATCACTACATATCTTAAGGAAAATATCATAATTAATAAATAATTGAGGTTACAATTTAATTTGACTGATTTGTGATGATAAAATAGATAGTTATCAAATTAACTGTTTAAATTAATGTTTAAATCTATGATAATTTTTGGTATCTATTTTTAATATTTTAGAATATAGGTTTAATTATGGTCATTCTTTTAAAACATACAACAATTTAAATCATGATAATACTGTTAAAGACAATATAAACCAGTATGTCGGCACAGATAATTTATGTCACTTGTTTTAAGTTTCTTTATAAAGATAAATGGTTAGTGAAAATTCATGTGATAAAAACTTAAATTATATTTGTAACTTTATTAACTTATAATAATAAATTTTTGTTTTGCAGAAATCTAGAAGAACAATTGTCTGAAGTCATGGACATGTTAAGTGTTTTGTTTGGTTGTGAAATACTTAAAATTATACCTGGACGTGTTTCTGTTGAAGTAGATGCACGGTAATATGTAAAAAATTGTTGATTGTTTTAATTATTTAGTTTAAAATATATATGTATAAACATAGGAAAACATTAAGATCTTTGAGTATATTATGGCTAAACCAAAAATATAATTTATAAGTAAATATAATTATGTTAGTAGTTGCTTTTAAAATTCTTTGTTATTGTTGAATTATTATGCTGAATATTTGATGAAATAGTAGTATGTAATCATATGTTTCTATTTTGCTAATAGTTAACTATAGAAGAGACTATCTAGTACATTACTATCTTTATTAGAATTTTCTTTTACACATATTATTTATATTTTAGATTGTCATTCAATAAGGATGCTAGTATGGCAAAAGCAATAAAATTAATTGGTATGTTTGCTGAGCAAGGTATCAAGAAAGAGAGGATTTTGATCAAACTTGCATCAACATGGGAGGGTATCCAAGCTGCAAGGTGAGATGGGAACTATTTACTGTAAGAAAGTTATGTAAAAATATTTTTTTAATGACTTTTTTTTTAGGGAATTGGAGAAAAAACATGGTATTCATTGTAATCTAACTCTTCTGTTCTCAATGTGCCAAGCAATTGCTTGCGCTGAGGCCAATGTGACACTTATTTCACCATTTGTTGGAAGAATATTGGATTGGTATGTGAACTGTTCGTTAAATGTACAATAATTTATTTACATATTGATTGATATACAGGGTGACTGGTGAATTACTATCGATACTTGAGGACGTGATATTTGACGATCATATATGACAAAATAAAAATTAGTTAAACAAAAATATTAATAAACTTCTAAGTAAAGTTAACCAAAAGTTATGTAATTAATTACGCATCGTGTGAACACCCTACAGATTAGGTATACACTCACACTCACACATACGCGAGCGGGGCGTGGTGTCGTATCAGCACGCCGCCGCACGCGTCCACACTTGGAACACATGGAACGTGTCAACACTTTATTTATTTATACGGAAATTTTGTCAAAAATTAAGTGCCTATTTTTTTTACATAACTCGAATGAGAATCATGTACCGAGTATTCTCCTTAAATATTGATAGTAATTCACCAGTCACCCTGTATATTTATAACACAATGAGAATATATAAAACAGTAATATATCAATAAAAGTCATGTGATTTGTAACTTATCTATTATCAATTCATTATATATACATATGTATATATGTTAGGACTTTTATTAGAATTTCATTTATTCTAATACAAATGATTATTGTTTTGTAGGTATGTGGAACACACAAAGTTGACATATGAACCCAAGGATGATCCGGGAGTGTTATCTGTTTCCCGTGTATACAATTACTACAAGAAGTTTGGCTACAAGACACAGGTTATGGGGGCATCATTCCGTAACATTGGAGAGATAAAAGAGCTAGCCGGCTGTGATTTGCTCACCATCAGTCCCAAGCTGCTTCAGGAGCTTGCAAACAGTGAACAGTCTCTTAAGAAGGTTATAATGAGCATAGTCATTTTGTTTCTAACCTTTTTATTTTTATGTACACATACAAATTGAATATAACTTTGCAATATTCATGATATATGTAGGGTTGTTTTGTAGTGGGAATTTATGTTTTTGGATTTTTTTTTCTATATGGTAGAATTAACATATTGTGTTGCAATTGGAGATATAATGGATATTTATGATTCAATCACTGCTACAAAGTTTAAAGAACACAAATAATGGTCATTCCATAAAGAAATTAAAGATTAAAATCCAGTTACAGCATGGGTCTCGTTTTACCCTTTTTTATGTACATTGGCTATAGAATATTTGTTACGTGTATTAGTTATTAGTTGACTTATATTTTACATTTAGAGTAAATGTCTTTAGGCTCTGGGTTCCTCTAAGTGTTCACCCTCTGTTATGCTTATTTCTGATCAATAATTCCGAAAGTTTTTAAAAAATTGTCTGTTGTTAATGTAATGAATTTTATAACATTAACTCTTTAAAAAAATAATGCATATACATTTTGAGTACATTTATTTGCTAATTTCGTAATATTTATTCAACTAACTATATATTATCTTTATATATATAAAAATTTCGTGTCACGTGTTTGTCCGCCATGGACTCCTAAACTACTAAACCGATTTTAAATTTGATTTGCATTCCGTGTGCATTTTGATCCAACTTGAAAGATAGGATAGCTTACATCTCAATTTATAGTCAAAATATTATTTTATTGTAAATTATTTGTCTATTAAAGAAAATTATTTGTCATTATTACAATAATCTGTTGACCGAGTTAAGTATTCAATAGATGGAGATATGTTAAAAATACAAACGTCATATATAAGCGACTACTTAATAATAGCATAAACACCACGTGTTTCTGAGCCTAAGGTATAACCTAAATTCATTTAATAAAAAAACGTAACAGATATTTCTTGATTATATTGCGATACGAAGTTCGCAGGGTCTTCTAGTATTCTAATATAATTTCATTGTGATGACGTCACAGAGTCATGACGCGTGGAATTTAACAAGACTATTCTACCTTTCTTATTCTCTAAGACCTTGTGTTCGTATAAAAAACTGCCGATGATTCTATAGCTGAATGAAAACGACATTTTCTTCCTCTGACCGTGACAATTTTAAACGCAATTTTTATACATTGACATTTTCCCTTGAAAATGATTTCGTGTTTATTAGTTGTTACCTCTTAACAGGTTCTCGATCCAAAAACAGCGGCTCAATGTGACATTCAGAAAATATCTTTAACGGAGGCTCAGTTCCGCTGGCAACTGAACGAAGACCAAATGGCCACTGACAAACTTTCCGAGGGCATCAGAAAATTTGCAGCGGATGGCAGGAAGCTGGAATCTCTCATTAAATCATTACTCTCTAAGAAGTAAAATGATTAAGAAAATGAAAATTTGGGGAAGGATTCGAAAATATTTCTATTGTTCATACATACACTTTGCATTGTTTTTTCTACATTTGTAGTTTTTATATAATTTTTTTAGAATTTAAGCGAAAATGGGTCCAAAATTCATATTTGAAATGTTAATACATTCCTAGTTTTGTTGTTTTTTTTATTGACTTTTTATGGTGCTGTTTATCACAATAAATATTTTATTTTCCATTATTAATGGAGTTTTACTTCATTTACTTCCAGTGCATTTTTGTATAGACCGAGAGTTAAAAAAAAGAGTTAATAAGTAACTTACTACAAAGGTGTTATTTCTGTAATTTGGAAAGTTTTTAATTTTTAGGGCGTTGTATAAAAAGGATTGGTGTAAAAAATGCTTTTGTCTTAATGAAACACACAAATGTGGGTGGTTGGAGTTTGGCCGAGTGGGCTTGGGTGGGTGGGGTAAGGGTTTAACTCTCTCGCGATTAAGCAAGCCCGCTAAGCGGGGAGACGCTCTTGGTCACTTGGAGTGAGCCCTCGGGAGGGAGATGGCCTTTCGCGGCCTACCGCCGGATCGTCGCGGATGTATGCTTCAGCGATTTCCATGGCGATCCACTAAGCGGCAACGGAGAATGACCGCTGGTGTTTTAGTGTTTAGCATGGGCCCTTCTAGTCCGTGAGTCCCACATAACCGCCTCCGTCTCCACTAGACGCGGGGGTAGGTATAAAACTTTTCACAGTGTTAACAAAAAATAAAAAAGGGTGACAACCGGAGGTTCCAGGAAAACTATGAAACTTATATATATATATATATATATATATATATATATATATATATATATATATATATATATATATATATATATTAATAATATATATACTAATACTTATAGCCTATACTTAAGACTAGATGACTCCTCCGAGGTTAGGAATAGTATTCCATAGCCTCTGGTATCAGGTATCAGGAATCTTCTGGTTGACACGGCTTAGTGTTCGTTCCGCGGAGTCAGCAGCGTCACCCGTTATGTTATATTTTATCCACACATTCCCAGCGATGTTCATTTAATTTTTAACATGTTGCGCGTACGTAACAATGTTAATGTTTGTAAGATGCTTATTTAATTATAATCAAGCGTACTAGTTCAGACGGGCAATAAAACAAAAGAAGTTGAATAAGAAAAGGATTTTTACTCAACTTCTATAGTAGCTTTTTGTCTCGTTATGTCATCATCTATATACATATATGTACATATTATATATAAATAATAAGTTGGTTTGTATAGGTTTCAAAAACTCAAAATGTTCTGCACCGACTAAGCTGAAATTCTTATATCTATGTACTTCAAGGATTGTTTTTATCTACTTTTCACGACACAAACATACCAGTAAGTGCCGAGTGCGGCATCTGTCGAAAGCGCAAGGAACAATCACGATATTAGGTTATAACAACCGCAGACTTTTCGTGTCGCTGGAGTAGATTTAAAATGAAACTAAAGATCTATTATGGAGTAGATTTTTTACTAGACCGACCCACCTAAGAATGTGATTAAAAAATGTTTGTCTGTCTGTCTGTCTGTTTGTTCCAGCACGACCCAAAAATAGCGATTCTAAAACTAAACTAAACTAAACTGGGTTTAATTATTGTTTAATATCCTGGGCACCACCATGTGTACTTATCTAAACTAATATTATAAAGAGGTAATACTTTTTGTTTGTTTGTTACGAATAGGCTCAAAAACTACTGAACCGATTTTAAAAATTCTTTCACCATTATGATTGTACATCTTTCTAAAGTAACATAGGCTATATTTTATTTTGAAAAAATTAGGGACCCTTGCGAAACTTCGATAACATAAACTACGGTCGACAAAAATTACTATTGAAATACCTTAAATCGCGTGCGCTGTAATAACTATTGATGATGGAGCAAAACAATGTACTACGATTTTGTTGACCGCATTATTATCTACAGAAAAGTCCGCGGTAGTGTATATCTAAGTATTATAGTTACGCCAATATAAAAACTTTTATAGTTTAAAAAACTATTTAAATCGGCAACGAAAATAAGATGTCGATATTCATACCATGGTATTTATACTTATCTAAATAACTTAGTTTTTATTTATCAGTAGTTCAATACCTTTATATTGCTGTTTAAATTATTTTAATCGGATACTCCATTCAAAAGATATAGCGAGTTTAAAAATTTGGGTAACTTAAAAGTTAACTAAGCGTTTCGCTGCATCGTGTCGCGATGTTGATTGTGCGTAGCTGAACTGCGCATGTGCGTGCAATGCGATATAATTATCATCGTAATATTACTTTTTAAACACAGTTTCATTTTGTAGTTGTCTTCTATATAGTAGGTACTTTATTTCTTTTAGGATAGTATTTAGTTACACAATAATAACACTTTTTTGTTTTCATGTAATATAGATTATTATTAGTTTATAAGTATGTGTTTTCTATAAGTATAGTAAGTATATTTGTTTTAAAAATAGTATTTAGTTTCTATTTTTTTTTTGCTTTAGATAAAACTTGTAAATCGGTGTGGTCAACCTATTTATTGTCATTAGATAAGGGTTAAGTTTAAGCATAAAGTTAGTTTACCTTATTTTCATTTTACGGTTGTTCTTTTGACATAATCGTTAAAAATAAAAGTAATTAGGTTCCTAATTGTTAATCTTCTTAATCTTAGGTTTCTTTTTTTTATTACGAGATACGCTTTAGTTTTCATTTTCTACGTTTTTTCTTCATCACTGTAATGCCGAGAAAAAGAACGCAGCTTTCTCGGTAGACTGCTACTGCAAAGCGGCTGCGAGTTTTGCGCAGCAATGAAACTGAGGATGAAAATATGCACAGGTTGGCTACATAACAAGCAATTACTGAACAAAACCGTGCAAGGGAATCAAGCGTTGAACGTTCGCAACGTTTAGCCTCACAAAAATTCCGAACTTTGTCGAACCGGCAACGGGAATCGAGTGCTGATCGTTCTCAAGATCGGGTTGTGGCGAAAATCAATGTGTTCTTCTGCCACAAGATAATAAAACAAAAAATGTAGTATATGCAGAAGTTCTTTAAAATAATAAAATTTAATTTAAAAATTGTACAGATATAGTTTGGAACTCGAAAAAAAACATAGGTTTTATCCTGAAAATTCTGTTGGAACTCGACCATTCCGAAAATCCCGCAAGAACGGGAACTATGTGGGAAGAACCAAATATCTGCCGGAAGTCACTATTCCACGCGGAAGAAGTCGCTGGCAAAAGCTAGTATACAATAAAAACAAATTTAATTTTGCGGTGCAATCCCTAGACCACATTACTGTGTTAACCGCAAATAATAAGTTTGTCGTAGGGTACGTCAATCGCATTGGTATTCACTCAGGGTCGCTGCACACAGCTAGAGTACTATAATATAAGAGAGACAATATGACTTTTGAAATATTTGTTTACAAAATCATGTAATCGACAGACCATGAAAAATGTGATAACTAAGTGAAAAAAACAAAATATGCTGAAAGTTATCATTCCACGATAACGAAGTCGCGGGCAAAAGTTAGTAGCTTTTAAATAGACACCTTCTATTTTTGCAAATGTAACAAGTTTTTCATAAACAGGTAAATTTTATTGAGACAAAATTCCTGGAATTTGATTTTTACTCATTAAATGATTTTCAAACAAAAAATTTAACATCATTCAATAGATGAATCAATAGGTGAATGAGTGGTTTAGGATATTGACCGTATCAAAGTGCCCTCAAGCCTGAGTGGAGCCCGGGTCGAGAGCGAAATGTTAGTCACGTGTGGACTTCATAACAATAACCCCAATATAAGTGAACAACGAATGATTTAATAATAGAATGTTTGATACGAAATTATATAACCCTTAAAAAATACCTATGGCATGATAACAGTAAAGTAAGAAAAGTAATGCAATTTGACAAATATGCACTAAGTCAGGTAATGATATCTAGTGAAAATATATATGTATCTACATATATAACGTGTAACATAATTAACGCACACCCTGAAAGTAGTTTGTTCAGAATCGGAATCTGGATCGATTTTTATAGCTTCTTATGTAGGTAATTTTTTTTCTCAAATTTAGATAGAACTAAGTAAATTACAGGCATCCTACACACAGTTATCTAAACACTTCATTGAAACGAAAATGGATCGTAAGTAAGAGTATTAAAATTTTTAAAATGAAATGTTAAATTAGTAATCATCATTCAATTAAAAAAAACTGATACTTGTTTCAAGGCTTATTTTACAAATATCTACGCACGTACAGCGACAGCCGGCACACATCAAATACCTACGCACGTGTCCATTGATCTCCTAGATCAGCTGATTTGACGCCACTCGACTTTTTTTTGTGGGGGCGAATTAAATCGCTAGTTTATAACACAGAGACAACAAGTGTCGAGGAACTAAAAAATACGATAATAACCGCCTTTGTAAAAGTTAAAAGTGACACTGCAGTATTATCTAAAATCAGTGGCGGGGCAAGACCTAAATTTGATGTGGGCAAGAAAGATTTCGCGAGGCCCTATTCTATGGCAACTTGAAGCTCTTACTACCTGCTAGTTTTAAAAACTTAAACGTAGATACGTTTTTTACCCTTAAAGCTTTGGTTTCCTTCAAAAGTATATTATAAAGCGTATTTTGTATACAAGTAATTACTGCGTTACATACTTATTACCAATTGGGTTTTTGAATAAATTTTTTTTTTGTGATAAATGGAAAGATCATATATAAGTTTTATAACAAAACTATTTTTATTCATTTTTTCTTTGCAATAATTAAAAAGTTATTTCAAAATAAAAATTAAATTTTAAATTCAGTACCGAAGATCCGCCGACAGCTCCCGAATAAATCCGAGCGCGTGTGACGTCACAATGTTAGTTTTTGCTCATTGCAGCATACAGAGATATAATAATTAGTACAGTGTTTTGAGTTTTTATCTAGTAAATTCTGTTGGCATTGTTAAATAATCAAAAATGTTAAAACTCAAAAGTTATCGCTCTTGTTTTGTACCATTATGTACAAATACTACAAAAACAACTCCTGAAAAAATGTTTTTTAAATGTTCCACAAGACGAAAAACGTCGAAAAAAATGGTTTCAAGAAGTGCTCCGAGATTATTTAAAAACAAAATCAATTTTTTTTTGTTGTGAAAATCATTTCGATGTAAGTATAATAATAATATAATCATAATAATATTGTTATTAATTATTTTATATTTAAGAGTATAAATCGAATAAGTATAGTTCAGTAATTAATTTTTTTACCTGGGCTCCAAATCATAACCTTTAGAATCGTAGCATTAAAAATTTTTTAATTGATAATTCAAAGCTATTAAATAGTAAATCTATATGTATGTTTGTCTAATAATTGGAATTCAATTAATAGATATTTTCATAATTTTATAACATTCTAGGTTCTGTATCAGACTACATTAAAATTTTTAAAGTATATGTTATTTTGGTTTTTTATAATGTTATAATAATATTTTATTAATTCTTCTTTTATTATTCTTCTTCTTAATTTTTCATTGATAGTTAGAGTAACTGAGTAAGCTTCACTCCGAACTCGGTGTTCTGGACACACACGTCCTTTTAAAACACAAATACCATTCTTACGATTAAGTTGACCATAACCTATAGCTTTATCACCGTAACTCTCACGTGATGCTCTACAATTAATGAAATAATTATTAATTATATTTAATAGAAAATAAATACTTATTTTTATTTAGAATGGTATTTTTAACAGATTTACCTTGATGCCTTAGCACCTCGAACTTCAGCAGAATTAAACCGGACGTCATTTAAAAAAAAATTAGTTATAAATATATCAACATCAGGAATATTATCCGATTTTGCTTTTATAAATCCTTTAACACATAGTTAGTCGAAATAAACTTTTCAAATCGTTTTTCACTAATAAATTTGAGATATTTTTATCAAGTCAAAAATAATAGCCATAAACACTGTACTATTATGAAATTGCTTTAACATTATGACGTCACAAGTATGCCGACCAATCATGGCGCGTTTACAGTCACGCGATTTGTTTTTGAATTTTATAAATTTTTAATTGTTTATAATTAATTTAAAAAAAATGTTTTCAAGTTTTTTGCATTAAAAATCAATATAATTAATAATAAAGTTTTAAAATACATAAAAAAAATCAATACTTTTTTTTTTCAAAATCCCAATTAAATATTTCTTACTTTATGAAAAAAAGACGAGTACAGGTACCGGTGTAATTACAAATCACAAAGGAAACAAAAGCAATAAAAGGTCACTGTTTTCGGGAGCAATTCATATACTTAAACACTATCTATTTATTCGCTAAATATTATTAAAACATTGAACACACTATTCTTATTAAAATAGGTTTAATTAATTCTGATTCCCAAAGAGGGTTGATGTCAGGCAGGCGACCGGTCGTAAAAACAAATAGCCAAAAGTAATCACAACATGTAAGGCAGACCCTGGCTATAGCTGGGAAATTGCCAGAAAGAAGAAGAAGAACAAGATTTTTCTTTATTCTCGCTTTAAAATTTTTTGAGGCGCGAGGACCCTTGTACCGCGAGGCCGTAGGCGGTTGCCCACGTCGCCCACGCCTTATGCCGCCACTGTCTAAAATAAAACCACAATTGCGAAAACGGTCATTAAAGTGCATTGAACAAGGCGGTGGAAATTTTGAAAATGTTTTAAAACGACAACGCCGTGTGAGTGCAAATTAAACTGTAAGTTTGTTTATGATTTTTAAATTATTGTTAATATTTTGATTCACACCATTTAAACACGCCGACTTTGTCGTAGGTATTGTGGTGTCTAATCAAATCACGGGTTATCAGCTGTTTAATAATTCTTATTTACAAATTTAACAAATCAGTAATTATCAAATATTGGCTTCAAATTAAAAAAAATCAATGTCGACAATCTAAAGCCTGAAAAGTGTGATGGAAAGAAGAATCATAAATCATAATGTAGTTATTTCATGTACCTATTATTACCTACTTCTTATTATTGTCGGACGGCACTCGGAGAGAGGGAAGCGGGTTTTTATAGGTGGTAGAGCCTAGCTGTAGTCAGTTACTACAGCTCGAACATGGGCTGGCTCGACCGGGGAAGTACCACCCTCTCACAGAAGATCGGCGTGAAGTAGCCTTTAATGGCTGCGTTTCGTTCGATGAGTGAGAGAGCCGGTTGCCCTTTCCCTATTCCCACCCTTTCCTACCATTTCCTTATTCCCGCCCCTCCCTATACCTAAAAAACAAGGTTGGCAACGCATCCGTAACAAAGATGTTGCGGATGTCTATGGGCGACGGTAACCACCTTCCATCAAGTGGGCCGTCGGCTCTTTTGCCACCTTTCACATAAATAAAAAAAAAAAGCGGGCGCGGCGAGTACATTGTGTCTGTCTGTGTGTGCATGTGAAACGGAGTGTTGGTGAATAGCTGACCATATTATTTGCACGAAATTGGGATAACTAATTTCGCAAATAAAAAATGCAAACGCACATATAAATAATATTTGGTGTATACATTGCGTTTATATTATTATTTTCTAATTGCGGTGTTTGAGGGTGTGCGTTAATTACGTTACATGTTGTATATGCTAGTGTAGTGATCATATTATACATATATTAATATAAATCGCATATTGATACAACGTGGCAAAAACTACGAAGAAATTAAAAATATATTAAATCAGAATATACTTTCTTTATAAAATTTATCTATAAGACAAATTGCCTTGAATAATGTATACGTAAAAAATATTTATAATGTATTATTTTCACAGCAATTTACATTGCATATATAATTAAATTACTAACAATACCGGTTCATGATGAAGTCGGTTATAATAACATTTCCCACTAATAATTAACAAACTTAACTTGCTAACTAACTTTAGTAGGAGTCTCCTCATTATACGCCTAGACTTGGAGCTGCCGTTATTGCGCTACAAGTAAGTAATAAATGTTACACAAAATAATATCAGACATCCTTCTGATTTTTAATGACGCTAGAAATATGTTGAAGGGCATCTGTGGTTATGTGGGACTCCTGGATATATATAAAAACTAGCGTAATTCGTTCTCACCACAAAGGTGGAGGGAGGCTGCGGTCATGCTTTTACTCAGGCCGCGAATGCATTATAATAATTTCATATTTTTGAGCTATTTTCGAAATTATTGGTACTTGCGGGCTGAAACATAAAGCTTGCGAATAATAATTAAAACAATTTTGAATTTATGTAATGGAATGAATAATTTAGTGAATTTTTAAACTGACATATATGTAATTCAAATTGATTTACTGTACATATGATATTATTGTTTATTTATATTTTAATGGATATTCTATGTCTATTAAATTACAAAGAATATTCTGATTTTTACACGAAAGCTTTAAAATACTTATCAATTGTTTCATTGACAAAATTACTTTAAGGAATGAATTTATATTTAAATAGCAAAGAAAATCGAATAATTCTTATTTCAGTTGAAAATTATATTTTTAGTCCTTTCTTAACGTTAATATTAATATTTTCAAAACTATTTGATATCGAGTATAAAGGGGAGGCTAGGTCATCGCAGCATACAAAGTTTTATATGCTCGTTTTATTATAGCGTTTAAGTGGTAATGAAATGCTTACAAATTAATACAAATAATCATCAGGAGGGTAGTCGTGTATGACCTAGGGTATAGTTATGAGAGTGTGGTCATCAGGGCAAGATGTCGCGCACGCAATCAATACACCGCTCTACTTTTACGACCTTTCGCGCCGCCCATTCCGCCAAAGCCTTTTGCCGCTTATGCGATGCCATTGAATATCCTTTAATCTCTTAATCTGAGAGTTCAATATTATTAATTTTAATAATTTTGCCGGTGATAATTTTCCGTTACGAAGTAAAATTTTATATATTATTATTGTTTATATCATATATTACATAATGATAAAGTTTATATTCACTTTTCTTAAAATGAGTTAAAGTAGAATGCAGTATATTATGTCATATTTCTATAGGAAATTCATTGCAGATATCAATAGTTCGATATGATATTGCGATGCAAGCAAAGGACATTTCCATATGATTTTCGTATGGGAACGAACGTTTCACAGGGGGTGCGGGGGGAGAGGAGACAGAGGCTTGATATTGACCTAGATGCTCATTCAGAGTTCGGTCGATGCGAAACTTGACATCTGCGCGTTCCTGCGTTCCGTGTTTTTCGAATTCATATACCTTTAAAACTATAACAATTTGTTCTCTATAAATATTGTTTTTATAAACGATGTCATCTAATGTTAACGATCATTTATCGTCCTTCTGTTGGAAATGACATAAAAAGACTCTCGCGTTGTTCATCATTCATTAATGTTGGGAGTGCGAAGAGATGTGCGGCGCGGTCTCTCTGCGATCGTCTCTGGAGTGATTCTGTATAAAATGTTTCAGATTACATTTTGATTTGATCGTTGTATGAATTAAGAAACACAAAAAAATAAAAATGAAAACCGAAAAGCAATCACCGACGCCGATTCCTGCGGTAACCAAAACCATACCTGCAATGGATCTCAATTATTCCGATGTGAGTATCGACCGATATTATTTGAAATTTTCGGGAATTGAAATTTATATATAGACTTTTTTAATTGCTTGCCCATAATGGGCTGTGTCATTGAAATAATAAGTTATATATATATATATATATATATATATATATATATATATATATATATATATATTGAAAGTGTTAAATATAAATTTGGCTAGCATTCAAATCCGTTTGCATATTATTTTTTTAATATTGTTAATTGTTGTTTATGGCAGTACAAGGACGACGTAAGTCGAGAACCGATTGTAGAGGAAGTGGAACCAGAGAGAGGGAATTGGACAGGACGTTTTGATTTCCTCCTATCCCTTCTAGGATATAGCGTGGGGTTGGGCAACGTCTGGAGATTTCCCTACCTCTGCTATAATAACGGAGGAGGTTGGTATACTTTTGTACATTAATTCATTTTGTATACATGGTTAAATTTAGCGGAATGAAGATACACATCATTCATAATTACACCCATCAGAATATATGAATTCCATTACTCAATGAAAAAAAAACCGTTATAGGGCTGCCTTGAAATAGAGGAAAAGGAAGATATATTTAAACCAAAGAAAAATTGATATTCTAAAAATATCAAGTGCTACAAAGACTTCTTGCAATAAAAGTTTTTTAAATGACTTCAATTTAAGCATAACTTCTTCTGACACCTATTATGTGATAACATAATAGCGCTCAGGTGGCCTTATGAAAATAATGAGCGACTTTGCCAAGCTCACACTAATGAGTCAGGCCACCAATGTCATAATTATATTTGCGTTTTTTATTGTGTTATAACACATTTTGCTCTAATTATATGATAATCATTATTGTGTTCTAGAATAATAAAAACAAACAAATAAGTGAATAAAAATTAATCTCTCTGCTGCTTTATGAAGGTCGTGGTGACCTAAAGTAGTGGTTAAAGGCCCGCTTCTTGTGTATGAGGGCGCGGGTTCGAAACCTGACAAGTATCAATGTGATTTTTCCAAGTCATATGTAATTTCTAAAAGTACTTAGACACCACTGACAGATGGTGAAGGAAAATATCGCGAGGAAACCTGTACTTTATAATTAAAAAATATAATTTTGAAATCGTTAACCCGCTTCGAGCAAGCGTGGTGTTTAATGCTCAAACCTTCTCCATGTGAGAAAGAGGCCTTTGCTCTGATAGGCTGATGATAATGATGATGATGATGATGATGCTTTATACTTCTTTAACCTACTACTTACTATGAATTTTAATTTTCCTGGTTAAATACACTAAAGTGCGTATAAATTATTATTCTGATATATACAGGGTGACTGGTGAATTACTATCAATATTTAAGGAGAATACTCGGTACATGATTCTCATTCGAATTATGTAAAAAAAATAGGTACTTAATTTTAAAAATAGGAACTAAATTTCCGTATAAATAAATAAAGTGTGGACACGTTCCAAGTGTTCCAAGTTTGGACGCGTGCGGCGGCGTGCTGATACAACACCACGCCGCCGCGCGCGTGTGTGTGTGTGTGTGTATACCTAATCTGTATGGTGTTCACACGATGCGTAATTAATTACCTAACTTTTGGTTACTTTACTTAGAAGTTTATTAATATTTATGTTATATTAATTTTTATTTTGTCATATATGATCGTCAAATATCACGTCCTCAAGTATCGATAGTAATCCACCAGTCACCCTGTATAATGGATATTACTGGAAAATATTATGAAAATACTTAAATAAGTCGTTGTTCAGTGGAGGCTAAAAATCCTTGACTGTTTCCAACCACACTCATAAGCTTTCTCATTAAAAACTTATCGCATTAGATAATATATGTACAACTTCAATACTGGTATGTTTCAATGGATAGCAGAGCAGTTATTCATATATTCCAGATCTCTTTGAGCTCTTTTAATTTAAATGTCTCTGCAAGTTGAAGGGTTTTCATGTTGTTAAGCGCCGTCTGCTCCATTAAAACATTTCTTCATTTCGTGTGAATCTAAAGAGTGTGTTGACAACATTAACAAGTGTCATATAAACGTAAAAAAAATATAAATAAGTTTCATACACATAAAATAAAATAATCAAACTAAATATTTTCTTCCTAAATAGCAAATATTCCTCAGCTTAGAAGTAATATTTAAAGTCTAACTTTCAAAAAGCATTGTAAAAATAAACTTTTTTCAATTTGTCTCTTTCCAATATTAATTTCTGTGTACAAGTAGCTAAATTATTCTTTATTAAGTATAATATATTATTTTAATTTTTTTAATAAAGTTTCAATTCGTTTCATTTCAATGTAAATGATATAATTAAAAAAAAATCACAATTATTTATTGTTTCTTCATTATTTAGATCAACACAACGTAAACGTTAAATCGTATTTATAGAGTAATTGAAAAAAATATCCTATGTGTCGTAATAGGTAAAATCTTTTGTGTATGTAACAATAGTTATAAATTCTTATAGATATCTATCTATAGTATAGTATGCAAGTGAAATGTCATATCCGTTTTCCTAGTGTGACAGGAAATAAGTGGATGTTATTAGGTGGCCTATTTACTGAGGGTTTAATGAGACTGTTTAAATCAGGTCACAATAGCAATAGCTATGTAAATATAACGTTCCTGTGTTTATATGTAACAGAATGTTTGTATTAAATAAATGGAATAATATCGTATTAGGTACTCTATAATAATAATTGTGTTTAAATTTTCAGGTGCCTTTCTGATTCCTTTCACCGTGATGCTGATAATAGCTGGACTTCCTCTTATGTTCATGGAGCTGTCTTTCGGACAATACGCTGCCTTGGGTCCGGTAGCGGTTTACAATAGATTTTGCCCACTCTTTAGAGGATTGGGCTATGGGATGGTCATAGTATCAAGCATAGTTATGCTTTACTATAACTTGATTATTGCTTGGACTATATATTACATGGTGGTATCGTTTACAAGCATTTTTTACCAATTGCCGTGGCAGAATTGCGACGCCGATTGGAGCACCAAATGTAAGCGATACGAATATACATAGGAGGTGACAAAATACTGTAACTCACTGATTTTATAATATAACGTTCTTTTATAGATTGTTACTCATATGAAGAAGCAGACATATGCGAGGCGAGCAATGGCACGTACTATCTAAGACAATGTGTGAATCAAAGCTATGCCATAGTTAATAATATCATTGCTCTAGCTGATACAGCAGTAAGAAAGCCTCCTGCTGAGGAATATTTTACGTAAGTTTCATTTTATTGTATTTTTATTTTGTGGAAGTATTTTTTATTTTTCTTTTCTATATAAATATAAATTGTTTTCTATATCTTATATCGCGGATAAATATAAACTGAAGTTATTGCCGTATTAGTGACGTTAAATCTTTACATAAATAACTTAAAGCCAACTTTTGACATAAATTATTACCTGTTATAGACTGATTCAGGTATTTCTTATATTGAATAGAAATGTTTTTATGCTTATTTTACTAATTTTCTTGCAGTAATCAGGTGCTTGGACTTTCATCTGGCATTGAAGAAACAGGTCAAATCCGTTGGGGTATGGCTGCTTGTCTATTCGCTGCGTGGCTTATTGTATTTCTTTGCTTATGCAAAGGTGTACAGTCTTCGGGAAAGGTTTGCAATTTTCTAGTTTGTCAATTTTCATACTTATGTATGAGGCATGCACTTTGTTTCCTATATTTAGCAAATCGAGTATAAAATTTTAAAACAAAACTTTATATGATAAAGAACATCTGACAGTATATTTTACATGATATGCATTGTCTACGTTATCACGACTAAAAGTGTATGACGTTAAAAATATATTGTAACGTAAATTTTTAAGTATTTTGTTCATCTTATTTATTCTTGTTATTTTCATAGATACAGATTAAAATAAAAATTTCTCTCCTTGTTTTAGGTTGTCTATTTTACAGCGTTGTTTCCTTACGTGGTTTTGGTGATTTTATTTTTTCGTGGTGTTACTCTGCCTGGAGCTTCAACGGGTATACTGTTTTATCTCACACCAGATTTTAGCCAACTTGCAAATGCTCAGGTAGGTTTTGCTTTAAAAACAAACTAGGTATCATGATCAGAACAATTTGTTTTTCATGAAAAAGTAAAAGTATATTAAAGCATTTTTTGTAATTGGCAGGTGTGGGGTGATGCAGCAGTACAAATATTTTTTGCATTGAGTCCAGCTTGGGGAGGATTAATTACATTATCCTCCTACAATAAATTCTCGAATAATTGCTACATGTGAGTATATACAATTAAAAAATTTATATGATCTTAAATTATGTCTTCAGTTTTTTTAATTTATCACTATATTTTCAGTGATTCTCTCATAGTTGCTGTCTCTAACATTGCAACATCGTTCTTCGCTGGGCTGGTTATTTTCTCCGTTATTGGATTTTTGGCTCATGAGCTTGAGGTAGAAGTTGATCGTGTGGTAGACCAGGGCGCTGGACTGGCATTTATTGTATACCCGGAGGTGGTAACAAGATTACCAGTATCACCTTTATGGTCCATACTCTTCTTCGTTATGCTTCTGACTTTGGGACTCGATTCTCAGGTGCATTTCATGACACTAGAAATACTCGGAATGACTTTAACTCTCGAGGCGTCACTTGTTTATTTAATTATATATTTTTTGCAGTTTGCTCTTATGGAGACTGTAACAACAGCTATTTTGGATCGATTTCCAAAATTTCGACAGAAGAAGACATGGGTAGTGCTAGCAGTAGCAGTGTTTGGTTATTTAGGTGGCCTGATTTTCACGACAAATGTAAGTACCGATTAATATAGTAATAACTGCAGACATTTTTGATTTTGGCTGTTTATCTGTAACTTTTAACTACATTTCAGAGTGGTATGTATTGGTTACAATTGATGGACAAATACGCAGCCAATTGGTCAGTTTTGATCATAGCTATTGGAGAGTGTATTTTGATTGCTTGGATATATGGGGCTGAAAAGTTCTGCATCGACATACAAACAATGATTGGAAGGCAGTCGAGGCTTTGGGTGGTGTTCTGGAGTGCTATGTGGAGGATTATTACGCCAGCAGCTTTGGTTGTGAGTAAAAGAAAAAAAGCATAAGTATATTATAATCATGATACTTTATAATATTTGATTTTCAGTTTATATTGGTGTTTAATTGGATTGAGTACAAACCAGCTTCTTATGGTCATTACGTATACCCAATGTGGGCGGACGCGGTGGGTTGGACACTGGGAGTGTTGCCTATTGTCGTCGTCGTACTCATGGCCGTCAATCAAATATGCAGTGGACCTGACGATCTTACCATTATGGAGGTTTAACTTTATTACATAAAACACTTCTTTTTATTTCATGTGTTTTGAGTAAATAAGAAATTAAACTTTTGCCTAAATTTTAATAGATTTTTATCAACAAAAAAAAGGTATGAAACTATTTTAAAAAAATATTCCAATATTTTGTTCGGATGTTTTATTTTTACGTAAATATTAAAATATATGATCGCTTAGCATTAACCAATAGTTACCGTGATTAAGTTTTTTGAAATAATGTACGATTCAGAAAGCAAGAGTACTCGCTCGTCCTACTGAGGAATGGGGTCCGGCGTCTGCATCCTGTGCTAGCACCTTCCGCGAGACGGAGCTGTCTCCACCCGTACTGCTGCTTCACGGCAGACCGGTACTGCGTGAACGTGGAGCATGACCTCATGCCCATCCGCTGCTTGCTATGCGGAAGGTAAGCCGAAGAATTTATAAACCAAAAATAAAATCTTCTTTAATAATTTGTATCGTTTGGAATAAAATTGTAAAAGTACACTTTTTTTAAAGTTATAATATAAAATACAATGCAACAGTTTATTTTATAAATAATTTCAGACATCACAGGATGGTGCAGACTCGACATCCATTGGTAGTGGATTAGATAACGATTTAAAGAAACCCAGTACAAGCACTAACAAAGTAAAGAAAAATTCTATTAAAAGGAAAGTTCCAAACTTTAGCCATGATTCAGATGACGCTATCATAGAACCGTTATTGCAAACTGAGAAAGATAACTCTATGATTGCTAACAAAAGTGCCAAATATTTATTAAATAAATCCAAGACTGAGACCATGTGCGAAAAGGATGTAAAACCATATGAAAAAGCCAAAGCATCATCGCCTTCGACTATTTCAAATAATGTTGATTCTACGGTAGAAAAACCAACATCTCCCTTAACCTCTGAGTCACCACCCATATATAATCACATGAATACAAATGTCTTTAGTGGATATGACTTAACAAAAGAAAAGACAACAGCAGCAAGTACTTCCGTTCTTGTAGAAATTGATGGATGTAAATTTGTACCCCAGGGATCAAACTCAGTTATCTTCACAACTGCCAAAATTCATGCAGATAATAAAACGAAGGCTATCGAACCCGTTCCAGTTACAACTGTGCCAATATTATCAACAATTGAAGGTAATATTGTTAAGTCTGAAGTTATCTATGAAGATAAGAAAAGATATACTGTGACACAAACCAATAAAGGCGATATAACCAAAGATGTGAACATAAAATCTGATTTAAAGTTGGAATCATCAAATTTCAATAATCTGCCTCATGCTAAGGTAACATCTAGTATGACACCTTCGACATCTATGCACATTAAAAATGAACAAAACAAGAATAAAGAGTTGCAATCTACCAGTTCCTCGGAACAATCAGAAAAGTTATTTAGCAAAGATCAAAAGGTGAGTCTTGGAGAGGGTAATACAAATATTACTGATGAAAGATCTTTAATGCCTAAAGTCATTTGTGATGACAAAATAACAACAAAGGTGGCACTAAACGTTGAAAATACCACGTATAAAAACAGTGGTGTTGTGCCTGAAACTAAGGAATTATTTAAAATCTCAAATAAACCAAATACATTTAATAAAAGTGACATTGTCGAGAAAATAAAACCATCAAGTGACGTCGAAAAGATAAATGCAAGCCAGTCAACTACAAGCTCAAGTAAACAAATTGGTAAATCACCTCAAAGCGATCAAACTGAATCTAATAAAAACTTTTCATCAAGTATTAAAAAACTTCAACGACAAAAGAATGCTATGATAGAGGAAGCAGTTGAAACTGGTAAAAAAGATATGGTTAATTCAGATAAAGATAAAACTTCTACAGTACAGAATAGTACGGTAAAGGATGTATCTACTGCAGTTTCAGTGAATACAAAAACGGTTCAAAAACCAGTCGCGTCCTTGACAAAGGTATCAATAACTAGTACAGGTCTAACAGCTGCACCTGAATTACCTTCTAAATCTATAAACACTACGGTACTTAGTCCATCCATAAAATCGCCTTTAATTAGTCCGGGAACATCACCGACATTAACAAGTAAACCGAGTACTGGTGTTGATACAGTGAAAGCAAAGTCGACGTCAGCTAAGTTAGCCACGAAGCCGTCATTAAATATTGCAACTGTGACGACAGCGCCTCCTACAAAAACATCAACGGCTTCTTCTATGAAAAATATGAAGGTAATAGATGACCCATCCTCGTCAAAGCAGGACAGTTCTCTACTTTCCACTTCATCGTCGAAAACACCCAAAGCAGAAACTACTCCATCATCATCTGTTGTTACCACTCTTCCACTATACATAGTTTCTACGTCTAAAACTAAAATAGGGTCATCCTCAACTCCTAGTATATCTAACGTGACTAAGAAAACTTTCGATCAAAAACCCATTACGGAAGTTGTAAGTACTGCAAATGGGAAATCGGGAAAAGCGTTGATGTCAACATCGTCGTCACAGAATAGCCAGTCTAGTTCAAAACCAAAAACTTCTACAGTAAATTTAGTCAAAAAAGATGATAGAGCTTAACACTACAATGCAATTATTTATGTATAAAAATGTATGTTTTCTGAATTAGGTGTGTTGAGGTAAGTAAGAAGCGCCACAAAATTCTATATAAACTATGTAAAAGCGAAATCAATTAATCGATCATTGTAGAAATTATATAATAAAGTGGTCACTAAATTTACTTCAAGATTGTTATAATTATAAGTAGTTGTACATAATAAAAACTAATAATTGTGGAAGAAAATGTTGTTGGTACGAAAAATAATATCAAAATCATATAGATTAGATTAATAGGCGTCCCTTTAGAAGCATTGCCACAGTTAGAATTATTAAATAGTAGAAAGTTTTCGATCTCTGTACTAAATAAAGATAATAATTGATTTGCTCATATAATAAATTTAAGGAATTGAATAGAAGTTTAAAAGCCACAGATTATTTTTATCCCCTTTTGCTAAGATAAATCAATTCGTACTTCATTTAATTAGCTTATTATCTGAAATACGTTTCCTTAGATATTTTTTTAACTATTTGTTGATCGTTAGTGGTGCTAAAATATTCATATTTTGAAATAACAATTTTTTAAATAATATCAATTTCTTGCCAAAGGTCAATTGCATTAATTATTTTAATTGATGAAATTTATTAAATTTTAAAGCTTAATCTCTACCTATTCTATTTCAATAATTTAAAAATCGAGAGAAAAAAATTAATGACAGGGTAGTAACAGATAATACCAAATAATTTCACTTTCGTGAGTTATATTTTTAATAGGTGTAAGAGACATTATCTGTTATTTTACGCTTGTACTGAAATTTCGTAAAAACATTTTAGAGTCCTATAAAATAAATAAATGATGTTTATGAAGCCTTTGATGGTCAAAAAGGATATTAACAACTAATGAAATAGACGTTTTATTTCAGTATTATGTCAGACATGAATATTATGCCACTTAATTGATATTATTTTTTCAAAATGTCCTATTAATTCCAGTAACTACAGCATAGTCTTATATTAAATTTAGCATCGTGCTCAAAATGATTCAATATAATAACTAGCTAGTTATGTGTACGTCCAGCTTGAATATTCACTCATCCGTCTATATTTTCAAAGGATTTCCTACTAGTTTCGTTATAATTGTTGTTTGTGATTTAAAAAAAATTACCAAATCGCTCAAATAACCTTATATAAACCTTTTGAAGATATTTATAGAAGCAGGTAATTTTGTATAGAATTATATAGAAAAACGCACGTTATTGCTTCATGAATTTCGTAAAAGAACAATTCCTAATGAAAGTTTAAGCGTTGATTACCGAAACAACATTTTTATATGAAAAAAGTAAACCATTCAAATATAAAATTGGTTGTTTGTTTGAATATTTATATATATCCAGTTATTATTAAGTGTCTTGTGTCTCAGGCACAATGTTTTGACAATAAATAAATTTAAATGATATATTTCTTTAGACTAATATGAAATTCTTAACATATATTTCTAGACGATAGTTTATTTCAAGTTCAAGTTTTGACCATACTACCATATATCCTTATATGTATGTATGTATATTTGATATACATGTTATGTTTCTCGTACTAAAATGTATGAGGATATTAAGAATTTCTTATTAAAAGGCGTTATAAAATTTGTATTAATTGCATAATATTTGTAAAACATATCTCTTATCTGTTACTAATGAATATATTGTAGGCGGTGATCTAAAAATAATAAGCTTCAATCACAGCATCGAAATACTTGGAGCAATACAGTGCAATGATACATTCTTTTTTACACTATGTATAAATAATAAAATAGAGTATAAACAGTGTTTGATATGTCTTTTATGTACAACAAAGTCGGGTTTTGATTTTAGATATAAAAAAGATTTAATACTATTTTTAGCTTTATTAATTCAGACTGATCCTTTTCTGATGTTATTTTTTATATTTTTATAGTTTTAAGTGACATTCAATTAACTCCAATGCGATATATTTTTCTTTGTTTTCATTCTTTTTTTTCTTGTAACAGCAATGAACATATATTTTTAGCTTACTATTTTGTATTTCTAGATATTGTTTGAAATGAAAGTTTCCAACATTGAGTACCTTTATAAGCATATATTATTTTTATACTATATTTATTTTGTAATATATTATTGATTACGGTGTGAAATGTTGAATGTTATATATTCCATTCTTTATATTAATTTATAAGTTTTCATCAATATATATAACTTACTAATAAGACATTGTCTTCACATCCATACATTCTATTAATAATAGTTAAAGTATTTTATGTGATTTTGAATTATTTTTTTGAATAGGTAGAGTTTTTGTATTTCGATCAGTCCTTTTAATCCAATAAAATGTATTCTTTTGTGTCTTTTTATTGTTAAAGCTTGCAGTAGAGTCCGTAATTCTGTAATTTATTTAATAAATGTTAAAATAATGATAAATAGGCACTGAATTTCTAGACGAGTTTATAATATTACAATATATATATATATATATATGAGGTAGAGGCTTAGATAAGTCGTTGTATCAGATCTGACTAGTATTTAGACATGTCGTTTAGATATTTTACTAAATTTTTAGAATTTTAGCTCTTAATATAAGCTTACATTTTTGTTATCCTGTTTAAGATGAATTTATTTTGATATTTGTCACGTTTTAACCTTATATTTTTTTACCTTTTACATATAAAGAGATATTAAACCTTTTTATTTAGGATTCTTCCGCACCTAATGTTACTTCAGTAATTATACTATTAAATGTGTAGTAACGAACGTGTAGTTAGATGGTTTACAAGCTATGTAGAGGCCTAGACGTACGTATGTGGAAGTTATCAGTATACTAGAACTACTAGCGCCGAGCGCGGAGCCGGGGGCCGTTGATAGTCAACTGCTGCTGTCTTCACAGAGTTACAGGGCTAGCCAACAGCCAGCCAGTGCCAAACAGATGTTACGTTCATTATAATTGTATAATGTCTATGTAGGCATTGTTGTTAAACTTGATGTATTTTAGATAATTATTGATTAAATCGATGTTATATAGATGTTTATTGTAAATATAAATTTATATCTGGTCGGGAATGCGGTTTGAATGTTATAGAAGGCTGTATTTTTGGGTGATATTTTAGAATGGGAAGGCATCATATCTTTGATAACATTATTGAATACATGGTTATCTAAAGCGTATTGTATTCATAGAAAATGTAATGATGTGATAAATGATGAAATTTAGTTTTAGTGTTGTTGTGCTATTATAATAAAATATGTTCTGATGTGTTTAATGGAATTTTTATTTTATAATCATCAATTTGATTTCAACCTACAAACATTATGTATTATATATTTAAAAAAAGATTTATTTGCTTTCAATAATATCAATGAGTGAGGCTTTTAGCGTGGTATGTGACGTCGAACTTTCTTTGGCTGCCTCTATTTTGCCATTCGTGTCGTGATCGTTTCACGGTGCGCACGTCGTTCGTAGCCGACTGTTGTCAAACCAAGCGTGAATCTGTTCAAACCGTAACATTGCCTATTATATTTAGAACAGTGAACAAGTGTCTGAAATGACTAATAACTAGTGATATTAAACAATGTTCATTTATAAGTTTTGAATCCTGAAATGTTTCCGTGTTGAAATTGCACAGGCTGCTCGGTTGATTTAAAAGGTTCGTTGTATTCTATAGGATATATGAACGGGTATGTACAAATTTCATAATATATTACTATTTAATCGCGGGTATCCAAACATTATATGGCTGTTCGAGTTAAGGAATATGAAAAAATATGTACGGTTCCACTCATATATATTAGATATTGTGATAATGTTAAAAGAATATCAACTTCCAACGGCTACATTTTAACAGTTATGTTTATAAATACATTTAGCGTATCCGTCTATTACAATAATTTCTCACAGAGATCGTTGGACCTTGGAGAGAATTTTACTAAATTATGGATGAAAGCTGTTGACCCGCATTATTTTAATTTAAAACATTTTAAAATTAAATCTCATTAGAAATATGATTTTTAAATATATATGGAAGTTAAATTTATTAAGGGTACATATTGTACTTATACACATAACTATTTACTAAACGATTCCTTTTCCTAACTGGATAACAGAACTACATACATTTTCGAATTTGGAGGGTTTTAACAACTTTTAAATATACCTAATGTACTTAACAAAATATTGTTTATGTGTGATTGATGTAATTGATATAGTTTTAGTTATTGTTATTACGAGTACATAAATTGTTACTTTATTTCAAAAATATTTAATTATGAGTCTGTAAACTTAATCCCTGGGATAAAGTAAACCCGTTGAAATCTTTTGTATTTAAGGATAAAGGAAGTAATGGAATAGATGTTTAGAAGGAATAATATAAAAAATATATACAAGATTAAGCTAAGGGAATTAAATTAGAATCATTCGCCGCTAATAGGTCATTCATTTGAAATCTATAAAAGAATTCCTGATTCTTTATACCTAGGACAGTTTGGAGCCAAAAATATTCGCGTATATCGCATTAAATGTGAACCTTTTTTAAGAAAATAAAGTATAGGCTTAAAGGAATAGGTATAAACACAGTCGAGTTGCGTTTAGGCTGCATGACGATTAAAAAAACATCCAAGAACAAGTTTAACCACGAGAAACAGTCTTTAGAGAACAGCTGTGCCCGTGATTAGGCGATGCGTGTGAACAATGGTGTTACGAGTAGTATATATGTACGTAACATATAGGAGCAACCAATAATAAATAAATAAATAAACCGGCAAAAGATACTTCAAAATGCCATATATGATTTATGAAAAAAAGTTTTAAAATGTTTCCGTATAATCTATATATCTATATATCTATATATATATATGTATTATGTATGTATAAACCACTATGTATGTGTATGGGACGTATAAACACGATTGTATAGGTAAATGTAAACTTGAAACATAGTACCAATGTCAGTTTTCTATAGGATCGTGTGAACAGAAACTGCTATATCTCACCCAGCTCACTTTCCATCCATTCTTGGCATCATCAACTTTTTTAAACGATTTCTTTCGGCCTTCTTAAGACAGTAGGCGCTTGCTCTGAGCTATTACTAGCTTTCTTTTTACTTAGTATTTCGATTCTGTGGTACATAATTCAGGAGTATCTAGACTTCTTATAAATATTTTCGCAACATAAATTACCAGTTAATAATAATCTTCATCATTGGTGTACTTATTTCGTAAAGGAAGTAACAGCTATTAGCTTATTAGGTAAAAATTGTATAACCGATAGCAACGGATAGACCTACATAGTGATTTCACATTTTAAAGGATGTTGATAATATAATGAAACATATTTTCCTGTTCTTTTTTCCGTTTAAGATTCAAATTGTGTGATCTGTCTGGATGCTACAAAGTAAGTCTTATCTACCTGATATTTGCATTATACCTGACGATTCATCCCCAGGCGGTTGGTAAATTTGATTGTCATAAAAATTCATCAAATCCAGCACGAGCAGAGCCCTTCTAAGAAATCATAATATAATACTTTTTATTAACAAATTAGGAGTCTCATTTTGAGATTAATATATGTAATATTCGCGCCATTTTCCGATAATTTGATCGTGGGCTGATTCTATGATAAGATATATAAACATAGAAAATTCATTATAATTAAATTATGGTTATATTAATAATATTAAAGAGGTTAATATGTTTTAAATTAGTGTCATAAGAAAGGACAAGAGTTTGACATATTAACCGAGTCTCAGATAGCGGTAGGTTTACTTTGAAAGCATTATGTGGGTAGTCGGTCAAAAATGACATATAATTTCGTAACAAATGATGTAAAATCTAAACCCTACCATCTTAACTGCTAAGATCTATACTATGTCGATATTGCATAAAGATTCATGATGCGGTTTCATTTATATATTTCTCACTGAATGCCATTGTTATTAGGCCACATCAACAGTCTCGAGCCACAAACACAAATAAACGCACATATTTTGTTCATACATTTACATAACATGCAACATTAGCTTACTTTTTTAAAGTATTATACTTCCTGAATATGTATAGGGACATTATAATCAATTTTAATATGAAATTGATACAGAATCAGCTAATATTTTGACTTCATAATATTTCAATCGGTGTTATGTCATCATTATGTGTTAGTGGCAGACAGTTTCTATAAATGTTTAATACTGATCTATCAGAGTAAGTAAAGCATTAAAACAATTCAAAGTAAGTGTCGATAAAACAATGCATCTAAATCATTGGAATGTTTCAGTGATATTTCATAAAAGCTTAACATAGTACTTAAATCATTGTCGCAGATCGGCTGTTTGATTATTCAGTTATGTAAAGCCGTTGAGTCACATTGGCCAGTTGCAATCCAATGTATCTAGAATCCAGGTGGTAGTTTGGGGACTTGTTTGTATCTATGAATAGCATCGGGCTGGGCTGGAGGTCGGACGCGGTTAATTGGCGACGAGTTGCTGGGCCGGTTTGTTCGACGATTATTTTGCGCCATTTCTAACTCACAAGCCAAGCTATTTAATGCGTTAATTCGATTCTAGCTAAGTTATTAAGTTAAACAATTATATTATATGTATCTTACTGGAACTCAAGACACATTACTTTAATCATTTTGGACTAAAAGATTAACAAATGTCCATACGTCCATATGCTCACGAAGTGATAATAAATAGATTTGTTAATTATTTTTATGAACATTGAGCGTATTATTGAATTTGTTTGCATAAAATTTTAATATTGCTTTGATTCTTACGTGCAAGGTTTATTCCGGTTATAAAATATATTTTTTACTCTATTTAATCTACGCATCATGTGTTGTATAAATTACAATTGTAATGAAACATGTTATTTTCTTTATTTTTTCCTAATCGTACTAATATTTTGTAATATTTGTTATGTTTTAAATTTGTATGGTTTTGAAACTCAAACCACCTGGCCCTGTGTAGACGGCTTAGACGGAAATCGTGAATCCCTTTAAAAGCGTTCACCCCAAAGTTTTTATTTCCTCGTTTCCTAGCAGCGCGATTCTTGTTACGTTTTGTCAATATGAATAAACGTATTCAAAGCGTCAGAACACCGAAAACAAAGGAACTTTTGAAATAAAGTCACTTCATAAATAATTTGATAAATTTTTACGTTTTTAATATATTTATAGGAAATTTACAATTGTTTAAACTATTTTAACTAATAAACTGTATTCTTAATATGTTTGTTTTTCTTGGAAAATTATACAAACAACTTTCATTTAGCTTTTGATTTATGGTTTTTTATTAAAACTAAGTCCTTTTTTAACGGTTTCTGTTAACCCTGGGGTTAGGACGTGACTCAAACATAAAATTTAGAAAATAAACGAGGGCAATGATCTTTCCTAGACTAAGAGAAAAAAACGGGGAACAGTTGTTGCGAGGGGGGAGGGGTTCATGGTTGAGCGGCCTCGCCACCTGCACACGATTCACCACGGATATCGCACTGACTGATACTTCTAAAGTACATACCATCAGCTATAACGCGAACATCATACACCTTATAGTTTATTAAATGCTCTATACACACACTAATTGATAGTTAACAGTTTCTATGGTCGTTTTTGTAACAGACAAGCCTTAGTACATTACTTAAAATTGAAACAGGTTAAGCGAGTTATATACGGTTAGTTGATTTTAACGTAAAAGTAAGAATCTCACAAAATTGTAATAGAGAAATTATGTATATAATAATAATATAATACTTCCTACGTTTTCATTCATACAATAGTTTTCTTAAAATGTCTATTTAATTATACATAACAATCTTGCTATTCCGGTTAATTATTTTATTTATCTTTTCAATTTGAATAATTAATATTTAATATAAATATTCACACTTTCACTTTTGAAACAAATCTGGCAATTACTTATCTAACTAAAGTTTTGAAAATCTGTTACGGTCAGTCTTTAAATCTTTTAAAAAAATTATTCCGTTCAGTTATCTAACAATAGGTCACACCCACACTTATATTTCAATGATAAAATTAATACTATCTTTTTATTGGACTTCCTTAAATATATTCGACCTACTAAAGAAATAGCAATCGCTTTATCGACATACAAATGGTAAGGCCAAACGTACTACCTGGAATTTATGTTAACTAACAGCTTATTACCATAATAGTGAATGCTGTTATGATCGAGGAATCTAATAAATATTAAAAACAATACAATACTATTTGATTATAAAAATGTTGTTTATTTATTATTCTGCAGTGGATATTTAAATAAATAAGATTGTGGTTGATTTAGACTCGAAAACATATACATATCTGTTTATGCATGTCATCTTTTGTACCGTATCATAGTGTGAATGCAATGTATAAAAAACGTATTAAGCGATTTTTATCAAATAAAAGCCCGTCTTTAAAAAAAATTGATTAAAAGTTACATATTATATTTGATCATAGGTACTTAGGTTACTCAATCGTAAAACAAAGACATCCACGCGATAGTATTGATTTACGACAATAGATTGAGAAACGGCAAAGCAAAATCGTTAGCAAATATACAATTTGTGTGGAGCTGTTATTAATACGCTGTTATGATAAATGATAGACGTTTAACAATCAAGTTATTCGTTTTGTGCCTTCGTTGAATTTCTGTGTTGTGTTACATTGATCAAATATTGTGTCAAGTGCAGTTAAAGCTTTCTCTTTCACAACTGATCGATTATTACGCACGTGAACTTGTCTAATGATCTTTGTATAATAAAAAAATCGCTTGCAATGGTATGACGTAATTTATATCGAACCGCCATTAATACGCCTTGCGATATACATATATTTTTTGTCGATTATCATGAGCCAATACAATCTTTTAATTAGGTCGTTTAGATATTTGCTCGTTAGTCATTTCTAGTGATTATATTACAATACTTTTTATAAAATTATTTAAAGATTTTTTTTTATACTCGTAGACGTAATTGAGAAGGTTTCTCTAGAGATTAATTTCTATACATTAAGGTCCTAATTTTTAACCCGAAAGTTGAGATTTAAAAATTAATATAAAATTAAGACCGTCTTTAATCAATATTTTTTTTAAATTAGTATAGTGTCAAATTTAATGTTTAAGTTTTTTTTAAAGATATGTATGTTTACTTTTACAATTTTAAAAAGAAATTATTTAAAAAAGATTATTTCTTCCTTCAGCAGCCGATTGATATGCTAAATTGGTAATTTCAATCTGAATAATGCCGATTTCTTTAACATTTAAAAGAAGTGCTAGTCACAGTTAGGAAGCTTAAAAGCCATAAAGAATATCCTCCTTTGTACCATAGACAATATGTATGTAATAATTAAATTAATTTGCATTGTTATTAAAAAAAGAAAAATTATAACATAAAACCTTTTTTCTACTTTCTTGTATTCTCTATTTAAACCGTAAAGCGTAAAAAGCAAACGAACTCAGTTGTGTATTAAAGTTTTTATGAAGTAACCTATAATAATAATTGTTTTTTTTTTTTATAATTAAAACTATACAAATAATCGAGGCACATTTACATTACAACTGGTTCTTTGTTCCCTCCCCTTTATATTTATTCAAACAAAACAGGAAGATCAACAAACTTCTTGAAGAATTTGTTTTGAGTAATTACTTTCTATATAGAGATGTAAAGAATCCGGCCTTTCATACTATGAGTAACGACAGTATCATGTTAAATATCTCACATAGCAATTTTACTATATTTACTGTAATGATCCTCATATTATGATTACGACATACCCGGGAGAAACACCGCTAGATGTTTTTATAGTGTAATCGCTTAGCCTACGCGTAACTTTTTACACTCGGTTAGATTACTGGATATGCTCGTTTCAGTCTAACGTGTCAATGAATGTGACGGACATAAAGAAGCGACTCGGCATGGAAGCTGTGCAGACGCTGGGGTCATTGTACCGCTTAGAGAAGCTGCACTCTTGCCCTCACCTTCCCCTCCCACTTGCATCCCCGCCATCCTGTTTTATGCACTAGCTTAAATCACTAAATTCGCACCACATCAATATATTAGAGTTGTATAAGTCAGCAGTTAAACTCTATCATTATTGTGGTTTCGATATAAATAATGTAATAACTCTTATTGTTATCTTTACATTTTTGGTATAGCAAAACCTCTTTATATTAATGTGTTACTGGCTGGTTTTTTATAACTTACTTTTGTGTCAATATTTAAAAAAGTGGTATCGCAACCATGTAATATAACATTAAGAAGAGATATGATTAACGTTATGAAATAAAGTCGTATTATGGTTAGTTTACTCAAACGATCACAAAGAGTTAAGATATTTAATGAATAGTATTGTAAAATCTTGTCCCATAACCAGCAAGCAAGTTTTTTTGTCAGTTACAACATCCTTTCGCGCTCGAAATAACATCTAGACAATGTTATTGTCGTTCTGTACCTGCTTTATTTTCTACTATTGACCAATGTAAGATTCAAGTAATTCGTCCTACACACTGCTTGCACGGTTTATTGGCAAGGAAGGGTTGAAGTTGATGAAGCACAAAGTAAATGTAATAAAGTATGGTAGCCTTTTATACATATATGTATATTTTAAGTCGTGACCTCAGTGTTGATCCTCAGTGTTCTACGAAAGGGCATGCGCCGGTCCAGAATAACAAAAGGTTCGCCACCGAATGTGTTTCTAAGGTAGCGTTCATATACAAAGGCCGTTTCAATTCATCATTGAATACCGGCTTTGCGTAAAATTAGATATATTCACTAAGATAAGGTGATGTGTAGATAAAAAGAATTGAATTATGCAAGTACTTCGACCTTCTAGTACAATTTTCATTCAATTAATCCTAGACGATATTTTGAACTGCCTGTATTTTTATTTGTTTAATATGGAAGGGGAAATTTTGTTCTTAAACAACTTATCCGATTTAATGTCCTTTTTTAGTTTCAATAAACATATAATTAAATAAGATTTATCTATTAAAAAATAATTTATTAAGATCAAGTGCTAACATGTTCCTACAAATTCTCCTATGAGGTATAAAATTTTTATATCGTTATATAATATTGTTGTTATGTTTAATAATACACTTACTAGAGAGTACTTTGTCATTTTATCGTCTGAAGATAAATTGTCAGCGATAATAAATACCGTAACTGTTGCTTATTGCTACGGCTTCTTATTAGGTTAATACCGGATATACCGTTTTTTGAATATAGTATTACACAGTCTATGGATCACAAACTCAATTAAACCTTGAACATTTAATTGTTTTCCGGTCCTGCCGTTTTTATGATAAATGTTCATTTGTAAAAAGAAACTGGGAATCGATCAACGTTGATCAGTATTACGAATTTGTAGTTAATTTTTCTTTTTATTTCCTTTCAATCTTTGGTCTATCTGTATCATTAATTTGTAAAAAAATACTACTTTAAATTTCAACATTGTTTTTATTCATCAGCTAAAATATTATTTTTAAAGAAGTTTTAAATTAATTTCAATTATATACACAGCCAAATATTCAAAATACCTATAGATTATTATTGTTCTATGTCTTCTCAATTAGAGTACCATGCGAGACCAGAATTTAAGTAGACTTATCTTATTTTTACAAAGTATAAAGCTATGTTCCTCTTCGTCTAGGTGGCAATGTACGCAGCATCCAGCACGTCTACAGCGACCTCTGTATCTCGCGAGATGACAGCCGGAGCGACGGAGAGGCGCGTGCGGGTCGTCCGTCTACTGCGACCGCGCAAGGCCGCTCCGGCTTTTGGATTCTCATTGCGCGGCGGGCGGGAGTATGCGACTGGCTTCTTCATATCGAAAGTGGACCTCAATTCGGAGGCCCATCTACAAGGGTTAAAGGTATCACATATATGAAGTACAATAGACATGAATACCTTCGTATGTTGTAGGTATACATACATAATAATACGTCCCTATTCCATATATTATTTAATTATAACGTTGTTATTTCTTTTGAGACAAGTAATCATATATATTTTTTTAACCCTTCTATCACAGAAAAGTGGGAAATAGTAAGAATGCTAAGCTTATGATATTTCTGTAGCAATGGTTTGCCATGTTGTGTAACAAAAATTCTTATTAAATTAATGACTCTCACTTGGTGACAATTCTATTACATTGTGGTCCATTTCTTGCTACAGTTTTTGTTAAATGAACGGTAATTTTGTATTATAACAGCATTCCATTTCGTTTCGTTTAGAAATGAAATTACTCATAAAAATATAAAATATTTACTGAAAATCTGAAATAATTACTTACTATACTTACTTATAAATATTTAATTATATTATATTTACATAGTCTCGCTAATTATTTATTTGACTCATTATTTCATATGAGACAACAAGTTTCAAGCTAATGTTTCATAATAAAGTATAATAATATAATATACATGAGGAATAATTACAATATACATATTTATAAAGTATTTAACTATTTCCATTATCCGACATCGTGGATTAAAAGTCTCACCATTAATGGTAGCCACAGCCAGCTGTGCAATTACATACGTGCGAGGCTGAATCGTCGCAAGAAACATTTCATTCTGGGAAACACTCACGTAACAGTTGTTTTTACCGCGGCCTCCAGAAATCACGGAATAAAATGATCTTACATTAAAATTTATAATGATTAGAGAACTTGTTTTTAAATAATTGTTATATTATGAACGATTGACCCACATCATAACACAGCCTTGAGAACTGTTATTTAACATTTGGAACATCATAGATGAACGAGCATAATATTTTAAACCATTGAGTTTTCACACAATTACTTCCTCAACAAAGAAGTTACGAAATTTCACGAGTACTTACATCCGTTGTTATTTCAAGCACAATAAGGTATTTCGAGACGCTCACATGAAAACCTGAGAAAATTTGTTTCATTGCACTGATTCGGCGTATTTTATTAAGAGAAAAAATGTTTTTTTAATTCTTCTGTTATTTATGATATGTTGTTTTGATTTATTATTTAAAAATATGTAGGCATAGACGGACGTTTCTGAGAATCATTTTATAGCTTCTCTCCTCGGTCTAATCGTCAGCTTTCTATCAATAACACAAGTTTGCTCATATAAACTAACTAAATATTTTATATAATACGCGTCAGAAGAGAAAATTTATTTCGTTTAAACAATCATAGTCACAACTTTGATGTTCGATGTAAGTAAGTAAATTTAAGCTTCTTATAAAATTCGTTTGCCATTTGTTACTAATGAAGATATCACTTTTAAATTCACATACTAATAAAAGCACATTAGATACGCTTGAACTTTTACTTTAAACAATTGTTTCACGTCTGGGAAATGTGATCTTTATAAGTTACATAATATTACATAGTTATAGAGTGCATATAATTTTGGTATTCACAGAAGGTAAAACTGACCTGTATATCATGTATGATATTAATGACGTAGTACAGGTTTACTTGTAGGATTTATAAAAATATTAAAGTTATATATGCGTGTATAATTTTTTTAATGATTTATATTTGAACATTTAATTTTTATACAAAAAAATTATACCTAATTTTATCTTGAAAATATTTTATAGACTTTACTTTGTAATACAAAAGTTGTATATACATAAGTACATAGCCTAACCACTTCCAAATTTTAAAAAGGTAAAAATGAGTAGAATATCCTGATTAAAAAAATTCTTTTTGCATATTTGTAGGTATATATTTTTAATATCATCCACGAGTATAATAAAAATACCTTAGAAATGAGGTAAATAATCAATAATGTGTATCAGTCTGTCATATACCAGAGTCGAATGATATTGCATATTCCCTATTGGACGTGTTGTTGTATTATTGATTTTTTTGTTTCATACAAATTGAACAAACACAAGTCGTTATCAAGGCGTGAGTCATTGATAAGCGAACCGAATAATACACTTATGTATACAGGTGTGTAATAAACATAGAAATATCATAAAGGACGGACAAAAAAAAAATGTTTATACTTAATTATTACTGTAATAACTATTATCAGAATTGTTTTCGTAAGATTATAATCTAAGTGCCAGTATATGTTATTTGTTATCTCCTAATTGATTTTATATGGTTTTGGATTGACTATCTAATGTATTGGTTTCGAATATTATACTACTTTATTTTTTTATACCTATTAAAATTCAGCAAGCTCTTCCTCTACAGTATTATCTTCTTTATGATACTGTCATATTTTATCTCGATCTTACTCTACTCTTTAATCTTTATGTATTTCGGATATTTGTCTCAAGGTGATCTATAGATAAGTACACTTAAAGCGTTTAAGTTTACAAAAAATATCCCTAGTCATGTACGACAAAAATGATTGTTAAATATTGAAAATCATATACTGTTTTCTAAATTAATTAAGTGTATATATAATTAAACTAACATTAATGTAATTAATATAATAAACATTATAAAATATAACTATCCATTTTAATGCTCATTAGAATTCAGTGTACGATCATAAAATGTTTGTTTCAATATTAATGTTCCTCGTTGTAATGAATCGATGCTCAAACAGAATGCAGTGTTGTACAACATTTTTATTATAATACATATGTACATATATTGCATTAACATCAATCATTCACCTGCCTAATCTTCCTGTACTGTTACATAAGCTGCATGTAATATAAGTAGTGAAATGTTATTAAAACAACTGTTTCGAAAGATAAATGCAAAGACGCCGCCAAGTCTGGGTTCGTTTAAAAAAACAGCAGTACGAAAGTCTGTAGGAAAGTTGTCTGATATGTGGGCCATGAGTTTGTCCGGCTTCAACGCAAAGAAAGTGCTGCTTTCGTCACAACTACGTGGCTGAGCTTGACGGCTTGCTTGCGTGACGTCACAGTAGCCCGATGAGTTCACGCCTCGTTATTTTTTTTTACTTTCTATTGTTTTAATGTAACTGTATCCTTTATTGGGAAAATATTAGCTTCGTGGTTGATACATTTCATACAATTACATACATACATACATTGTACTTTATACATACATTTCATTGTATATTATAAACGTCTATAATATTTCTTCAGCAGTAAAACAAATAATACACTTGTGTACATATTTTTTTATAATACCAGTATATTTTTTATGTATATAACCTTGACCAAGGTCGTTGCTAAATTTATTTAGCTGTATGTTGAAGATGGGAATTTACTCCTGTTCGAAGGACAAGGTTTTTCTTTAAATAAGAATGAATTGAAAAAAAAGGATGCTAAACCGGTCATGAAGGACATTTAATGTATCTCTAATTATCCTATATGTTCACAAAATCAATCGAAATCTATAAATAAGGGAATCGATCAATGGCAACTTTTTCTTAAAATACAGTAATTGCAAAACACCAATGTCGTCAGTACAAAATAAACAAACAATTCAGTCTAAAAACCTCTATCTTGACTGTATTAATATTTAAATAGTGGATACATAGTAGAATAGCAAGATAATCCCCAGAACTTAGTAATCATCTTGAACAAATATCATAGCGTCAAACAAAAATAAAGATTCCTGAAATCCCAATATAAAACAAGCAATGTAGCTTTAACTAATAAATGTAATCATGAATTGACTGCAGGTCGGCGATCAGGTGGTTAGCGTCAATGGCTATCGGGTGGATGACGCGGTGCACGCTGAGCTGGTTCATTACATCACTTCACAGTCTCGGCTGAAAATAAAAGTTAGACGTGAGTTACATAAAATCTTTATATTTTATCTGTGACATTGTCTTACTTAAGATTATAATTAATATAATACCTCCTTTGTATTTCAGATGTGGGGATGATTCCTGTTAAAGAGTAAGTAACACTAATTATCTCTATATTATTCTTACATAAATCTCGAAAAACATATCTTTGTTTATTATAAGAGCTATCAGTAATTTTATGTATTTACAAGTAGTAATTCTTTAATATAAGCAATTATTTTCTCCGGTTCCAGTAAGGAGCACGAGGCTCTATCGTGGCAGTTCGTCTCTGAACGAGCGTCTTTGGCTTCAGATGTGTCCTCATCACCGACTCTCTGTCATAATACAGAACATTTGACGGACTTGCGGCTGTCAATACTTGTACCACCAAGAGCAAAGCTTGGCTGTGGGTGAGTGAAGAGAAAATTGGACAAATTAAAATTATTAAGATCACATATTTTATGAGCTACTTTTGTTATAATATTAGAATCTTAAAAAAAAATTATAAATTTGATTTTTTTGTAACTATAGTGTGAAAAATTAATTTACCTTTATTTTTTCAGTATATGTAAAGGACCGGAATGGAAGCCAGGAATTTTTGTCCAATTTGTTAGAGAAGGCGGTATCGCACGAGAAGCCGGTTTACGGCCCGGCGATCAGATTATGTCCTGTAATGGCCATGATTTCTCTAACATATCTTTCAACGAGGTAACTCGATTAGATTTCATACATATGTATTTATAATACATATTTTAAAATATATTTTTTTAACTTCATCACAATAATTATTGTACGTTAATACTTAGGCTATATCAGCGATGAAAGCAAGCGGTCGTCTCGAGTTAGTAGTACGTGAGGGTGCTGGTACAGAGCTGGTGTCGCCTGAGAGCTCGGGATACAACAGCTCTGCGTCGTCCGCAGCTGGTGAGAGGAGTCCAGCCCCACCAGTCCCTCTAGCGCCGCCTGCAGCTCTTAGGAGACGACTCGCGAGCGTCGCCGAGGAAGCTGCTGATAGAGCCGATAGGTTCGTTATACACGCTATGAAAAGATACTCAAACCTGATATCCTGACATTTGTAATGATATCAGCTTTGAGTATATAGAGAAAAATCAAAATATACACTTTATAGTTTAAAGAAAACTTAAATATCTTTCGGATTTACTTTATTATTATTTTTAACAACATGCTGCCGACGTTTCAGTTATTTTGCAGTAACCGTGATCACTGACAGTCGAGATACATTTCTTAATAATTGTAGTATATATGTAATTATTCGTTTTTTTTTTTTAATGAATACTCGCGAAAATCTCATCTCATCACTGTATAGTTGATATGGACTTAAAAGAAAATAATGTGATCCCCTTTGGGTCCACAGGAAAAGATAACTGATATTTGTTAAAAATGGTTACAAATTAAAGTAATCCTAAAGCAGATTTATCGAATTGTTTAATGAAATTTCTTTAACTATTTTTTTTATTTGACTCTTACAACAAAACGACTGTTAATCAGAATGAATAAATTGTCTCTTCATCCCTTTTGTACTGTAGCTAAGATTCATATCTTTATTTTTATGTACAATGTAATAAGTATTTTCTTTCATATATAAAATTTACAAACCTCTTACATTTTTCAAAGTATGTAGAATGTCTGCATGTTAAAATCCTATAAGTAGATGAGTATGGAAACGGCAAGCCTTATATGGTTTGTAAAAATTAAACAACACCAATTTCGATTAACCGAGGCTAATTTAAAGCTAGTTTTTATTGCGAAATCGACATGTGGATATCGACGTTTTCTAACTAAAGAATCTTAACATGTAACACAAAATTATCCATAATGTAACTTTGATACTTATCGCGATTTATATGGATTTAATTGAGTCTCTTATATTAATCTATTGAAAGTAAGTAAATATTGAATTATATGCAATATTAATAAACATCTTTGCTATATTCTAGGCTAACAATGAATCGAATTAAAAGACGAACATGGGACTGTTTAGATTTCGACTGGAAAAATAATGACATTCATAATTTTGACGCACCCTCCGATATTGAACCAGATTATGACAGTCCTAGTATACCAAATAACCCTCATACTTATGAAAGCAAATCAAACATTAGAAGTAAAACTAAAACAGAAATAGAAACAACAAAAATACCCAGTCAAATGAATAGGACCATTATAAATTTAACAGAAGACGGTGCAACTATTCAATGCAGTTACGACAACAACAATTCTAGAAAAGGTCAATTTACAACGAGTCAAACGAATAGAGAGAACGAAAAGACGATTGTTGTTGAAGTACATCACATGAACCCTGTTCCCTGCTCTAAGACTGTTGGTAATTTCGGTCAAACAAAAAAAGATATTGAGACGGACGCCACCAGCATAACGAGTTCAGCAACATTATCAAGTGCCATCGCTGATGAAATACAGAGGAGAAAATTAGTGAGTATTAGCTGTTTGACAATCTCTATGAACACGAATGTTATCTGATGGAACAGTTTTAGTTTGAGGGCCTACATGTCGTTTTTCTTACTGTATAAATTGGTAAAAATGTTCTTTTTTTTACATGAAAATATAACTAACATTCAGAATACACCTACCAATTGTCACATACTTTCGTAATAATAGTACTGTAATTTTTAATTATAAAATAATAAATTAATATAAAATAATAAACGTATCATATGCTGACCGTTGCGTAAAATACGATACAGTTTAAACACTTTATCAAGTATTTCTTAATATACATATTGACAATACTCTAGTTCGAATCAGTAAATTAACTGATGACATATTTTTTTAAATAACATAAAAGTATTTTATACAGAATAAGAAACCGGATATAGAAAAGGAAATCAAACAAGTCCCGGTTAAGAAAACGAGCATCCCAAAAGCAATAGACAATGACCAAAAAAAACATCACGACGCCCTAATGGATGAATTCAAAAAGGTCCATAGAAAAATGTTTGCTAATCTTGAAGGAAAAAGTGAAGTTAATAATAATGAGAAACAAACAGATAATATGGTAAGTTTATTATTTCTATACTCACTTATAGATATTTAAGTGCTACCATAAAACCAATAAAGTATTTCATTTCATTTAAATGACATTTTTCCTGAGTTTTAAAGAAAATATTAACAAACGATGGGTTTATTTACGGAAATGAACAAAATATTAATATGTAAAAAAATAACATGTAAACATTACTTATTATTTGATATGCAGTTTCTCGTAAAGGCTGTTATATCGGAATACACAATGTCACAGAACAATGATATTGCCATATGATTGTGTAAAATAATAGCTACAAGAAACCCTGCCATTGTACATTCATAAACATCAATGTAAGAAGTGTGTTGAAGCTTTACCAAAACAACATAACAATGTTTCATGGAATTGTATTTTTGGATTAGTACATATTCAGTATTATAATTTAGATAATTATTAAAATATCACTCGATATCTGAACTAACGCCTACATACATTTATATACTTCTTTTTCCTCTGCTTTTAAAATTAACAAACGGTATTGATTTAGTATGTGACGAAATATTATTTGAATAAGATGTGACTATTTAGCTGTTTTTATAGAAAATCAATATAAATATTGACAAATTATATAAGGACTGTTAGGATGTCGAATAACTCACCAAAGTAAAGTAAGTTTCCTTATATGATATTTATTTAAACTGCTTTTTGGAGCGCATTAATAAGATCTAAATTCTTCACTTTTTAATTTCATATTTTTAATATTATCATAGTAAGTGTTACGTCATATATAAATATGTTTATTTAATGTTGCAGAACAACCCGAAATGTTCGTTAATATAAGATTATACAAGTAATTTTAATATTACCGTGTATTTCTGTTCAAATTAGGACATCACAAGATATAAAATATAATTAGAATAATGATTTTTCCTATTCTTAATACTTCTTCTTATGCGACATATGAAAAGTTTAAAGGGGGTATTATTTTTTCTCGTAAATATACGATGTTGGAGTGGATTAATATTTTGCTATACTTTCTATTAAAACGAAAGAAATTTGCGCCTTAAAACTGCACAAAAAGTGTTTTAACATTTTCATAATTAAATTTTCTCACATGATAATATTAACGTAGGTTTATAAAAAAAAATTAGAAACGCTCCGCGTGTAGTGTGCTATTAGAAATTTGTTGTAAAGGTACGGAAAAGTATATTTCTTTGTCTACAAATTTTTCATGAAATTAAAAACTTAGACTAGGATTCAAATATTAATAACTTAAAACAACTGTGACGTAGACGTAAGAATAATATAGATATTATTATATACTATTCATAGGAAAAATATAAATGCTGATTTTATGAAAATAAATATTTAAAAACAAAATAAATCTGCTCGTAGTTAAATTATTGTAGGTTTGAAACTACGAAAGAGGTTCAAATGAAACTTTTTACAGAAAACTATTAATTTTCTAGACGGATAGATAAGGTTAATACATGTTTGAATTTAGATATCCAAAAAAATCAACATGACGTGTTTTATAATTGTAACAATAATGTCAATTGTTATTTTTAAGGACAGTAAACAGAAACCAGTTAGTTTTTAAATATACCGTTGTGCTTTTTAAATTCTGTATTAAAATGATAATAAAGCTTTAAAACCTTTTTTATAGACTCGTTACTCACTGTTACTTGTTAATAATTGCTTAAAAGTATACTTAGGGATATGATTTAAATGGATAGCAAAACAATAAATTATTAAATATAGTCAAAATATTTTATGCAAGCTATTTAATAAACTTGTAACATAAAAATTGATCTTTGTTAGTAAAACATATTATTTGACTTTACTTGGACTATATACTCGTTATTATCGTTACCTATATTTAAATGACACCATTTCTTTAACACGATTAATGATTATATTTGTATATTAGTAATATACATGAAAAATAGTCTTGTTTATAGGTTTAAGTTAATTTAGAATAAGCTACAGTCTAGACTGTAGGTCATTGCTTAGCCGATTAGTGGCCACCGTCCCTCTCCCAGTCCGTAGTCTAAGGGCATTGACCTCCTTTCATTATAAGAGTACCTGTATACAATAAAAGCGGTTACAGCCTATAAAATGCTTTACAAATAGGATATTATTATTTTAATTATTTATAAGTCAAGCTATAATGAAGATTTATACAACAACCGGCTTTAATACCTACTCGCAGTTAAATATATTTATTTGTTTATAATTAAAGAATAGATGTTGTATTAAAGTAATATTCTAAACGTACCTAGAAATTAGAAAACAAAATACGTAGTGTTATAGTGTGACACTACCAAGTTTATCTTATCAAGTTTAATACGGAGTTTTATCGTATTAACGAAATACCACAACTAAGTGTTTATTATTTCGTGGTAATACACTTATGTGCGAATTTCCTCGAAAATTCCTTTGCTATTATATGAAGTGAAGCCAGGGAAACTACAATAAAGTAAATATGAAATAATCCCTTATGGAGTTTATAATTATTACTCAAATACTTGTCTTTTAAATGTTAATATATATTAATTGTCGGTTTATTATCGCTTGGAATGAAGATCTGGGTAGTCATGATCCACATTCATACATCATTCCATCATGTGACGTAAAAAAGAAGTTGAAGATTTTTGTAACTACAAGTTTATTAATGCGACTTCGTCCTCGAGTACATGTTTTTATTTTAACTGTTTAATTGGCTAACATTATAAACATAATTTTTACCATTAAAAAAAGTCGAGAGCAACTTACGTATAGATAGATAATTTTTTAAACTATTCTTTTCAATTTAGAACACAATTTCTACAATTTTATTATTTGTATTTTTCAGTACAGAAATTACATTTATAAATGGGTACATATTTGCATAATTACGATCGTTTATTTTAATCTAACATATAAGTGACATGTTTAGCTACAGTTCGTAGTGATATTAGAGCAGTGATTTTGCGCGATGGTGCTTTGCACTGATAACGTCGGGCGGTCGTGTTGCGAGTGGCTCAGTCAACTCACCACATCCGCCGGAGCGCATCGAGCCTCCACAGTCCGACACTCGCCTGTCCGCGCTCCACCTACGATCACAGTCTACGCTTACGTTGAACATTTTCATAGGAAAAATCATATAACCGACGACCTTCACGCTCGTGATTTGCGATTCAAAATTCTATATGCATTATTGTGCTCGAATACCATATGAAATCGGAGTGTGAAGCAAATGTATTATTTCGCAACGAAATGTGATTTCTCAGTGTTATTATAAAGATTAAATATGAAGAAAAATAAGTCACCACCTCTGTTCACAATTCAGTGCTATGAAGTAAGTCGCAGATTTTCTTAATTATTTACTAGAGCGGATCGTGAGATTTGTGGGCCAATGCGATACTAATGAATTAATTCCTGGAAGGAAGCCTTTTACAAATATAATATACTTGTAATTGGCTGTCTATTGAATCTTTGCGTTATTCAGTATATATTTTATAAACAGTATAGGACTTATAACTTGTTTCGAAACACTCAATCGGAAGTATCTACATATTTTGTGAGATTGCAGGTATAGATGTATTAAGTTATCGCAGAAAAACAGGCGATAAGTGAGATAGGCCGTAAATACCATGATATTGATGCAATATTTATATAGAATATCTTTTATAACTTCTTTTGTCTCCTAATGACCTCTTGGCTGACTAATGATCTGTAATTAGTTTCTTATTCACTCGCTAATAGTTTTAAGACGTCTGTATTAGGATTTAAAACAGGTAATATTTTCGATAGCAAGTTTTCCTCATGTTAACTCTAAGATAACGTGACGTCATCTGCTGGTTGCAAACAAATTTACCATCGTGAAGTAACATTATCAATATATTTATATAACTTAAGGCCGCATACCATTATCACAGTTATGTTTAAGACGCTAAAGTTCAATGTCACAAGGCTTAGCTCGGTTGGTTTACGCTCTTTATTTATGTTTAAAATAAAAAGTTACCAAAGTGAGGTTGCGATAACTTCGACTTGCAATTCAGGTTTACGCCAAATTTTGGTGATTGTTTTTCGCTACGGTTGATTTAATAAGTTGCTTAATAAAATATTTAGTAAATTATTAATAAGAAAACAATAATGAGTTGCGTATTAAGAAATAAACGCAATACATATGTATTGTTTAATTCGATAGATAAACGAAATTACATTTTGATAGAGGCAACGTGTGAAATAACACTGTTTCTTAGGTAACATGTCATAGCTCACGAAGTTTATATAAATAAATGCAAGTAAAGAGGTAAAAGAAATCACGTACCTATAATAATTGAAAAAAACTCATACATCGTCATTACTACTTATTTGTTTTTGTATCATACGTCAAACTGTATCGTTAATGTTAGACCTATCCTTTAGTTTGAACGTATGTACCATGAATTTGTTTAATAACGTTTTACAGTCTAATCATGTTATGAATGTAAATTTTAGTCCATAACTTATTCTCCTTAAATATTAGTTACCCACTGTTAAGTTTCCTACAAATTCATTAAATAATGAATTATCTTGCAAAAGAACATCGAGTCCTTGTGCTTTAAAATAGTACTCATAAACGGTATAGAGTTTAAATATTATTTATCCTTATTTAAGAAAAGTTGAAATTACATAAATTAACAACGATGAATTCTAAAATATACTCTTTAAGGTTGGATTTCAATTTGAAGAAGCTACCGATCCGTAATTACGTAATTATATTATGTGTATTTTGCTAACATTTATAATACACAACGATTTAAAAAAAACATTACGTAAAAAAAAGTATAACTTTGTATTTTGAATATTTACATTTACGGTCGCTTCCGATATATATTTTCGTTTTAATTGATATTGTAGTTTTTATAATTTAATATTTATTTAAAAATGAGTAATGGCTTATTATTTTTTATTTTCGAATTTATGAATAAAACTAGCTAGGTCTTCTCAAAACTAAAAAAGAATGGTACTGATAAACATTCCTAAAAATGATAATTTATATCAAATGTACTTTTGAATTTACATTGTAAGGTATCATTGTTATTCTTTTTTAAAAACAGGATCGCCAGTCAACCATTCCTCTTAGAAAAATCGAATCAGTGCCAGCAGAATTAATCAATAAGGATAAGCAAACTCCAGAAAAACGAGAGAAGAAGGCTCCGCCGCCGCCTCCGCCGGTTCGTTGAGGATTTGTATTATAAACAATCACTATATTATATTATAAATTTTAATCAAAACCTCCAGGACACGTTGGAAGTATGTTATAACTATTATCTTTTTCAGATGCCAATAGAAAATGGACACCACATTCACAATGGAGACCACATCGTAAACAATCACATCAACGACAATATGAAAAGTCCAGAAATAATGAAAGTGCCTAATTTAAGAAAAGTTGGTTCTTTAACTCGAATACCAACACCTGATTATAATAAGTCGGACACTCCCGTACAGCTCCGAGTGAAGACCGTGAAGGAAGAGAATGCTGAAGTAGAATCTTTAGAATCATATAAACTAAAAAATCCACTTAACATTCAACCAAAGCCGCCGTCTCATTACTTCATCAAAGCACCCAATGGAACTGCGACCATGAAGAAGCATGTGCGACCAGTGTCGGTCACGATAGGGGAATATGTCAACAACGTAGGCCGCAAAGAACCGGCCAAGTTAGACTTCCTCAACGGAGACAAGATAGACGGGCATAGAGCAGCTGATGATGAACCTATCACAAGTAGACTTCAATCAGAATTGGCTCTCACATTGTCTAGGTCAAATTTACGTAAAAAGACTGAAGCTTTGGTAAGTTTTCACAACGATTATAAAATATAAATGCCATTTATTTCTATATTTACTCAAATTGATTTTCAGGTTCACGCTTCCTATAAAAAAAAGCTTATATTGAACATAAATTCGAACGATGAAAACTTTCACGCTAGATACGGCAACAACCTTTTACCATTACCGCCATCGATATCGATACCAAAAATTACCAAAATAAATCTCTAATTTATTTTATTTTCTTTAAATAAAAACTAAAATCAGCTTAACACGATCGAGCGATGTAAGATATATTTTCATTATCGGCACTTTATTTTCACCTATAAAATACACGTCTGAGTGTAATTGTACTTTAGAGGATCGTTGTAATTATACAAGTAGAACACACTCATAAATAGAATTGTTTAAGGGAATTAAATCACTTTTATATACTTTTATTAATAATTTTCTACTGGTTTATAATGATTTTACTTTTGTAATAATCTGTAAGAATGCACATGAGCTTCGATCACATGGGAATGGGATCAGAATAAGTAATTTATATATCGTTATGATTTGCGAGACGAGGTTTAACTTTTTCTTTCTTTATTTACAATAAAACATAGCACCGAATCGTGTTTCCACTCGTAAACTTTATAATACTTGGTATCATATAATAATGATGAAAATGTGATTCATATATTTAGAAAGAGATTTTAAGATAGGTGGTCTTTAGAATTTCATTAGTAAAATATTAAAAATTATAAATATACGAGGTTTTAGAACAACGCACATGAATTATATTTTATAAATGTTATATGAATGAATTATATTTTATAAATGTTTGTGTAAATTATTCAATTAGATATTTACATATTAAATATAATAATAAAAACATTAATTACATATGTCCGCCTTATGTATATTTAAGCTGACTTTATTGTAAAACGTTTAACGCACATTAAATTTTATTAATCCATGAATCGTAAATCATTTCGGTATGCAATGCAATATGATAAGTTTGGTGAAGGTATTTTAATGAAAAGTTGTTGTGTTACATTTTATTATATACATTTTATACAATATTTTATTTGTTCTCAGGGCGACGGAGGTCGTTAGGAAGCCTAAAGAAATGAAAGTTCTTTCAAATGTATGAACATTCGGTTATTATAGTTATTGGAATTAAAAGAAATCAAATAGATCGAAATATGTTTTAAATGTAATTTTTATAAATAAAATAAGCCAAATCCTTTGTAACACCATGTTTTAATGTGATTAATTAAAAAATATATGCTTACTGATATGTTGTTGTGTGTCAATGTATTTATAAATGGTAGTGCTATATTGTGTATCTTTTATAGTTATTTTATGCTCTGAGTTAAATTAATGCAAAAATATTTTGGTAAAAAATGTATTATACCAAAGTTCTTTTGTATTAAATAGGAACTTTTGAATTAAAGAAACATTGAAACTGATAATTGTTTTATTATATTAATTTACCTTTTAACTAAAAACATTTTTCTCATATAGATAGACACATTTATTAAGCGGACCACGCACTGTCTCGAGAAATAAAATGGTATATTTTATTCACTTTATTGCATAGGTTTTTTATCAATTTATGCAATTATAATTATTTATTTATTTTATTTATGCAGTATTTTTTTCCTTATTTTTTACGATATTAATTTAAGTTACACTTTTTGAGTGTAGTGACCGATAAGAAAACAATGTTTTTTTCTTTTATTAAAGGAGAACTTAAAATTGTTCAAAATATTTTTATTATATTATATTGAGCCATTGTATAGCTTCTATCGCGGACCCTTGACTGTGGAGACCGAAACCAGAAATTCCGAAAATAACCTAATACGGCGCTGTAGTGATAGTTTTTAATACTGCCATCTATCGATGAATAGCAGAACTTTAATTGACTTTTGAAATATCACGTCTTTTTAGTTCAACAACTCGCGTCTAGATGGCATTGATTGTGTTAGCATTACTGCGCCTGCCTATTCCCCTTCTTCGCATCTCAATTTATTGACTTTTGCCTACTTGATTTCGGCGTTAGGGCATTTATTGTAAGACAATAAAATATTTTGAACAATCTTAACTATAAGCAGGCATGAATCTTTGGATTACGGAACGAAGGGGATTACGCATGCGCAGTAACGCCGAGACAACCAGTGCCACCTAGAAGCGAGTTGCTGAACTAAGAAGACACGTGACATTTCAAAGTTATTAATAGTTCTGCTATTCATCGAGAGATGGCGATACTAAAAAGTATCACCGCAGTGCCGATTGGACTGGGTGTAGCAGGTTATTTACAATACGGAATTTCTAGATATGATCTCCACACTCAAGGCCCGCGATAGAAGCTATGCAATAACTTAAAAAAAGATAATAAAAAATATTTTAAACGAATTAACTCTAAGCAAATATGAGTCACTAGATTACGGAGTGAAGGGGATTACGCATGCGCAGTAACGACGATACAACCAATACTACCTAGAAGCGTGTAGCTGAACTAAATAGGCACGTGATATTTCAGTCATTAAAAGTTCTGCTGTTGTTCGATACATTTTATCACCTCTGTACTGATCAGAGTGGGGAGTAATAGGTTATTTTCGTTATGGAATTTCTGAATTCAGCCTTCATGCTCAACGCCCGCGATAGAAGCTATACAATAGCTTTAATGTACCAAAGACTAAAATTGAGGAAAACTTTAATTATTCTAGCTTAAATAAAATATTATTATTGTATATTGGAACTATTTTATTATAATGTAACTCCACGATGATAACATGTTCAAATGATCAAAATCTATTTATCACGAACAACGTATGTACTTCATGTATATTAAAAAATACAATATCTTAATATTAAGTAATTTGTAGTAGAGCTTAAGAAAAGATATTCTGTACACCTATATATATTTATTATAAATACATATTACGCTTCAAATATTTTTATGATTTTTAAACTAACATAATACTGTCAATTTATGACATTTCCAAAAAAATAATTATGCGCTTTAATCACTGTCATATCGATATGTGTGCTAAGTTGGTTCATGAAAGTTAAAATTATTCAATTTTGACTTTTTTCAATAGAACAATATGAAACAATGTTATACTTATGAAATGAGATAAATGTTCTGCTTGGAGGTTATAATTAAAGCTTGTATGTATTAAATTAATAACACTATATAAAGGTTATCCATTAATATATAAACATGAATATAATGCGAACATTATGTTTAACAAAAAAAATTAGAAGTGGGTTTTTTATAAAAGAATTAATTTTCATGAATACTGGTAATTATAAGGCAATAAGAACAGTTCAAACCACACCAAAAACATACTTGAAAATTTTCTTAGAAACTGAAAATAAATATGCTTATAATATTATGGAAAATAATGGTTATGCAAGGAAGATAGACGTTGATGAAGATAACTTACAAAATGTGTCTAAAGAATATTTTTCTAACATAATGTCAAAGAATTTTAGTACAGAAAATCCTCATAACATTTTCAAAATTTTTGCAAATCTAGGTGTGTACTGTACAGAAAATAATCTGTGTATATCAAATGATCAGTTTGATAATTTTATTGACAATTTAACAGACAACATAAAATTTGCTAATGATGATGAATTAAGAACATTGTTTTTTTCTCTTACAAAATGGCCCCCAACTCATTCAATAAGGACAAGGAATTTCATAGAAGTATGGGCTGCATTAGATGATGAATGTTTTAAAAGAATACCCAAGTGGTCTTATGATGAAATGCTTTCATTTGTTTCATTATTCTATATGTTAAATGTAATAAAGTACAGTGATTTTTGTACAAAGGTCCTAAATAAAATTGCCACTAAATGTAAAAATCTAAGAAAAAGCCATGTAGTTCAGTGTTTGTTTTTTACTGGAACAGTAAGACGATCGCCTATAGATATGCATTCTCTTGAAGTTTATGTTGAGAATCACTTTGCAGAATTTAGTACAGATGAACTGGCAGTCATTGCCATGGGGTTTTTTAAAAGTAGTACTCCAATTAGAAGTATGACATTAATATCTGAGATAATTGATAGAATAATCGAAAATTCTAAAAATACACATGAGATTTCACTGGCCGCATTGCTAAAAATAATAAGGTACTCAATTAAAATACCCATTGATAATAAAGTATTTGAAATGTTACAACAATTACAGCATGAGTGTGATAGAATGTCTATTATGTGTAATGTTCAGTTAGCCTTAGTTGGAACTTCAACTTTAACTCTTCATAAAAATTGCCTCAATCAAATAGCTAAAAGGGTAATAAAATCAATTCCTGAAACAAGAATAAAAGATCTGGAAAGATTGGTTCTCACTTATGGAACTTTTAATTACATACCTGAGACTGAAGAGAATTTTTTTAACAAAGTCATAGAAGAGTTACAGAAACCAGAAAGGAACGAAGAAATTATGAAGTATGGCCGGTCATTTTCTGCTTGTGTGGCATATCTAGGGCTTTTACAAATATTCCCAGTGGATCTTATAAAGAGGGTTCTAAGCCAGGAATTCCTAAACAACACTTATGGTGGAAATTATTATAGTTATGGAAGGGAGATTTTAACTATTCATGATATAGCCAAACTTTTCATAGATGATGAAGTTAGCGTTTTGACTGACAAACAAGTAATAGCATTGGCTAAAAAATATACAGACTATGTGCCATGTGAGACATACCAGAAACAGTATAATGTGACTGAAAGAATGTTTTTGGACATCAAAAGAGTGTTACAAGAAGACCGAGGTGGAAAGGAGTATGTAACTGGATTTCATGTTATTCCACATCATCAAAGAGGAGGTATATTTATTTAATATACTCAGAATGATTTTTTTTTTATTAAAAATGATAATGTTTAATTGTCTAGTAATTTGTTTTAGATTTAATTCTATGTAATAACAGTGAAGGTGGTCCTGTGTCAGTGAAAGATGTGTTCTATGGAAAACAGTTTGGTCTTCTTCATAAAGCACCCAGCTCTAATCTTTGGATTGTTCTTATTGTAGCTGGCAGAAATGCTATGATTCAAAACTCTAACAGAGTCAGCGGTCCATTCAATATAAAAATAAAAGAACTGAATGCTCTGGGATATTATGCCAATATAGTAAGCATTTTATTATGATAAAATACCTATAAATAAATAGTACTTAAATAATATAAGCATCTAATGTATAATTTGGTTTTCAGGTAAAATGGAATATTTATAACAACCTTAACACTGACAAAGAAAAAATTATATATCTTAATAATTTAATAGAAGAAGCATTAAAATCCAAGTTATAAATTTATTACATCTTTAGTTTTATTATTACATAAAAATCTATTAACAGTGTTTTTGTTTTATTCGCTACATTACAATTTCTATATGGCCTAAAATTTTAACATAATTAGTCGTTACGACTCGAGAGGTTAATACCTAATTGTGGAATTAATAATAATATTTTAAGCTATCGCCATATAAAAAAATTGTTTCCAAATAAACTGTTTACAATATTAAGTACCTATTAATTACATATAAAGGATGTATGATTAAACGAGAATAGTCCTGCTTCGAGACTCCACAGCTCAATAAAGCAACATGTTACATGTATCTATAACTTTAATTATTATGATCAAAGGCATAAAAAAACGGATTTTGATTGTTTTTCATTTTCATCTCCAAACACCCAAATACAAAGAACAACTTAAAACTTATAATAATCTCAAGAAAGACACACGTATTTTTTTAATCGAAATAAGTAATCAAAAATCCTAATTGTTCTTTTAGTGGACCTAGGAAGTAGGAGCCGAAAACCGTTCACCCTGTGAAAGATTTTCTAATATAGTGTATTATCTATGCTGTGGAAAAAAAAGAGGAATTGAAACGTTGACGCGGGCTATTTGAAAATTTTTTATTATTTTAAATAGTTTTATACTATAATTTGCAAATTTTTGTTTAGTTTATTGTAAAGAAGTAAAATTTAGTCTGTATATAAGTGTTTATGTGGAGAGATGGTGAAAAAACGTAAAAAGAAGGATTCGGGCGAGTCCTTGAATTTCAGCACAAGCAGCGATTCCGATTGCGAGGATTCGTCAGTATTGCAGGATGCAAATGCCTTCGCTCCCTTTAGAGTCGCTGATTATTGTCGGCGATACCCAGAAGATGCGGAAGCCATAGTCTGAATTCATAGTATTTGTCGAAAGTACTAATGATGTCCCACTCGGTAATAGGGACATGTTGTTGCTTCGTACTAGTTTTATACGCTCTGTGAAAGGTATACAATATTAAAAAAAAATAAATAAATATAAGGTCGGGAGTTATCTCTTCGGTTCCATCTCATCTATCCAATCACAAAATAAATAAAGCAATATCAACAACAAAAAGGCATTTCTGTCCGACGTATAATGCGTAAAGTAAAAGGAGAAAATAACACCTTCACACTGCAACCTACTCAGAGCGTAGTAATAACTTTTGCGTCTGCTACGTCACTGCCGGACTATGTTCACATTAAGATGTGGCGCCTGCCTGTCTCCACATATGTCCCACCTATAAAACATTGTTTTAAATGTTTACGCTATGATCATCTGGCTAAGTTTTGTAAAAATTCACCGCGATGCTCCATATGCACAGTTGGCATTCTTTCAAAGAATGCAAGGTTAACATTGAAACAGCTAAGTGCATTAATTGTAATGGCAATCACATTGCCATCTCTAGCCAGTGCCCTATAAGGCAAAAGAAAATCGCAAACAGTAAACCCAAGTCATATGCTGACACGTTAAAAGATTCATTAAATTTTCCCTCCCTTAATAAAAAAATTAAATACCCTAGAAGTAATCCAGGCAATACTATCAAATTCCGAAGCAATGACTCTATTAACAGAATCTATAGTAAAAGTTATAACTTTAAATAAAACTCAAAATATAATTATTAGTTCACAATTTATTAGCTCAGCTATTAAAGAAACCATCCAGGATAAAAATAGCAAATCGTCACATTCAACCACCAAATCTTAAATATTGTACAGTGGAACGCTCAAAGTCTTTTAAGTAACAGACTTGAGTTTCAAAATTTTCTATACCAAAATAATATACATGTAGCTTTTATTTCAGAAACTTGGCTCAAGCCTAGCATTCAATTTAATTTACGTGGTTATACCATTATTAGGAATGACTGCGGTAATGATCATAATAGCGTAGCAATATTATTTAAAAATGGAATACATTTCTCTAAACTAGATACTTTTTATGATAATTCGTTACAAAATGTAGTAATTATTATTAAACTGAAACATAAATGCATTTCTTTAGTTAGTTTTTACAGTCCTGGTAATAGTTCTCCTGCTTTTGAAAAGGCGAAGTTCGATCGTTTATTGTACAGTATTCCAAAACCGTTTATAATTGCAGGCGATTTTAACGCCCATCATACTTTTTGGGGTTGCAGTCGCAGATTCTCGGGGCAAAGCTATTATGGATTCCATGGATGACCATGACTTAATACTTTTAAATAACGGTCAACCAACAACTATACGCTCACATATTATGAAACCAAAGAGTCTAGATTTAACTTTGGTGTCTTCTTCTTTATTTCTTTCTTGTGACTGGCAAGTTCATCAGGACCCTTTAGGCAGTTAACATCTGCCAACTATCACAAAATTTACTCTCGTAAGAGATCAACATGAACCCCCTTGAACAACATTCCTTTTCACAGCAATCTGAAATTAGTAAATTGGGATAGTTATGAACAAATTGTTAATAAAATGTTAATGAACTTTAAAGTTGACAATAGTGATCTCCTTGACTCATACAGAAAGTTTTGTGCAATTATTTTATTGGCAATCAAATTCTCCAGGCCCAGCTTAAACCATAACACAACTGATAGTAATAATAACCGTCCTAGCAAAAGGTGTCAAGTACCTTGGTGGAATGATAAATGTTCAAAAGTAGTAGAAGATTGCAAGAAAGCCTACATTAACTTCAAAACTAGTCTTAATAGTAAAAATTACATTAATTTCAAACGCGCACAATCCTTTAAAAACGCACTTTAAAAGAAGAACGTTGTAAAAGTTACTCTGAATTCTGCTCATCAATAAATCGTTTGACATCTATAAATCACATTTGGACTAAAATAAGAAAATTCAAAAAAAGCTTATTCAATAAAAGCTCTAACTTATTTTCTGACCTCAATTGGGTTCAAACATTTTTATATAAAAACACACCGGATACTGTTTCACAACAGATAAGTATAGATAATGTTCTTGGAGTAAATAGTGATAATTCCTACATGATCGGTTGTTTTACTATGCAGGAGTTAAAATCTGCTCTAGCCTCAAAAAAAGATTTATTAAATAGTTTATCTTCTTAGTTTGTCTTCTTTAATCCCAGATGATTGGATAACTGACTGTTTGGTACCAATATTAAAACCTGGCAAAGACTTTAATTTGGCTGATTCTTATCTTCCTATTACATTGAGATCATGTGTTGGAAAAATTTAGGAACAATTAATAAAACAGAGATTAATTTTTCACATAGAGAGTTATAATCTTTACGGTTTACCTTACAATCAGTTTGGCTTTCTTTGTGGCCGTTCTGCTTGTGAGAGTCTACGTCATTTCTGTCTGGATATCCACGATGCTCGTTCGGAGAATAAAGTACTAGTTGGTGTTTTTCTTGACATTATAGGGGCTTTCAATAATGTAGATCTGAACAAATTATCCTCAATATTATTATTACTACAGGTACCTGGAAAAGTTGTAAATTGGATTTTTAATTTTTGAACTACAGAAAGGTTTTTGTTAAGGTTAACAATCAGTTATTTGGTCCAAGATATTCTTGTAGGGGTGTAATCACAGGGTGGTGTATTGAACCCATTGCTTTTTATCCTATTCATACATCAGCTAAATTTAACTCTGGGGTGTGAAGTTTCTAATCTGCAGTTTGCAGATGATTTAGTTGTTCATTGCTCTGATACTAATTTTTTACATGTACAATCAGTCCTCAATGTTGCTCTCCAAAGACTAAAGAACTATTTTGATAGCCTAGTGCTGGAGGTCAGCAATGAAAAAATTAAAGTTGTTGTCTTTTCAAAAAATGGAATTAGAAATGGGAATGTAAATATTTTGTTCAATAATAATGTTATGTCTGTAGAGAGCTCTGTAAAGTTTTTAGGAGTTATTTTTACAAACAATTTTAGATGGAATAAGTATGCTGAAACTCTAGAATCTCGAGCTTTAAATGCTTGTAATGTTTTAAAATCTTTAACAGGCACATATTGGGGTGCTGATCCAAGGATTCTATTAACATTGTATAAATCATTAGTAAGGAGTCATTTTGAATATGCTTTTTTTTGTTTTGCAGGGGTAAGAACTATAGTAGATAAATTAGAAAAGATGCAAAATAAATGTTTGCGTATTATAATGGGTGCCATGCGAACTACTCCCATAGTGTCAATGCAGGTGGAATGTAATATACCTCTATTAGCACTTAGGTTTAAATACTTACAATCAAATTTTTTTGCAAGTTTGCTCTCCATCAGTAATCATCCACTTCTTGTTAAACTGCGGGACACTATTAACAGGACTGCCAATATTAATTCAAATTTGTTTCAAGGTTTCTCTGAAACAGAACAAATTTTTAATAAACACAATATTTTTTCTAGCATGGTATGGCCTTATTACTCTGGGTTATATGAATCAAAATTTATTCACATTAAAATTGTAGTCAAAAGTCTTCTAAAGTATAAGGAAGACATTTATAGGGAACTTGATAGGTGGCAGGGATATCATCAGATATATACAGATGGGTCTAGGAACAATGAAGCAGTCTCTATAGCTGTCTACAATAGTCAGATCAAAAGTGGATTCGGTCATAGGCTGAATCTACTCAAAAGCATATACTTTCATGTATGGAGCACATTCAAACACAGACTCATCCAAAGTTGATTATAATAACAGATAGTTTAAGTTTATTAACAGCACTACAAAATCCACAATTAAATTCAAAACTAACAATATTATATATAAAATAAGAGAGTTGTGTGGTTTACCCGGGGTAGTGACTATAGCCATAGAAAGTATTATACCACAGTCTGTCGTTTGCGTCTGGGACATTTTGGTGCTCACCTTTTTAGGATTGGTGTTTTTGACTCTTCAACTTGTAGATATTGCAATAATGCTGATGAAACCCTTGAACATATATTTTTTGATTGTCCACAGTTTAGTATTCAAAGAATGGTCCTTGTAGACCAACTTTTAAGTATTTTTAAAACTGCTGAAGATATCCCGCGCTCCCTTCAGCAAATACTAAGCATTCAAGAATGCCTCTTGCCAGTTTATGGCTTTATTGTTTCTATTATAAATTAAATCTTATTGTTATTTGTACATATGTATATAATACTAATTTGTTCGTTTTGTTTAAGATATTTGCTTTCAGGCTTCAGCTATTTCAGGTATTTTCAGAATTTGACTGTTATATCGATTTTGACAAATTAATTTTGTACTAAAAATGACATTACAAGGGCTTGACATTAAAAAAAGACGGAATGTAAAAACAAAAACAAGAATTTGACAAAAAAAAAAAATTAAATATAGACATGGCTTCAGCCTTATAATTAAAAAAATGTTTTAAGAAGAAAATTAAAAGAAGACATGGCTTAGGCCTGATATAAAAACTTGAATCAGGAATAAAAAAGGAGATTAAGACATTTAAAAATAATTAAAGATACAAAATACAAAAGACGTGGCTGTATGGGCTTTGTTCTGTTTGCCTTTTCTGAACGGAACGAACATAACCAAAAAAAAAATATCTATGCTGTGAAATTCGTTAAACGAACGCCGGACAACATTTATTCGTACAATAAAAAAGATATATATGTTTATATCAAAAAAAACAAGGAAATACGTCTGAAAGCGAATAACAAATTTTTGTTTTGCTTAAAATGTCCCAAGCTTCTTAAAAGATTAATATTTCTGGATAGTATTATTGATTTATATTCGAGTAAACTTTTTAATTACTTACGATAATAATACATGAGCGAGTAATTTTTATTTGAAGCTCGTGCATTTCAATTTTGTCTCTGGTATCTCGAAAAATTGTCTGTGGTCTATACTCTTTGGTTATAACTTCTAGTTCTGTTCGTAATTTTATGTTGCGGCATATTTATAATAAATAGGGTTGGGTTATTATTTATTGAATTAAAATACAGAAAAGTAGATTGAAAAAGTAAACATGGTAAGGAACATTATTTAGTATTATTTATTTTGCATGTATGTCTTAAATTAACTTATATTATCATCAAATTTTACTCTAAAGTACTTGGAGCAATCACACATGGTCATTTAAATCAAAATTTCTCTTAATTTATGAGCAGGTTTCACTCAATCCTGTAAGAATCTTGAAAAATGAAGCAGAAGAAGAGAAAGCCGAAGTGGCTCGAATGTCTAGTTTCATTGGAGCTATTGCTATCGGTGATTTAGTAAAAAGTACTCTTGGACCAAAAGGCATGGATAAAATTTTAGTCTCGTATGGAAGAAATTCAGGACAGGTTCGTATTAACATTTTAAATGAGAAAAAATTTATTAGCCTCAAAATTCGTGGTATTAGTGATTCATCGATATTCTAGGTTGAGGTTACAAATGATGGTGCTACTATACTTAAATCCGTGGGTGTTGATAATCCCGCGGCTAAAATTCTCGTTGATATGTCAAAAGTGCAGGATGATGAAGTTGGTGATGGCACTACATCAGTTACAGTTTTAGGTAATGTATATTTTCTAATATCTAATTTTTCGTTCTCATTACTAAGAAGATTAATTACTTAGAAACAAGCCGTAATATATCTTATATGTTTCAGCTGCTGAGTTACTTCGAGAAGCTGAAAAATTGGTCGAACAAAAACTGCACCCTCAGACAATTATAGCAGGGTGGCGCATTGCTGTTGAAGCAGCTCGTCAAGCATTGGCTGAAGCCAGTTTTGATCATGAAAAAAGCATGAATGAAGCAGCATTGAGAGCAGATTTGGAAAATATTGCTCGTACTACTCTGAGCTCTAAGATTCTATCTAATCACAAGGAGTAATTATATATTTACATTTTTGCACTATAACATTTTTACTGGTTTCATTGAAGTTGATGTTTCTTCCTGTGCATATATAATCATTAATATTATATTATATTATTTCAGACATTTCACAAAATTAGCAGTAGATGCAGTTCTTCGTCTTAAGGGTTCTGGTAATCTCAAGGCTATACAAATTATAAAAATTTCTGGAGGTTTATTGGAGGAATCATTTTTAGATGAAGGATTTTTATTAAATAAAAAAGTAAGAATATAGTTTGTTAAAAGTAAATAACTTCACAATGAAATAACCGAATGTTTTTTTTATTGCTTTAATGAAATATTTTTTTATGTATACTATTATTCAACAATTAAAAAAGATCTTATAGCATGCTAAATAGGCAATATATATTTTTTAATTTGTTTTCATATCTAGGTAGGAGTCCACCAACCCAAGAAAATTGAGAATGCGAATATATTGATAGCTAATACTCCAATGGACACTGACAAAATAAAAGTATTTGGTTCCACTATCAAAGTAGACTCGATGGCTAAAATTGCTGAATTAGAAGTCGCTGAAAAAGAGAAAATGAAGGACAAAGTGAATAAGATTCTCAACCATAAATGCAATGTGTTTATTAATAGGTATTGTTACATATCACTAAATTTATTTCAAGATGTACAGTTTTTTATAGACCTGAATTTGTTATTTAATGATTTATGAAGGCTAACTCACTGTTGGGTTGTTGTTATATAATAAATTCAACAGTTAATAATTACTGTACAAAAATATTTAAAAACCAATATGATTATAAATTAATAAGATTACATATAAATGCAAGTAATATGTTCAATTGCTAACTTCTGTAGTGAGTAATTAATGAATGATGTATTTTAGACAGTTGATCTACAACTACCCTGAACAACTTTTTGCTGATGCTGGAGTCATGGCGATTGAACATGCTGATTTTGATGGAATCGAGCGTCTTGCTTTAGTCACCGGTGGTGAGATTGTATCTACATTTGATTCACCTGACAAAGTTAAACTGGGACATTGCAAACTTATTGAACAGGTAAAATCATAGAAATATTCTTATAATATTTTAATTTTGAAGGTATTATTATGTTCCACTATTTTTTTATTTAATGTTTTCGCAATAACATTACATTATGATTTTATTATGTAAACTAGAATATATAATAAAAATATACAGAACAAAGTGTATCGGTATATAAGTCTAATATAATTGAATATATTTTTAAATGGTGCAAAAATATGTTGAATTATTAATCATTAGTATGATAGGACTATCAGCTCTGTAGTCCCAAAACCATGTAGTTTTTTTGCATGATGGCTCCATTAAGTATAATTGTTAAATGACGATTAATGGATACTTTCCTTTTAATAAAAAGAAATTTAGCTATCCAATTTTATCTTGATTGTTACCTTTATTCTTACCACAAGTTTGCATCTATAAACTAAAGACATTGAGTTTTCCATTCATTAAGTTTCAAATATAATATATAAACAATTTAGTTATACAGTTTGAAATACTTCATTGTGGCTATAGTAATGTATTTTAACTTATAATGTAACTTTTATATATATATGTATATTGATGTTAATGAAATATTAATGTCTCCAGGTCCTCATTGGTGATGAATGTTTAATACGTTTCTCTGGTGTGGAGCTGGGTTCAGCCTGTACCATTGTAATAAGAGGAGCTACCCAGCAAGTTATCGACGAAGCTGAACGTTCCTTGCACGACGCACTCTGTGTACTAGCTGCTACTGTCAAAGAACCAAAAGTTGTTTTCGGTGGTGGTAAGACATCCTGACTACACTAAAATTATTTATATTTAATATTACATAGAGCAAAGAAATTTTAGTTACTAAATTATAAAATACTAGCGACCCGCCCCGGCTTCACACGGGTACAATAATGTTGCTAAATATATTACAGAAAATCTGTGAACGTTGTAATGGATGTTATTATACATTTAGAGACTTTGCACGGGTACTAAACATTACATTTACACAAATATTCACAATTTTTTTGCGTCAAATAAAAAAAAATGGCAATTTAATTCTTAGATATAATTTCGTTTTTAAACCCCCCCGTATCTCCATCTCCATGCCCGAGTGCCGCCTACAACTCTACAACGCATAGTTAGCCGCCGAGCGGATATTTTTTAAAATTTTCAACTTGTGATATCTTTTGAATGGAATGTCAGAATCTAATAATTCAAAAAGTTTTATAAAGGTTTTGAAACAATCTAACTCGGCGGGAGGCGCTACCGGGTAAAATTTACCACATAGTGCAAACTTTCGAAAATATTTATTTTTGTAAGTAATTTTGTGCAGCGCCGTTTTAGATACCTTTCGACAGGTGTTCGACGGTTCGACTAATAAAGAAAATCGTGACGAAAGAGATCTAGAAGAGATTACTTGAAGGTGTTGTCTCTTGTATTGCCACAAATTAAGTGTAAATCTACCATCTTAAACATGCCTACATACATTTATGAAAAGCTAAATAATACTTTTACTTGGTGGTAATGGCGAGCAAAATAATAATATTCCGAATAAACAACAGGGAAGAGTCCTCCAGCCACACTAGCAAATATTTCGTTTTGTGCACAAAATGGCTGAGCTTTTGGGCTATGTTCTTAATTTTCAAATATTACATACATATTATACCAAGCGTTTATTAGTTTCCAACTATCTTGTTTAATTGAAAATGTAACACGATATAATATAAAAATTGGTTATATTTAATTATCCATAAAATAACTCTAGTTCTTACATTAATATTATTGTGGTATTTTTAACCCAGTAGCGACAGTCAGTGTTGGTATATGGGGTGCGCTTCCCGCCGAGTTAAATAATAAATCATTTATTTTGATAAGGATTAATACTAAGATACAAATAAAGAGCCTTCTCATGCAGTGGATATTTTAATTAATTTTTTTATATAAAAAATCGCTTATTTTGACAAAACTATAATAGAGATATGATGTCGCGACGTTCTTTGTAGATAATGATAAGTTCTACAAAATCGTCGTACATCATTTTGTTATATCTTCAATCGTTTTCGGAGCGTTCACGATTAAGGAAAGTTTTTTGGTATATTTTTTACATTATCGGAGTTTTGGTACGGAACCCATATTTTTTTTAAAACTAAATATAGCCTTTGTCACTCCGGGATAGTATAGCTTTCCAACAGTGAAATATTTTTTCAAATCGGTACAGTACTTTTGGAGCCTATTCGAGACTAACAAACAGAAACAGAAAATCAAACCTTTCCTGTTTATAATATTATTATTAGTATAGAAAAAGCTTCTTCAATGTATAAAATTAAAACATAGTCAGTTACTGTCACTTTAAAACATATTGTTTGAAGATTAATAATTCTCTGAAGATAAATAATCAAGTGAGGCGACACATCCGCAACATCTCTTATGTTACAGATATCTATGGGCGACGGTACTACCTCTATCAGATAGGCCGTCTGATCGGTTGCCCCCTTAACAAAAAAAAAAGCAGTCAGATTTCATATAGACTCAAGTATTACTTCACATACCAATACAGTAACTTCTTATAATGTATTATATCTATTCTTTAAGGTGCAAGTGAGATGCTAATGGCGGAGGCTGTGTCTCGTGTCGCTGCTCGAACTCCCGGCAAGGAGGCGGCGGCCGCTGAAGCCTTCGCAGTGGCTCTACGACGTCTACCTTCCGCCGTAGCAGACAACGCTGGCTACGACAGCGCGGATCTCATAGCTCGCCTTAGAGCCTCTCATGCACAGGGAGAGAATACTATGGGGCTTGGTGAGATTTCTTTAAAATTCACTGTTTTTTGTCTGAGTGCACTTTTTATCTCCATCTCCATACAATATTACTTTAAGATTATCATGTGTAATCTGCGTTAATTCCGGAATCGTATTTAAGTCCGCTGTAGTAAATTAGTAAATAAGTATGTAAGTGTAACAAAGGTTGTAACAAAGTGTAACAAAAGCCAATACTTATGAATTTTCTTTGAAATGTTTTAATATGATTGCAGAGAAATTTTATTCATTCAATATTTCGTCAGAAAGTTTACTTATTTAGTTTAAAGTTAATATTTTTATTTATTTTTTGTTAATCATCAATCCATACCATTATTGTCAATAAGAATATTTGTTACTTTTTAAAACTCAATGATTCAAGCTAAATACATACCAACAAAGTTTTATATTTCATGGTATAGTTAACATTGTATATTTCATGTAGTATGTATATATTAAAATGTATTAGATATCTGTTATAATGGATTTATTTCTCTAGATATGGAGAATGGCTGCATTGGTGATATGAAGAAGTTGGGTATCACTGAGTCGTATGTGGTGAAGCGTCAAGTGTTGCTGTCAGCCAGTGAAGCCGCCGAGGTCATTCTACGTGTGGACAACATTCTCAAATCAGCACCTCGCAGGCGTGGACCCGACCGTCGCCCCTGCTAATATAAAACAAACTTCATAAAAATTTATGAGTAAATGTGTACATTCCCATTGAAATTGTGTACAATAATGTACCTTATTTTTTATAGAGATTAGCAATCATACACTGAATGTTCACATTTACACATATAATTAATTTTAATTTCATTCAATATTTCTTGTAGCTTTTATAATGCACAGTTAATTGTGACGCCTAATTTTCTGATATTTAATGATTTGCATTTATTTTCAACAGATGCAAGTTCTTGTGTTTTGAAATGAAATAATTGTATTCATTGATTCATATTTTTTTCTCGTATAGTAAAGCTAGCTTAAACCAGAGGACTGTGTATTTGTTTAACGTATTTTAGTTTTAGTTTGGTGATATGCCGTTATTGTATTAACAAAATAAATTCTTCACTAAATAACTAGTGATGTTTTTCATTTTAATGTTAATTCATTCTATTCATGTGGGATATTTCTTTTTTCTAATAATTCCTAAGATTATACAGACAAAACTAAGTATACATATATATGTATATTAGAAAGAGCTTACTGGTTTAAATTAATTTTTTAAGTGGATGTCTAGACTTTTTACCAAAAGTAATCTTTCAATAAGCTGTCTGAATGACACTTAGGCATTCTATTCACTTGGCATTGTCTATTGTCTATAGCTCGGCTGGCAGTTGATTTCGTCTTATAATATTTGACTTGTCTAGACAAAGAATTACGTATTTTCTAATAAGCACAAGAGGTAAATGCATGGAACCCGACTTGATTCTTTTAAAACAGGTTTTGAGAAATCTCACATATATTTTGTACTTTATCACTAGATTTAATATTTTTTTACAAAAAAATTAAAATTGGAATGGACGTGACTATTTTAAAATCATGAAAATCATCAAAGACTTTGTAATTTGAAACTTGCTTGATACTACCATAAACCATGTGTAGGTTTTTTAAAATCGTGACCACCATTATTGTCCTCAAATTCTCAAAATGTAATCACTATATACCTATATAAAGTATAAATATATAGGTATATGTTTTAAGAAAAACTTAAATGTGTGTAATTATTTTAATAATATACAGGGTTACTGGTGAATTACTATCGATATTTGAGGACGTGATATTTGACGATCATATATGACAAAATAAAAATTAATATAACATAAATATTAATAAACTTCTGAGTAAAGTTAACCAAAGTTATGTAATTAATTACGCATCGTGTGAACACCCTACAGATTAGGTATACACACACACACACACATACGCGTGCGGCGGCGTGGTGTTGTATCAGCACGCCGCCGCACGCGTCCACACTTGGAACACTTGGAACGTGTACACACTTTATTTATTTATACGGAAATTTGGACAAAAATTAAGTACCTATTTTTTTTACATAATTCGAATGAGAATCATGTACCGAGTATGCTCCTTAAATATTGATAGTAATTCACCAGTCACCCTGTATATACCTAACGGTTTTTCTTACACCTAGAAAGAAATTCTTGATAATTTGAATTATACAGTACAGTAAATAGTGAGACCTTAAAGACCTAAAGATATTCAAGAATTCCTTTTTAAAAAACAATACACCCAACATTTTGCAGCTATTCTCTCTTTGGGCGAAAACATGATTTTTTTCGTCTTTCTACTGCAAAGGCAAACCAACTTAGTTAACTGTTGCTGAGTTATCCTAAAAAACTTATTTGCCATTAGAAAAATGAATGAGAACATGTCTTTCTCTGTTTTTTTTTTTATGTAAAAGGTGGCAAACGAGCAGACGGCCCACTTGATGGGCAGTAGTGCCTGTCGTCCATGGACATCCGCAACATAGATGTTGCGGATGCGTTGCCAACCTTACTTGTGGAGCAAAAGGGAGGGGTGGAAATAAGGAAATACGAGGAAAGGTTGGGAACAGGGAAAGGGCAACCGGCAATCTCACTCATCGGACGAAACGCAGTCATTACTGACTACTTCACGCCGATCTTCTGTGAGAGGGTGGTACTTCCCCGGTCGAGCCAGCCCATGTTCGAGCTATAGTAACTAAACTAGACTTTACCACCTAAAAAGTTTTTTAAATGTGGCCTCCCCTTTTATGTCGTGGGGGGGGGGGGGGAGGATGATAATTTTTTAAAGTAAGTCGATCACAAATTGTTGACGAAAGGATGCTGAAGCCCATAGCGGCTGTCTTTATCTTATTTCTATAGATTTTCTATACCCAGTGCAGCTTTCAATTTTTTTAGATTTCGTCAGGTCTTTTTGTTTGGCATAGAATCATTCATATAAAAGAAGAAAACTAGAAGTTTTATTCATCTAGGAAGTACATTAACATAAACAGACAAACAGATGTCTGGACATTTATCTGGATAAATACTTGAAAGGTGACAATTTGAAAAGATTATATGCTAATGTTAGACCATCGCCTAGAGTATGTACGAACTAAGTTATGCTCATATGTACTACAGAAAGTTCAACCAAAAACAAGTTTATTAAAAGAGATTTTGGAAGAAAGAATTCTACTTCCCTAGTTGCTATCAAAACTCTCAAACACGCACAAATAATAATCGAATCAATTTTCCTTATATTATTTAACATTCTCCTAAATCTCAATCTTGCTTCACGAAACTTTAGTAAAAGAATGATTTGACGATAACACAATTTACTCACCTTTATTATTTGATTTACCCCTCGTATAGATTTTTATCCGTCAATAATAACATTAGCCTTATTTGAACCTTTTCGTATCTATGTGAAAATTTTTAAGCCTTTTTCAGATCTCGACAAATAAAATTATTTAAGACTGTCTATTTTCTATATCTATAAAGATTCAAATCTTAACCATTGAATTTCATTTCGTTTGACAAAGAAAAAAAGGGTATTATTATTTTTGATCCCATTACTTGGAATAGTAACGTATATGTTTTCTTCAAGAGTTTTATTGCGAACACCTTTTATTCCTAATTATAATTTAATATATTCAATTGATGTTCAATTGATCAGTTCAGTTTGACGAAATAAAAAAAAACTTGAAACAAATAAGACAAACTCCACTTTATAAATGTGAGTAATGAAACACAAGAAACGTTTTTTTATTTATAGATAGGTACATTAGGTACCTACATAATTTTTAGTTATGTATCTTTTTGTAATAAACAAGAAATTGGTGTCTCTTTAATTAAATAAACCTCAGCATAGCAGTTTAATTGTAATCGTAGGTTTATATAGATCAACTACTATTAATCTATTTGTCGGTTTTCGTATTTTATGACGACTAGGTATGGATTTATTTATAAGGAAGCACTATCTTAGTAGCCAATAAGTAGCCTCGACACGCTTTAAAATAAATATGTAGTTTTTATCATTCACAGTTTATAGTCACGAATAACACTCATTTAAAAACTCAAATATTGCGATCTCTTGATAATAGAACTAAAAAAACTTCAAAATTGTCGATGTTCAGCTTATAAGTGAGCTACTGCTTGTTATCGGGAAAAAAAAAAGTTAAATATGGGAGTTTATAAAAAGCGATACATATAGGTATTATTCTGCATGTTGACAATAAGTATAAAATTACACAGATAGCATCGTTGTGACATGTATAAATATAATGAAAATGGATTGCTTCTGTGTTATAATACAAATAAAACGATATTGTACAAAAAATAAAATTATTAGTGCATTTTATATAAATTGTCTGAGGACATGCAATATCCAGTTGTTAATGGAAAGACCTAGCAATTCAAATATCGCTTTAATTACGAGTTATTTCTTTGCTACCGGGGCTATTAAAAAGTTCGTGATTTCATTGGCCTTTCACAAATGTAACTATTTAGCCAATTAGTTATTAAGGCAATTATAATTGTATTGAATGCGACCTATTTTACATTGAGGTTTTATCAAAAATCATGCAAAGTTTAATCAGATAAGCTAAAATTATACAGAGTTTTTTACTACAATGTTGTAGGGGAGTAAAGTAAATTGTCTATTTTTATTGTAAAAAAATACGCAAAAAGTTTTAAGGTAAAAAAGATATAAGCTGGTAAGTTCCATTCGAAATCAAAGAGGCTTTTGGGATAATGTGATTTTACAAGCTTTTGTGTATTTATTTGTTAAAGTGTTAAAAAAATGGTGAATAGATTAATATAAACAAATTAAATAATAAGTTATAATTTCTATCGTATTTTTAAATTACATATTTTGAAGAAATGCAGTAGGTATCTTATTTTCAAAGTTATTTCTTGTGCTTAGTTCTTTACACTAATCTAACTTACTTTTCGAAATTGCGTCACAAACAAATAAATGAAGACAGTATTAGGTATACCAAGATACGGGATTTTTTTCTAAGTTATTAATTTAACCTCAAATAACATAAGCCAGAAGCATGTCGTGATACATATGGTGATATTTCATTTCTGGTCAGCGCTATGAAAAAGACTCAACTGTCAGCTTGATCATTTTAAACTTAACCTTACAACTGGAGACAACAATTTGGATAAATGGAACATCCATCGTCGCTCTGATAAATTATTCAAGTTCACCTTCTGGCATCGCCTTTCTGCATGACAAGGAATGGTTTGTATACTAAAGTGGGATATTTAGAGAGTAATCACGTACGCAATATACGAAGGAAGTGGCTCACTCAGCTACGCTTTGGTATAGCGTTTCTTTTCCTGCCCTAACGCAATTTGAAAAATGGTTAAACGAAAGTTTAGTTAATAAGAAAGTTTAGTTACATTATTTATATCTATACTATGTATTTTATCTCAAAAATATTTTTTCTAGTAATCTCAAGGTAATAGTCTAAATTGAAGATATAATCAATCTCATATTCAGGTTGACCTGATTAGATCAGTAAAGCTAATACAGAAGACGAGTTAATGTAGAGGAAATATTTTCTCCCTAGTTTCATGTGTTCTGTATTAAGAAGGACTTGTCTGGGTATATAATATAAATTATATTAATATGAATTTCACATTTTATTCCTCTATGATTTTATAAAAACTAAAATGGTTTAT